GGATCGAGTTCTGCATCGGGCTCCCTGCATGGAGCTTGCTTCTTCCTCTGTCTCTGCCTCTCTCTCTCTCTCTGTCTTTCATGAATAAATAAATAAAATCTTTAAGAAAAAAAAGAGACCATCCCTTTTACCATAAAGGTAAAACAGAAAAAAATAAGGAATATTGTATGAAATTATATGAATATTTTACTTTGACCTTAGTTGATAAAGCGCTAATTTGTGCTTAGAGTTTAGAATTAATTTTTGTTATAAATATTATAAATATTAAGATTATAAACTTTCTATATTTCTGATTTACATCTTTATAGGTTGAAACTCTGCTTAGTAAAAAAAAATTTTTTTTTGAAATTTGAATTTTCACCATGAGCTGCTATGATGATTTAAGGAATAAAAATATTTAAAAATCCTTTAATTCTCTTTTTTTATAGTTTTATTTTATTTTTTGAAAATTTTTATTTATTTATGATAGTCACATAGAAAGAGAGAGAGAGAGAGAGAGAGAGAGAGAGAGAGGCAGAGACACAGGCAGAGGGAGAAGCAGGTTCCATGTAGGGAGCCTGATGTGGGACTTGATCCCGGGTCTCCAGGATCACGCCCTGGGCCAAAGGCGGCGCTAAACTGCTGAGCCACCGGAGTTGCCCCCATTTTATTTTTTAAAGATTTTATTTATTTATTCATGAGAGACACAAGGAGAACAGCAGAACATAGGCTTCTCCTTGGGAAGCCCAGTGTGGGGTGAGACTCAATCCCCAGACCTGGGATCATACCCTGAGCTGAAGGCAGATGCTCAACTGCTGAGCCACCCAGGCATTCCAACTGAAGTCCATTTTATTTTATTTTATTTTTTAAGATTTATTTATTTATTTATATATGATAGAGAGAGAGAGAGAGAGAGGCAGAGACACAGGCAGAGGGAGAAGCAGGTTCCATGCAGGGAGCCGATGCGGGACTCGATCCCGGGACTCCAGGATCGCGCCCTGGGCCAAAGGCAGGCGCGAAACCACTGAGCCGCCCAGGGATCCCCCTGAAGTCCATTTTAAACTTGAAAATTAAACTCTGGAGTTCTTAGATCTCATTTTTATTTCTTCTTCTTTTTTTTCTTTTCCTTCCTTCGGGTTCCCTTCCCTCCTGTCAGTTTCAATATTGCTTTTTTGATGACAGTATTCATTTAGATAACATAATTTTAAACTTAAGTGGGGGCTTATTAAATAAGAGTTAAGAAGTGTCTTTTATTAGACCTGGAGAGATTTTTTTTAAGTTAAAAGTAATATCTAATTTTATTTTAGTTTCTTACACAGTTGGGCTAATACTTTTTGTCTTTCTAGCTAAAAGTATATGTTTAGAAATCTGGTTAGATTTAATGCAGACTTCTGTTTACCTAACCCATTAGAAGTCTATTTACCTACCCTATTAACATTGTTTAATAGAAAAATAATGTGAAAGATCATAAAATTAGTGTCCTCTTTTGGAGTAATTTTTAAAAATTATTTCAGTACTATGAAGCTTTTTCATTTTGGTATATTTAGGTGACTCTTTCCATTTTCTTTCCTTGTTTTTGTAAGATATCTTTACTCTTCACTTGCTTGGGAATTAGTGTGATAGAGCAGAAAGCTTTAGAATCTCAGACTATGTTTCTAATCTTGCTCTAGGATTATGACCTTTGACTACTGTATTTCTTTTCTTTTCTACACTTTCTCCTTTTCTCTTTCTCTCTCTTTGCTTGTTCTCTCTGTATCTGTATTTCTATCTCTCTGTCAGCCAGAAATTCTAATTTTCATTGCTACAAAGCTTAGGATATGAATTGGGGGAAGGGGAGACAATTTCTTGTCTGGCTCCAAGATAAGGCAGCCCAGATGTTTAAGGAAAAAATGAAGAGTTCAAGTTGCTCAAATGTTCAAGGAACTAATGAAAAATTGATCTAAAGATTAGCCATATATATGATTAATATAATAAAGATAAATTACATATATAAATTATGTAAAATTGCCTTCCCTTTGTTTTGCTACCCTGCTAAATAGGTATTCTCTGGTACTTGTTAAAGATTTCCTGGTTGGTGTCCACATGGATGCTGATATCAGAATAAATGTCTTTACACACTGTTGAAAGAAGTATTTAGCTGCTTATGAAATACATGTTTAGTCTTAATGTAAATATTGGGTTAAATTTTTTTTAGTTTATTTAAGTAATCTCTACACCCAGTGTAGATGTAGATGTAGGGCTTGAACTTGCAACCCTGAGATCAAGGGTTGCATGCTCTTCTGACTCAGGTGCCCCAGATACTGGATTAATTTCTTAAATTTACAAAGCCAAGTGTCTTCATCTGTAAAATGGGGATGAAACTGCCTATCCCATAAGATTGTTATAAGGATCAATTAAACAATATAAGTAAAGATCTTAGAATAGTACCCAATAGTTTTTGCATTGTAAACATAGCAGTTAATCCTATCTTTGGAATCCTATTCTAGTTGTTACATTGATGTAGAAGAGAACCTTTGAGATCTAATCCTTTAATTTTTTCATAGTTTTTTTCTTTTTAAAATTAAAAATTGTATTCATACAAGAAATGTGTGTGAAAATATACAAGTAATGCACAAATATGTATTGTTTGTAAACCATTCTGATGTTACAAATGATAAAGAGTAAAACAATCCCCCTTCAATCCTTTTCCATTCCTAGCTTAATGCCTTGTATCCAATACCATTCCTGTCTTCAGAGTAACCATTCTGAACAGTTTGATATCCCACTAGACCTTTCTTTGTTATTTATTTGGACACAGAGATACTATGTCCTCCCTTTAAAAAAAATAAGTGGACCTATTTATATTCATTCAGCAAATATTTATTGATAGTTATATTGTTCTGTGATGTGCCTTTGCTTTGTGAGAATGCATTTGTATTCTGTATTAATGAATTTACCATAATTTAACAATTCTATTGATGAGAGCTCAGTTCATTTCTAATTTTTCTCTATTACAGGCAGATCTTCAAGGAACATCATTGTATATGTATCTTTGTGTATATTTGCAAGTACTTTTTCAGGATAGGTTTCTAGAAGTGGAATTGGTGAGTCAGAGTATAAACATTTAAAATTTTTGTAGATAAAAATTCTTTGCTTTCAGATTCTCTGTCAAAAAGTTTGTCCCAACTTACATTCTTAATATGTGAAAGGGCATTTACTCACACTCTTGCCAGGTCTGGATATCAGGTCTTTTTTTGCAAAACTAGTAGGCCATAAATTGTATCTTATTTTAATAACGCTAGTGACATTGAACATCTTATCATAAATTTATTGGTCTTTTTGTCATTCTGTGAGTTGTCTGTAGTCTTTGCTCATTGTTCAACCAGAATTTTGGAGGCTATTGATTTGAAGATGCTATTTATATGTTCTCAGTGGTAATCACTTAACCTTTTATGTGTGTTATGTTTATTCCTAGTTTGTCTTTTGTCCTTTTTTTTAAGATTTATTTATTTACTTGAGAGAGACAGAGAGTGGGAAGGGGTGGAAGGAGAGAGAGAGAGAGAGAGAGAGAGAGAGAGAGAGAGAAAATCTCAAGCAGACTTCCTGCTGAGAGCGGAGTCCAATGCCCAGCATCAATCTCATGGCCGGAGACCATGACCTGAGCTGAAACCAAGAGTCAGACACTTAACTCACTAAGCCACCAAGGTGCCCTTGTTTTTTGTCTTCTTTAACTTACTTATGGCAACTTCTATGAAAAATGGAAGGTTTATAGTTTACATTTTGCTAAATTTGACAATTCTCTTTCTTTACATTTTCTGGGTTATGGGACTTAATTGTATAGTCTAAGTCAAAAATAGTTTTGTTTATCTTAGATATTTTCAGTTCTTCAGCAATTAACTATATTTTTAAAATTCTTAAAAAAATAAAATTCTTGTGGGTTTGAATATGGAAAGAACACAACTACTTTAATCTCATAAAGATTGAAATATTTGAATCAGATCTGAGAAGAGGTCTTGTGTTATAAAAAAAATTACAAATCATTCTCAAATTTGTTCATTATATTCATTATATAACTAATTCCTTCCAGTTACTTGCAATTAGAATTTTGAAGTAATTTGTAATGGGAAATTCATTACTTATGTTTCATATTATTATTTAAAATTTTTTTGAATAGGTGATATTTGTACATGGTACAAAACTCAAAAGGTACAAAAGGGTATGTAGTGGAATGTCTTCCTCCTGTTCCTCTTCTTTAATTATCCAGTTTTCCTTTGATACAATCATCTTTATCATTTTTTTTTGTCTTTTATCCCCCAGAGATATTTTATGCATTTATACAACATATAGTTTATGATAATTGAATTCTTTTCTTTTTATAGCTATATTAAGCTGTACCTGCTTTAGAGATAATTTGGTCTTTAGGCCAAAATTATTCACAGTTCCAGAAGGTAAATTAGAATAATTGATGAATAGAGAACAACTGTCAACAGTAAGAAGGGCTACAGGCTACATTCATGTTATAAACTTTAGCTGATAAGCAGACATTACAGAGTTTTGCAGGTAGAAGGACTTTTGTTTGCATATATGATTTAAAACAAATCTATTTTCTTTCCTCTTACTTACCTGGCCTTAGAGATTAGAGACTTTAATTATCCCAGACTTTATATTTCCCACTAAGACATTTTGTTTTTGTTTTTGTTTTTTTTTTGCCCACTAAGAAATTATGTATAATTCTTGTATAACAAGAATTATATGACAAAGCAAGTCATAAAACTTGAAATAGTAGAAATTACCTAAATTAACCCTCTTGTTTTATATATGAAGAAATTGAGACCCGGAGATTAAGTGACTTGCAACATCACATTTATAATTCCAAAGGCCAGACATTTACACTTAACTTACCTGGTAGTAACATACATTTTTAGAATGCTATTTTAAAAAGATAGCAAATTTATTTCTCCATTAAAAAGAAATTTATTTATTATTTATTTATTTATTTATTTATTTATTTATTTATTATTTATTTATTTATTTGAGAGAGCACGGATGGCTGGGAGGAACAGAGGGAGAGGGAGAAGCAGACTCCCTGCTGAGCAGGGAGCCCCACTGGGGCTCAATCCTAGGACCCCGAGATCATGACCTGAGCCAAAGGCAGGCATTCAACTGACTGAGCCACCCAGGTGCCCCTATTTTTCCATTTTTTTAAAATTTTTATTTATTTATGATAGTCACAGAGAGAGGCAGAGACATAGGCAGAGGGAGAAGCAGGCTCCATGCACCGGGAGCCCAACGTGGGATTCGATCCCGGGTCTCCAGGATCGTGCCCTGGGCCAAAGGCAGGTGCCAAACCTCAGTGCCACCCAGGGATACCTCCATTTTTTTTTTTTTTTTTAAGGAAAAGGTACAGTAGTCTTATGTTGCAGTTTGGTATTACATAACAAGGCTTCATAATACTTCAGTTCTTTATCTGCATTTTTGCCTGTAAACAGGAATGGTAAGACAGTGTTATTCATTGTTAGGCACTCTGTAGTACTTGGAAGATTAAAGAGAGTGGTTTTTATTGTATGGGATGGAGTTGGAGATTAATAGAGTCGTTCTTAAGCATTCTTTTCTTGACTATAAAATTTATAATGGCTGTACCTTGATTCCCTTAATTTTATACTTGTGAATCATTCTTAGCTTTGTGCATTTTTCTTCCTTCCTTATCTGTATTATAAGTGAGTAAAGGAACACTTTGAATGTTCCTTACTGCAAAGGAACATTTAAAACATAGTTATTTATATTTGATTAGAAAGCTACCACTGATATTTTTTCATGAAACTCTTTCCATATCTATGTATAGAAACATACATAGAAGTCAATATATTTCTGTTGACATTCTGCCTTTTTTTCTTGTTAACATTTTACCTTTAATCTTAGATTTTTAAAAAATTATTTATTTATTTATTTATTTATTTGGCAGAGAGAGAGCACAAGTAGGCAGAGTGGCAGGGAGGGAGAAGCAGGCTACCCGCTGAGCAGAGAGCCAGATGTGGGGCTCTATCCCGGGGTCCTGGGACCATTACCCGAGCCAAAGGCAGATGCCTAACCAACTGAGCCACCCAGGTGCCCTATAATCTTAGATTTCTGAAAGTAATTTTATTTCTTGCCCCTTAATATATTCTTGTAATGTTGTTTGAGATTAAGCTCAGTATGAGGATAGAGACCTCATCTGGAATTTAGTTTCTGTTGATATTATATTTAAGTACTGAAATACTATTTTCCAACTGGTATCCAGAAGTACTTATTATGGAGGAAAACTTATTTCCTTATTTTACCGAGTCCAGAGTTAGATATTAGTAAAAACTTACTTCTTAAAGGAAAATCCATAGAAATGTTTTTGTGAAATTTTATAGGTAAATTTGTCATTTATTATGGAAATACACCTTCTAAATTTTTTTTTTCATTTTGTTTTCTGTTTTCAGTGGAAAACACTTTATTCTTGGCCCTACAGAAATTCTGCCTGGTGAGTAATTGTTCGCATTTACCATGGGCTGGTGTGTTTACCTAAGCTATTGTCAGAGCTGACTTTGGCTAAATAGATTAAAGGGCCAGGGGTCTATCCTTTTATTTCTTTTTTAAAGATTTCTTTTATTTCTTTTTTTAAGATTTCATTTATTTATTTAAGAGCGAGAGTACACACACAAGCAGGGACAGGGGTAGAGGGAAAGGGAAAAGCAGTTTCTCACTCAGCAGGGAAGAAACAGGCCTAGATCTCAGGACCCTGGGATCATGACCTGAGCCAAAGGCAGATGTTTAACCAACTAAGCCACCCAGGAGCCCCCACTCCTTTCTTAAAGATTTACTTATTTATTTCAGAGAGTGGGAGTGGGAGCAGGAGAAGGGGCAGAGGGAGAGAATATCCAAGCAGGCTCCCGCTGAGCATGGAGCCCAACAATGGGCTGGATTCCCATGATCCATGAGATGAGGACCTGAGCCAAAACCGAGAGTTGACAATCTGCTGAGCCATCTAGGCTCGCCTCTATCCTTTTGAGTGGCTTTTAGAATAGTAGGAAAGAAAATCATCTACTCTGTACATTTTTAGACATCTCTTCATTAATTCTTGCATCTTAAGTTAATTCAACTAACATTTATTGAACATTTAACATACTGTGCATCTCGTTTTATTTTATTTTTTTTTTAAATTTTTATTTATTATTTATGATAGTCACACACAGAGAGAGAGAGGCAGAGACACAGGCAGAGGGAGAAGCTGGCTCCATGCACCAGGAGCCCAACGTGGGATTCGATCCCGGATCTCCAGGATCGCGCCCTGGGCCAAAGGCAGGCGGCAAACCACTGCGCCACCCAGGATCCCGCATCTCGTTTTAAAAGATAATTTTAGTCGTTTCTAAACTAGTTAATTCTTTTATATCTCCCATGAGGATGGGGGATGAAGCATTTATTATTGAATTCTACTTCTGAATTAGAGAAAAATGCTAGCTTTGTAGGGATTAATTGTTCAAGGAAATTTAAAATGTTTATGAATTATGTTTTTATATGTTATGTTATCTTTAAAACTTCTATTCATAATGTTCTTAATTTCTGAATTATATAGGTAGGATTTTGGGTACCTCTATAAATGTTTCAGTAATACAAGGTGGTTAAAAAAGAATAAGATACAGTCATTAAACATATATCTATGTTTGTTGTGTTTTGCTTTTTAAAGAATTTATTTATTTGAGAGAACACAAGCAGGGGAGAAGGAAAGGGAGAAGCAGACTCCCTGCTGAGCGGGGAGCCTGATGTGGGTCTCCATCCCAGGACCCTAAGCTGAAGGCAGATGTTTAACTGACAGCCACCCAGGTGCCCCTTTATCTATGTTTTATATTATATCCAACAACAGTGAATCTTATAAGAAGTAAAATTCTAGGTTGGGTGGTTAAAATACTATACTTTTCTCCTAGCAATTTCAGAGTATAGATTTAACGCTTGTCTTTTTAAAAACCCTGACCAATTTAGGTTAATTAGAATACATTTCCTGTAGCTATTCAAACCTTAAATGTAAAGTCAGTGTAGAATATGTATTTGTAAGAATGTATTTCTTTTCTTAGGCTTTCTTTTTTTCTTTTTTTTTCTTTTTCTTTTTTTCTTAGGCTTTATTAATCAGAAATGATGTCAGCATTAAACTTGTAGTTATGATTTAAAGTGGGCCTGTTGGCCATAGATTTATAGTAACTCAAGAGTTACTCCATATTAAGACTGAATATTGAATAAATGGAGGCAAAGTATTCAGTATCATTGGGTATATTGAACAACACTAGAAAATTGCATCTCACTTCTGCACTAGGTTGTATGGTTAGTACATAGTGATATAAGTGAAGTGCCCTTTAAGAACTTAAGAGATGGAGGGGGCAATTATTTTTCTGATAACTAAATTAGTAAAAGCCATTCTTATGCTAGTAAGAATTGTATGAAGGTTTGGAAAATGCTAAAATCACTAATCATTGTGCTTTAGGTGTGATATCAGGGAAGCAGGTCTGAAATGTAATTAGAATTTACTGAGTAGAGGGGCACCTGGGCGGCTCAGTCAGTTGAGTGTCTGCCTTCCACTCAGGCCATGAATCCAGGGTCCTGGGACAGAGCCCCACATCTGGTTCCATGCTCAGCAGCCTGTTTCTACCTCTGCTGCTCCTTCCTGCTTGTGCCCTCTTGCTCTGTCAAATAAATAAATAAATAAATAAATAAATAAATAAGTAAATAAATAAATAAATAAAAATTTACTGAGTAGAAATATCTTTCATAGTGTATCCTCTTCTGAACAAAGTCTATGAACAGGAGGACAGTTACCTCAGCAGAGAGCAAAGAGAAACTCAAAGCATGGGGACCTGGGGCAGCTGCTCTGCTGAGAGAGATTGATGATTTGTTTGTTTCTTGAGGCAAGCATGTCCATATTGTTGGGGTGGATGTAGGAGATTAGCTTAGTCTAATGTCATTAAATATTTGAATCATATAATTATCTCCCCATGTTTTCTGTCCCTTATTTACCCTACCACCTTCTCTATCCAAGAAAGAAAATGTCTTCATTTGATAGGAGTATTCTAGTATGCTAGACATTTGCACTTATCATTATGAAGAAATTAATTGACAAAATAATAAATTGGAAAAAAATTAACATTTGCATACATATATGTATTTGTTTCTGTGACCTTGGTTAAAGTTGATACTGTGAGAAAGATGTACTTGCAGTCTGTTTGATCTGATAACGCATCTGCAGCTAATCTCCTTAGCATGGTAGTCTAGTCTTTTGTATTGCTCTGAGCCTTATCATTTGAAAATTGCAACAACGTAGGCCATTTAACTTGTGTGGCCTCATCTGTGAAATGACCTTCAGAATTACTCCTAGTTCTAAATCTTTATGAGTTTATAACCTATGTGATCAGTTGTATCACTGCACACTTAAAGATAAAAGAAGAGCTTGTAGAGAGTTGAAATATCTTTGTTTCACATTTAGGTTGATAGTACCAATATGACTTAACGTTGCACTTTTTTTTTTTAATTTTAACTTTTTTTAACGTTGCACTTTTTATACTAGCCTTGCTTTGTTTGGCTCCAAAGTACAAGGTATAAATAACATTTTACATGTTGCTGGTAGACTATAAGCTTAAGGACAAAGCCAGTTTTTCCTAAGTATAGAACTGTGCCTGTCAAAGAAAAAAAGCAGTTAAGTGCATACTGAATGAGTGTATACTTAAGGAAAGGTATTTATAACAAAGCTAAACGTGGTTTGGTTATTAGTGACTTTTTAAAATATTCTTTATTATGGCAAAATTTAAAAATATGTAAGAATAGGCAGAATAATATTGTCTCAGTCCATTTGGGTTGCTGTAACGTAATACCATAGACTGGCTTATAAATAGCAGAAATTTATTGCTCACAGCTTTGGAAGCTGGAAATCTAAGATCAGAGTGTTATCATGGTCAGGTTCTGATGAGAATTCTCTTTCTGGTTGCAGACTGCTGTCTTCTCATTGCATCCCTACAAGGTGGAAGGGTTGAGTTAGCTTTCTGGGGCCTCTTGAAAGACACTAACCCCACCAAGTCAGATCTAATCAGATCTAATCACCTCCCAAAGTCTTCACATCCTGATACCATCAGTTTGGAGATTAGGATTTCAATAGATTAATTTTGAGAGGACACAAATGTTCAGACCATAGCAAATATGTGACCTTCCATTTACCCATTACCTACTTCAATAGCCATGATTATTCTTGTTTCCTGTTTACCTCTTCCCAGTCTCCTCTTGTATTATTATGAAGCAAATCACAGACTTTATATCATTTAATCTGTATTATTCATTGTGTATCTCTCAAAGATAAGGACTTAAAAAATTAGTTATAACCTTTATTACATCTTAAAGAATGACTGGTTTTGATAAATACTCAATTAATTTCACTTCAAAATACCTGTACTATTTCCAAGAAATCTCTTATGTGTAGTTCCAGACAGTTAGTAACACTTAGAAATAAAACAGTAAGACTAATTTTTGTTTTTGTTTGGTTTAATATTTAGGCTATCAACATGACGGCGGAAGAAACAGTGAATGTAAAAGAGGTTGAAATCATTAAGCTAATTTTAGACTTCTTGAATTCAAAGAAGCTTCACATTAGTATGTTGGCCCTTGAGAAGGAAAGTGGAGTCATAAATGGCCTATTTTCAGATGATATGCTTTTTCTAAGGTATGATTTCATTAGTATTATGAGGTTTGTAGCTCTTTAAAAGAAGTGTTACGTATTAATAAGGTAATATGTGTACTATGGGTAGGTACTTATAGTCATGAAAAGGCTATATAATTTTTAAAAATAATGTTTTTGTAATGTAACATTAACAAAATAATGTTTTGTTTTTTCAAAATAATGTTTTATATAGAATGTTTTCAGTAGTAAGATCCAGGGGTCCATTAAAAAAACTGGAGTTACAATTCCATTATGGTTGTGGCATCATCACAAAAAATACTTGATTTCAAGAAACCAGAGACTCCAGAAAGATAAAGAAAATATTTCTGCAATACCTTTTTTTTTTTTGCCATAGAAGTGAATATAAACATATTCATTATACAAAATATATAAAAATAAGAAAAATGACCCACCACTTAGACACACTACATACTGATAATTTTCTGTGCATATTTTTAAAAAACCTAGCAATTCTGTTTCATTTATAATTTAGTGTCCTTCTTTATCCATTAACATCATAAGGATTCTGTGTTATTACAAATTTATATTGTAAAAATTTTAAATTTAATTTTCTAAAGATTCCTCTATTTTTAGACAAGTTATTTCCAATTTATCTTAAATAAATGCTCTACTGAGTATCTTTTGTACATGTGACTTTTTCTGTATCTTGGATTATTTCCTTAGAACAAGATTCTTGGAATTGTAGAGCAAAAGGGAATTAACATATTTGCCAAAATGGGAGGCTAACTATATTCCAACTTGAATTGGATGGAAAAAGAAAAACACAAATTTCCAGACAGAAAATGTATTCTCTGCTTATGTGATATTGAATATCTTTGGCAAAGAGTACAGATTCTTGGACATATGGCATTTTGTGACATGAAAAGCCTTAAAAAATGAAGCATTCCTAAGTCATGAAAAAGGAACTTTAAAAAAACCCTTCAATATATTAAAGAGAATTTATTTAAATTCCTTGAACTTCCCTGTATTTGATGTTGTGAATGTCATTTAGCTCTGCAGAGCTTAGTTAATAATTGTCAGGAACCTATCATTCTTTTGGCCCTGTCTTTCAAGCATTGCTACTCCTGGAATTTAGCAGTGGCTCTAAAATAATCCCCCTTCCAAGAACCTATTGAGTTTCTAGATGAAGTTTTACTGATATGAGATGAAATGCAAAGAATTTTGGAATGGGGGGGCACCTGGGTAGCTCAGTGGTTGAGTGTCGGCCTTTGGCTCAGGTCATGATCCCTGGGTCCTGGGGTCAAGTCCCACATTGGGCTGTCTGTGGGGAGCCTGCTTCTCCCTCTGCCTGTGGCTCTCTGTCTCTCTCTCTCTGTGTCTCACATGAATGAATGAATAAAATCTTAAAAAAAAATTATTTTTTGAATAGCAAGTTACTTTTTTTTTATTTTTAAAAAGATTTTGTTTATTCATGAGAGAGAGAGAGAGAGAGAGGCAGAGACTTGTGCAGAGGGAAAGAGAGAAGCAGGCTCTCTCTGGGGAGCCCGATGTGGGACTTGATCCCAGGACTCTGGGATCATGAACTGAGCCAAAGGCAGATGCTCAACCACTAAGCCACCCAGATACCCCAGAACAGTACATTTTTAAACTAAATGTATTTATCTTAAAGGACTAGCCTTTGAAATTTTGTCTTCCTACTTTTTAAATATTAAAACAACTCTTTATAAAATTATTATATATAGCATGATTGCTTTTTATTAATATTCCTTATTTGCAGACTCAAAAGTTGACCATCTGATATAGGTCTTCCTGCCCATCCCTTTTAAAATTTTACTGTTCTAAAAATCCTAAAGTAGGGAAATTGCTGTTATAAAAGGGCAGCAATAATGTTTTATAGCTTTTGGAAGTTCCTATAGACCACTAAAGTAGGATGAAATCTGATCTTATTCCTTGCTGTTTTTATTTTTTATTTTTTTCCTTGCTGTTTTTATTTTCAGAGTATAAGTTTGAGTGTAAAATGCCTCGAGGATGTAGAAATCAAAATTTAGAGCAGGATTTCTCAGCCTCCGCATTTAGTAACATTTTGGGCTGGATAATTCTTTGTCTTGTGGAGGTGTGTGGATTGTCCTGTCATTTGTAGCATGTTTAGCAGCATCTCTGACCTATACCCAGTTGATGCCAGTAGCACCCCCAATTGTGACAACCCAAAATGTCTCCAAACATTACCAGATGTCTTGCGGGCAAATTGACCCAATTAAGAACCACTGATTTGGTGAGTCTGGAACATACCCACACACTGGCCCCTAAAAAATATGAAAGAGCTTTAAAACTGTAAGATAAATAGGAAAATAAACTTTTAGACTTAGCCCAGTGTTTTTATATAGGTGAAAACACAGGTGTATTAGAATGAGAAGTGGTTGCAGAGCACAAATTCTTCTCATATAGGACATGTAGTTACAAATGTTATGAAAACTTTATTTAATTATAATGTTTGAGGAACCAAATATAATGTTAACCTCATTACAGATTTCATACTGAAGTTTTTGTTTCGTTTTGTTTTTTTCAGACTGAAGTTTAACGCTATCATATTTATTCTGCTTTTAATTAGTATAACCCAAATTTGATAACATGCGTGGGTTTTTTTCTTTATATAGGCAGCTAATCCTTGATGGTCAGTGGGATGAAGTTCTTCAGTTCATTCAGCCTCTAGAATGTATGGAAAAATTTGACAAAAAAAGGTAAGATTTCTTCTGGAGTTTTAAATGTCTTATCATTGGTAGAAGCTTAGCAGAACAAAACAATAAACAAAAATGTAAAAATAAGGCTATGTTTTTAAACTTTCCTACTTAGCTTTCCTAGAAAATAGTATACTCAATCCAATTGAGTTGGAGTACTTCTAGAGGACAAGTTGCATGTACTTCAGTTGGTTGAAAATCTGATACATAAACCTACCTGTTTTGGTAGTGTCTATACAAAAAGTCATAAGGGCCATATCTGAAACAGTTGTTACCTCATAATAGTATGAAGTTTTTTTTTAAATATTTTTATTTATTCAGAGATGCAGAGACACAGGCAGAAGAAGAAGCAGGCTCCATGTAGGGAGCCCGATGTGAGACTCGATCCGGGAACTCCGGGATCACTCCCTGAGCCAAAGGCAGATGCTCAACTGCTGAGCCACCCAGGCATCCCTAGTATAAAGATTTTAAAGATGTCATTCCAAAAAAAAAAAAAAAAGGTCATTCCATTGTCTCCTGGCCTCCATTATTTCTGATGAATACTTAGCTGTGTTTGTATGACAGCTGATGTATGACATACCTGATTATCTTGTATGTTTCCTTTTCCTTTTTCTTTATTTTTTCTTGACTGCCTTCAAGATTTTTTTTTCTTTTTTTAAAGATTTTATTTATTTATTTATTCATGACAGAGAGAGAGGCAGACAGAGGCAGAGAGAGAAGCAGGCTCCATGCAGGGAACCTGATGCGGGTGGGACTCGATCCCTGGACTCTAGGATCATGCCCTGGGCCGAAGCAGGGCCACCCAGGGATCCCCTATTCCTTTTTTTTAAATTGAGATATATTTAACATACAAATAACATTATATCGGCTTCGGCTGTACAATATAGTAATTGTATATATTGTGAAATCATTACAGTAAGTCTAGTTAACATTCATCCCTATACATAGTTACAAAAATTTTTCTTTCTTGTGAGCAAGATTTCTAAGATCTCTCTTAGCAACTTTAATATGTGCAATACAGGGACACCTGGGTGGCTTAGAGATTGAGCATCTGCCTTTGGCTTAGGGTGTGATCCTAGGGTCTGGGATCAAGTCCTGCATCAGACTCCCTGCGAGGAGCCTGCTTCTCTCTCTGCCTATGATTCTGCCTCTCTGTGTCACTCATGAATAAATAAATAAAATCTTTTTAAAAATATGCAATACAATATTATTAATTATAGTCACCAGGCTGTACGTTACATCCCTATGACTTACTTTATAATTGGAAGTTTGTACCTTTGGCTTTATCTGTTCTGCCCACCCTTCCCACTCCTGACTCTGGCAACAAGATTTTATCATTGGCTTTGAGCAGTTTGATTATGATGTACTTACATGTAGTTTCTGTTATTTTTCCTGCTTAGGGTTTGCTGAACTTTTTGAATCTTTAAGTTTATATTTTTCATCAAATTTGGCCATTACTTCTTTAAATATTTTTTCTGCTCTTTTTCTTTCTGGGACTCTATACAGTGTTAGATGATGATATTGTCCCACAGGATTGAGGCTCTGTTAAGTTTTTAAAAACTTTTTTTTCTGTGTATTCTTCAGTCTGGATTATTTCTACTGATTTACCTTCAGTGTTCACCAGCACCTTTTTCTGCTATTAGCAGTCTGCTCATAAACAGTGAATTTTTCATTTCAGATAATTGTACCTTTCAGTTTCAGAATTTACAATTTTTCCGCTATTTCCATCTGTTTACTTGTTGTTACTATATTTACCTTTAAGGCCTTGAACATATTTATGGTAGGTAGTGTTTGCTAATAATCTTTGTCTGCTAATTCCAACTTCTAAGTCATTTTAGGCTCAATTTCTATTGATTTGCCTTTATCTTATCTATGAGTCACTTTAAAAAAAATATATCTAGTCATTTTTAAAATGTATTCTGCACATTGTGGATTCATTGCTGGGACTCTGGATTCTGTTATCTTCCTTTGAAAAGTGTTGATTTTTATTCATACAGATAGTTAACTTGATTACACTCTAATTTAGTGTATGCCAGCTGAGATCTTTGTTCAGTTAATTAGCCTTCCATCTGTTGCTTTCTTTGGGCTCCTTGGAGTCTCCCTTACATCTTCTCAGTTTGAGGGACAGCCAAATATTTGGGCTGAGTTTTTATAGTGGATTTTTGTGCATTTTTCATTATGGCTTCCTTCTTTTTTGGCTGTCTCCTTGCTTTTCAGTTACTCTTGCAGCACCAACTTGTTCGCTGACTTTTCAAGAAAGTGAAACTGCAACTTTGTACTTGAGTTTTAGCTCACACTGTGTTGACTGGAGAGTGTCCCCAGCTGGAGGGCCTTATACCCTTGAATCTCACCTCAAAGTTTCTTTTTTTTTTTCAAGGATAGACTTCCCTCTAATTGTGCCAGCTTTTTGTTGTTTTTCATTGCTTTTAAATACTTATTTTTTAAAAACTTTATCTAGAGTTTATCATTGTTATCTGCAGAAAGGTTTGCCAGATACAAGTTATTCCACCATTAATGGAAGTATACAGCCTTATATTGTTTTTTGATCCTCCATTCATACCACTAGTTCTATATGATACCTGTTTGCTTTTGTATATTGTTCATTCATCTGGAATAGTATTCCTTTCATTGTCTCCTGCCTATACATAGCACATTCCTGGTCATCTTCCAAGAGTCAGCTCTTACAAGATTTTCCTTATACTTCCCACCTCTTCTAATAGAATTGGTTTCACACTCCTTAGAGACCTTGCTGAAACAGTATACATATTGCATACAATTTATTAGATGACCCTCTTTTTGAAGGCAAGGATTTTGTTTTATTGGACACATATTTGCTACCATAACAGTGGTTGAAGGAATGACTGAAGGTTCGTTATTATTTTCTTTTCAGTCCTTAGAAATAATTTCTCTTTAAGATGCTTAAGGCATCCAACATTTGTCAATTCTTGGACAAGTCAAGTAGACTCTTCTCCCTGAAAAAATCTCTGTTAAAAAGTTTTAAAGTTTAAAGGTTCCTGGGTGTTTCAGTTGGTCAAGCATCCAGCTCTTGATCTCAGCTCAGGTCTTGATCTCAGGGTTGTGAGTTCAAGCCTTATGTTGGGCTCTGTGCTGGGCATGGAACCTACTTGCAAAAAAAGTTTTAAAGTTTATGGATTATTTTATGACTTTTCAGAAATGTTCATTTCTTATGATCTTTCAGTTGGCTTTTTATTAGACCATTCTTATCTTTGAAAATAACAAAGACATATTTTGAATAAAATGCAAAGTAATAAAACATAATAAACAAAACATTTTGAATGTAAAGGACTTTGATATCATATTAAATGATATTTGATATCTTCCATAAAACTTGATTCTTGTTCAGAATTAATATTGGAAGTAGAAATCTCCTTTCCTTTAAGTATTAAGTTGTATTTACTACTGAAATTATTTTGTTTTTATTTATTTATTTTTTAAAAGATTTTATTTATTCATGAGAGAGAGAGAGAGATAGGCAGAGATACGAGAGAGGGAGAAGCAGGCTCCATGCAAGGTAGCCTGACATGGGACTCGATCCCAGATTTCGAGGATCATGCCCTGGGCTGAAGGTGGCGCTAAACTGCTGAGCCACCCGGGCTGCCCTATTTTTTTTTTAAATAAATTTATTTTTTATTAGTGTTCAGTTTGTCAACATACAGAATAACACCCAGTGCTCATCTCGTCAAGTCCCCACCTCAGTGCCCGCCACTCATTCACCCCCGCCCCCTGCCCACCTCCCCTTCCACCACCCCTAGTTCGTTTTTAAAGATTATATTTATTTATTCATGAGAGACACAGAGAGAGGCAGAGACATAGGCAGAGGGAGAAGCAGGCTCCCTGTGGGGAGCCTGATGTAGGACTTGATCCCAGGACCCCGAGATCATGCTCTGAGCCACCCAGGTGCCCCACTATAGAAATTATTTTAATTGTGGCTTCAATGTGGTAAGTTTTCAAGAATATATATATATTTTAAAGATTTTATTTATTCATAGAGACAGAGAGAGAGAGAGGCAGAGACACAGGCAGAGGGAGAAGCAGGCATCATACAGAGAGCCTGACGTGGGACTCGATCCAGTGTCTCCAGGATCACGCCATGGGCTGCAGGCGGCACTAAACCACTACGCCACCGGGGCTGCCCCTCAAGAATATTTTTAAAGATTTTATTTATTAGGGAGAAAGCATGAATGGAGGTGGGAGGGTGTGAAGGGAGGGACAGGGAGAGAGAGAAGCAGAATTCCTGCTGAGTGGGGAGCCTGATGTGGGATTTGATCCCAAGACCCTGGCTGGGATCATGAACTGAACTGAAGGCAGATGCTTAACTGAGCCACCCAGGTGCCTCAGTTTTTAAGAATTTTAAGAATTTTTTGAAAGCAAATGTAGTCATAGTAACTTATAAGTGCATTTGATTTATGAGACATTGGAAAATTAATTTTTAAAAAATCTTTTCTTAAGGGAATAATTAGTCCTTTTAGGACAAATGTGTCCAGTTTTGCTCTGGGAACTTGGGTTTCATTTCCAATCTTTGACATTGCTATAACTCAGCTTTAAAAAAAAATTTTTTTTAAGATTTTATTTATTTATTCATGAGAGACCCAGAGAGAGGTAGAGACACAGGCAGAGGGAGAAGCAGGCTCCATGCAGGGAGCCTGACGTGGGACTCAATCCTGGGTCTCCAGATCAGGCCCTGGGTTGAAGGCAGCACCAAACTGCTGAGCCTCCCAGGCTTCCCATAACTCAGCTTTTTAATTTTAACATTTCATATTTTATTTTTTACAGGTTTCGTTATATTATCCTGAAGCAGAAGTTTTTAGAAGCTCTATGTGTTAACAATGCAATGTCAGCAGAAGATGAGCCCCAGCATGTAAGATTTTTATTCCTGAAGGTTTGCGCCATAGTCTTGTTTCAGTCATAAGTATTTTATACACTAAAAAGATCAGTATCATGAGTTTTCAAAGTTTTGAGGTGGGAATTCGATAAGATTTACTCTTTTGCAGTTGTAGTACTTTCAATCTGTAATGCTTCTAAACTTGTTCCAAGATTTAGGCAAATATGATAAATGAATGGCTGACTGGAGAGTGTACATTCCTGTTTAAGGTGATTTAGATTGTAATAGATGTTTGAGTTAAAGATGCTACATTGTGCTTCTTTCTTATCCCAGAATTGGATTATGTTTCCTTTCTCTTTCTGTTTTTCAGTATTCATTGATCCAGAGGTGTTTTTTCCTCCCAAGTTTTTATTTAAATTCCAATTAGTTGTTATACTGTATAACATAATTTCAGATATAGAATCCAATGATTCATCACTTATTTACAGTATCCAGTGCTCAGCACAACAGAAGTGGTTTTTAATAAAATCTTTATGCCTTTATGACAAATTAAATTTAATGATATAAAGAATCTTTTAAAACATTTCTTTCTTTCTTTCTTTGAGAGAGAGCAAGCATGAGCCAAGGAGGAGCATAGGGAGAGCGAGGAGGAGAGGCAGACTCCCCCCTGAGTGGGGAGCCTGCCACAGGGCTCAATCCCACGATTCTGAGATCATGACCTGAACCAAAGTCAGACGCGTAATTTGACTGAGCCACCCAGGCACCGCATGAAGGGTTTTTTTGATTAGAAAAATTTTTTTTAAGTTTTAATAATAGTATTGTTACATCTAAACCAAGGAAACTTATTAAGTGTTACTAAGTGTTCATTGAAATAAACTCAAAAGATATTACAGTGAGGAGTTTCATGTATACTAGAGAAATGTTTGCTAGATAATGATGTTTAAATGTGGGAAGAACTCTAGAGTGTAAGTCAAAAGACCTATTTTTTTTTAAGATTTTATTTATTTATTCATGAGAGACACAGAGAGAGGGAGAGGCAGAGACATAGGCAGAGGGAGAAGCAGGGTCCATGCAGGGAACCCAGTGAGCGACTTGATCCCAAGACCACAGGATTATGACCTGAGTCAAATCAGAGCTCAACCATTGAGCCACTCAGGTGCCCTTAGAACACTATTTTTGGGGATCCCTGGGTGGCGCAGCGGTTTGGCGCCTGCCTTTGGCCCAGGGCGCGATCCTGGAGACCTGGGATCGAATCCCACGTCGGGTTCCCGGCATGGAGCCTGCTTCTCCCTCTGCCTGTGTCTCTGCCTCTCTCTCTCTCTCTCTGTGACTATCGTAAATAAATAAAAATTTTAAAAAAAAAAAAGAACACTATTTTTGTAGTTAGAATTTAATTTACTAATTAAATTATTTAATATTTTTATTTTAGTAGTGCATTTTGATTCCTGATTTGAAAGTTATCTTGCATATTATACAAATATTCTGTGACACTAGAGTTTATCCTTTTGCAGTTGAATAGTTTGTAAAGTATCTTTGTATATGAATAAAATACTCTTGTTTTCATATCTCACAGAATCTCTGTTTATAGTGATCACTTAAATTTTTCTTACAGCTGGAATTTACCATGCAAGAAGCTGTGCAGTGTTTGCATGCCTTAGAAGAGTATTGTCCTTCTAAAGATGATTATAGCAAGCTCTGTTTGCTTTTGACTTTGCCTCGTCTGACCAATCATGCCGAATTTAAGGACTGGAATCCGAGCACTGCACGAGTTCACTGTTTTGAAGAGGCTTGTGTTATGGTTGCAGAATTCATCCCTGCTGATAGGAAGCTAAGTGAGGCTGGTTTTAAAGCAAGTAACAATCGTTTATTTCAGCTTGTAATGAAGGGCCTGCTTTATGAATGCTGTGTAGAATTTTGTCAAAGTAAAGCAACTGGAGAAGAAATTACAGAAAGTGAAGTACTTCTTGGCATTGACCTTTTGTGTGGTAATGGTTGTGATGACTTGGATCTGAGTTTATTGTCATGGCTTCAGAATCTCCCATCTTCTGTCTTCTCTTGTGCTTTTGAACAGAAAATGCTTAATATTCATGTTGACAAACTTCTGAAACCTACAAAAGCTGCATATGCTGATCTCTTGACTCCCCTTATCAGCAAACTTTCTCCCTATCCATCATCTCCAATGAGAAGGCCTCAATCAGCTGATGCTTATATGACCCGCTCTCTGAATCCTGCTTTAGATGGCCTCACTTGTGGACTAACCAGTCATGATAAGAGAATCTCAGACCTTGGAAACAAAACTTCTCCAATGTCACACTCCTTTGCTAACTTCCATTATCCAGGTGTGCAAAATCTTAGTAGAAGTCTCATGCTTGAGAATACAGAATGTCACAGTATTTATGAAGAATCCCCTGAACGGTAAGTATTTACTCATAAAAATTAGAAAATATTCACAAGTGTGAGATTGTGTATATTTAATGTTCAAGTCCATTTATTGTTCTTACTTATTTATTTTTTTTAGAGAAGGAGGAATGGGGAGGGGTATAGGGAGAGAAAATCTCAAGCACACCCAGCACAGAGTTCGATGTGGGGTTCAGTCACACAATCCTGAAATCATGATCTGAGCTGAAATCAAGAATCCAGTGCTTAACCCACTAAGCCACCCAGGTGCCCCTGTTTAAGTCTCTTTAGTTGAAAGTCAGTCCTTAAATTTTACAAAGCATTTCTAAAATTTTGATAATTAAAATTATCAGGGAGAATCTTTATATCCTATTATTCTTTTGCTGGTTATTAAGGCAATACATGAACATTGAAGAAATTTTGGAAAATATAGAAGTGTGAATATGAGAATTAAAATCCCACATAATCTCACATATAGACGACAAGTCTTTTTTCTATGAATACATTTTTTAAAATTGGGACTATAATATATATTCCTTATCATAGGACAGCAGATTATGTCCTTTTTTTTTCTATAAACAATACTGAACACGTGAAAAGTACTGAATAGTAAATAGTATTGAATGTACATAAAAATATCTGGTTATTTTCACTTCTGTTTTTTTCTAGTAAGTCTTTTTTTTTTTTTTTAAAGATTCCATTTATTTATTCATGAGAGATACAGAGAGGCAGAAACACAGGCAGAGGGAGAAGCAGGCTCCACACAGGGAGCCCGACGTGGGTCTCGATCCTGGGTCTCCAGGATCACATCCCGGGCTGAAGGTGGTGCCAAACCGCTGAGCCATCCAGGCTGCCCCATGTTTTTTCTAGTAACTCTTTTTTTTTTTTTTTATAAATTTATTTTTTATTGGTGTTCAATTTGTCAACATACAGAATAACACCCAGTGCTCAGCCCGTCAAGTGCCCGCCACCTAGTCACCCCCACCCCACCCACCTCCCCTTCCACCACCCCTAGTTCGTTTCCCAGTTAGGAGTCTTTCATGTTCTGTCTCCCTTTCTGATATTTCCCACTTATTTTTTCTAGTAACTCTTAATAAACATGAAAGAAATAAGTGTTAAAGCCATCACTCAGTTTTTCTTTTAAACCTGGCATGAGGGATCCCTGGGTGGCGCAGCGGTTTAGCGCCTGCCTTTGGCCCAGGGCGCGATCCTGGAGACCCGGGATTGAATCCCACGTCGGGCTCCCCGTGCATGGAGCCTGCTTCTCCCTCTGCCTATGTCTCTGCCTCTCTCTCTCTCTCTCTCACTGTGTGCCTATCATAAATAAATAAAAAAATAAAAATAAAAAATAAACCTGGCATGAAAGAATAATTTCCTGATTAGCAGTTCTTTATTTCAAGAGTTAGAAACTTTCCGGCCTCACTTTTCCAGGAAAACCATTGGGACCTATAGTTGGTTTCCTATACTCAGATTGATACTCTGAAGTATTACTATTGACTGCAAAAATTTATTGAAAGAACACAAAAACTAAACCTTATTCATATAAGATAGTTAGAGGTATTCTTTATTGAGGAGAAGGGAGCACTGGACTTGGAATTTCTTTTTCCAATTAAAGTCAGAAGAAATCTTTAAGACATAAGAAATCCAAGATAAATACATATGGAATCATTTTCTTTTTTTTTGGAATCATTTTCTATTAAGTTGCTATAGGATTATAGAGGAGGGGATTGTGATATCTTCTTTAATATTCCTTAAAGAGAAAGGAGGATTCTAGGATGTTAAGTGAGGAGACTTCCTAAAGCCTAGGGTGTCTACGGCCATACCACCCTGAACGCTCCTGATCTCGTCTAAAGCCTAGGGTGACTTCTTAAGGCATCTTATTGCTCTACTTGAAAGATAGAGATAATATCTAGTCATGAAGATGGATGAATATAACAATATAGGAGCATCCTGTTATCTAAATCCCAAAGGAATAGAGAGTCTTGAGCATCAATAGAAACTATCTTAAACTTTTCTTGGACTTTCCAATCTCTAAAGAAAATTTTCAGTGTTTAGGATGTTAAGCTTTAGTTCTGGGGGAACTGCTGATATTCTGAATACATAAGATGATCAGAACTTCTTGGTCCGTTAATGAATGACATGTTTGGACTTGTACACCAGTGAGATTGTCTTTATAAAGGAGAACATAAAAATCCAGCCAGATATGACTCTACATTTGCTGTTGCCAATGAAAAGAAAGTAGTAGAAATTGAGGAATGACTGGATAAAGATGGAAAAAAGTAGAAGATAAGTTACTAGATTACAGGATAAGCAGAGAGGTAAAAAGTGACCTATCAAAAAGTGAGTAATACACGTGTAATTAGCTGAGCAGTAGCAGTATCCCAGAAAACAATGTCATGCTTGTGAAATTGGAAAAATTATGAGACAAAGCAGTGTGAAATAATGAATAGAATGTGATCTTTGGAGTCAGACTTGGGCTTGAATAATAGCTTTGCCATTTATCAGTTGTGTGACCTTGAGACAATTCCTTAATTTCTTTGAGCCTAAATGACCACCTCTGTAAAATAGGGTGTTGTCTTGTGAAGTGAGATAAAGCTCTTAGCAGAGTGGCAAGTATGTAAATGGTGCTTAGTAAATATAAATTTCTCCCCTTCTGAGTGTCACACTCCTGGTCATGACAATATGTCAAAAGGGCTGCTAATAACATGCTATGGGAGAGCTATTGTGCTGTGGATAAAGTATAAAAATTTACTTTGGAAAAAGGTAACTTTGTCTTTAAAAATATTTTAGGTATAATGTTAAAATATTGGGAAGTTTAATTAGATCAATTATGTTGAAGATGCCACATGAAGAAACCTCTTATTTGTGGTAATTCATGTTTGAAGTCCATATTTGTTTAAAAATATTTGAGTGTCGGGATCCCTGGGTGGCGCAGCGGTTTGGCGCCTGCCTTTGGCCCAGGGCGCGATCCTGGAGACCCAGGATCGAATCCCACGTCGGGCTTCCGGTGCATGGAGCCTGCTTCTCCCTCTGCCTATGTCTCTGCCTCTCTCTCTCTCTGTGACTATCATTAAAAAAAAAAAAAAAATATTTGAGTGTCCACTCTGTGCTAGCACCATGCTGCATCCAGGTATAGTGATTGGGTTACTATGGTGAACAAGAAAAATTAAAACATAAAAGAAAGGTTTATAGGAAAGTAGTAGTGTTTTGCAAAGATAGCTTTTCACTCAAACATAAACTCAAAAAAGGAAGAAAAACGAGTTGAAATATATAAACTTTTGGCTATTCAGTGTAATGATCTCAAAATTGAATGCCAAAAAAAAAATTCTCAGAAATGGGTCTGCATTGGATTTGGAGCCTGAAGATCTGGATTCAAATTCTAGTTTTATTTACTGGCTATATTATTTAGGAAAATCCCTTTGTTCCTCATCTGTGAAATGGGAGTCACAATCTATTTCACAAGTTACTGTGCAAGTTAAATGAGATAATGCATGTGGAAATGGTATATAATTTGCAAAATTGAATGTTACCTTATGAAGGTCATTTTATTCTATATACAGTTAATAACTTAAAAAATCTGTCTTGTGGACATAAAATGGGACCTCTTGTTATTATTAGGTTACAGCACTGAATGGTAGCTGAAAGTTTTTCCTAAATCTTTTACTTCCTCCTCTGAGTACATGTCTGATTACATATGTTGAGAAAGCTCCTAACTTCTCAATTAGAAAGCTCCTAACCAGTGGTGCCTTTGTGAAGATGACTATTTAGCTCTGCTTCCTGAACCCTAGACCTGTAGTTTGTTATGTCTTACATACTTCTGCCTGGAGAGGCCATTAAGAAGCCATCTCATAATCCAGTTCCTTCAAGGCAAAGATCGTTTTACTTTTGTACATGTTCCCACAGTGCCTTGTGCCAATAGGTAATCCATATTTGTCTGTGGTATTTTGGATGATGTTAGTTTTTAAAATTTTGAACGAGTTACTATGGAAAGAAGAAATATTAGGAACAACCTGATAGAATATATTAAGCTTACTAATTAGTATACATTAAAAATATTGGAAAGGGGGGCAGCCCCGGTGGTGCAGCGGTTTAGCGCCGCCTACAGCCCAGGGTGTGATCCTGGGGACCCGGGATCGAGTCCCACGTCGGGCTCCCAGCATGGAGCATGCTTCTCCCTCTGCCTGTGTCTGTGCCTCTCAGGACCTGATCCCAGGGTCCCAGGATCGAGTCCCCATCCGGCTCCCTGCATGGAGCCTGCTTCTCCCTCTGCCTGTGTCTCTGCCTCTCTCTCTGTGTGTGTTTCATGAATAAATAAAATCTTAAAAAATATATTGGAAAGGTGTATGTTTGGCTTTTATGTTAAGTGCAAATAAACCAAAGACAGTCTTTTTTTTTTTTTTAAGATTCTATTTATTTATTTATGAGAGACACAGGTAGAGGGAGAAGCAGGTTCTATGCCGGGAGCCCGATGTGGGACTGGATCCTGGGACCTCAAGATCATACCCCAGGCCAAAGGCAGGCGCTAAACCACTGAGCCACCCAGGGATCCCCTAAAGACAGTCTTTTAATAAAATCTTAACAATTCTTAGAATTTTGTTGAAACCTATTGGAGGGAAAAAATTAATGTTCAGATAACAAAATCACAGATTAAGATACATAAAGAGAATTCAGGCATTAGGTCATCGAGCTTTTTATTCAATTCAATTTATAGATGAAGCTGAGCAACAGAGGATGTAAGGGATTTTCCCAAGACCACACATCTTGTTTTAGACTGGAGCCCCTACCCTCCTTAATAATCCAGTGCACTTCTGTGATAAGCGTATTCTATTTGTTTAAAAAATCCTTACATAGTACCCTTAAGAGGAGAAAGGAAAATTTAAAAATCTATTTTTTGCATATTTGATAAACATTTAGACTAAATATTCATTGTGTTAAGTAAAATTTCTCTAAAACATATTTTCCTTCACCCCAACCTCTTCCTATTTGTTTTTTGTATCTTTCTGGAAGAAGTGATACACCTGTTGAGGCACAGCGGCCTATAAGCAGTGAAATCCTGGGCCAGAGTTCAGTTTCAGAAAAAGAGTCTGCAAATGGAACACAGAATCCAGGACCAGCTAAGCAAGAAAAAAATGAGGTAATGTTTAATATACCTAGTGTCTTTTAGAATTATTCTCTTTGAAAGAAGTAATAGCATTTGCTTGGGTAGAACGTAAAAGGAATTTTCCGACATTTGGGAGTGAGAGCATATCTAGACTTTCTTATTGTCATTTTCTCTCTTCCCTTAAGGATATGGTATTTTTAGTTGTCGTGTATTTTATAGCACAGGTGAACTTATTAACAATCAGAAATACCACAGTTTACATTAATTGTACGTTTCAGGACGCAAGTAACTGAACTCACATTAAATGTGGATAGTGTGTATTTTTAAGATATATCCTCTATATTTTACTACTTAGATTTAATGAACAAGAAATTATGACATGTATAATATAAAATGCTTTTATCCAAGTCTTTAGAGTTCCAAATTATTTTTCTCTGGTGTTTTGGAAAAGAAATTGTATTATGAAGGAGAGTATAAATTTTATCTTATATGGTATGCCACTTAGAAGAGATGAAGATGCTTAATAAGTTTATTTTTTGTTTTTATTTTTTAAATTTTATTTATTTATTTATGAGAGACACAGAGAGAAGCAGAGGCATAGCCACAGGGAGAAGCAGGCTCCCTGCGGGGAGCCCGATGTGGGACTTGATCCCGGACACCGGAATCACACCCTGAGCTCAGGCAGATGCTTAACCACTAAGCCAGCCAGGCATCCCATTTAATAAATGTAAACATTTTTTAATGTTTTCAACTAAATATTAAGAATGAGGTACAAAAATTACTATTAAAAATACATATGGGGACACCTGGGTGGCTCAGCGGTTAAGCGTCTGCCTTCAGCTCAGGGCGTGATCCTGGAGACCCAGGATCGAGTCCCACATTGGGCTCCCTGCAGGGAGCCTGCCTCTCCCTCTGCCTGTGTCTCTGCCTATTTCTCGGTGTCTCTCATAAATAAATAAATAAAATCTTAAAAATAAATAAAAATAAATAAAAATACATATGAACCTATGCACCAAACAACAGAACCCCCAAATCTATGAAGCAAACGTTGGCAAACTTGAAGGGAGAAATAATAGTTGGAGACCTCAGTACCATTTACAGTAATGGGTAGAACATCTAAACAGAAGATAAATAAGGATACAGAGTACTTGAACCTACTCTAAACTAACTAGACCTAACAAACATCTATAGAACATTCCAACAATATTGTTGTTTTGGAAGATGCACCTTTTTTTTTTTTTTTTAGCCCAGTGGTACCTGTATTAGTCTTTTTATTTTTTTATTTTTTAAAGATTTTATTTGAGAGAGAGAGTGTGCATGAATGGGGGGCGAGGCAGAAAGACAAGCAGACTCTGCACTGAGCAGGGAGCCTGATGCAGGGCTGGATCCCAGGACCCAAGATCATGGCCTGAGCTGGAGTAGACATTTAACTGACTGAGCCATCCAGGTGCCTCTGTATCAGTGTTTTTAGAAGTTGTTTTCTTAGACACCTTAGATGGGTGTTAGTATTTCAAGTGCTGGTAACTTTGTGTTGGGAATATGCGAAATACTAACAATATGTGAATACAAATATATAAATAAAGTGATACGAACAAGAAAAAAAGAACACTCCAGCAATAGGAAAATACACATTCTTCTCAAGTACATATGCAGCATTCTTCAGGATAGAGCATATGTTAGGACCCAGAAAAAATCTCAATAAATTATAAAAGATTGAAATCCAGATTGGAAAGGAAGAGTAAAGCTATCTTTATTTATAGATGACATGCTCCTATTTATAGAAAATCCCAAAGAATACATAAGAAAGCTACTAGAGCTTACAAACAAGTTCAGAAAAGTTGCAGGGTGCAAGAATAATACATAAAAGTTGGTTGTGTTTCTCCACTGCCAGCAATGAACAATTTGAACAGGAAATTAATAAAACAATTCCAGGGGTGCCTAGGTGGCTCAGTCGGTTAAGTGTCTGCTTTCAGCTTGGGTCATGATCCCAGGGTCCTGGGATCAAGCCCCAAGTCAGGATCCCTTCTCAGCGGACAGTCTGTCTGTCTGTCTGTCTGTCTCTCTCTCTCCTCCTCTCTCTCTCTCTCTCTCTCTCTCAAATAATAAATAAAATCTTTTAAAAAGTAAAACAATTCCACTTATTCCACTTATAATAGCTTATAAGAAGATAAAATACTTGGGAATAAATTAAACCAACAAGGTGAAAATTTTGTACATTGAAATCTGTAAAACATTGCTGAAGGAAGTTTTAAGATCAAAAGAAATGGGAAGATACCCTGTGGTCACAGATAGGGAGATTAATATTGTTAAGATGTCAGTACTAACTAGTATGATCTACAGATTCCATGTAATTCCTATAAAAATTTCACAGCCTTTTTTGCAGCAATGGAAAAACCAGTATCAAATTCACAAAGAAATGTAATATGTCCTGAATAGCCAAAACAATTTTGAAAAAAAAAAAAACCCGAAGTTGGAGTACTCATACATAGTTCATGATTTCAAAGCTACAAAGCTACAGTAGCTATAAAAGCTATAGTAATCAGACCTGTTCAGTACTCTCATAAGACTAGAAGTATAGCCCAGTGGACTACATTTGAGAGACCAGAGGTAGTCCCATATATCTGTGGCTAATTGACTTTTGGCATAAGGTGCCAGGTCTATTCAATGGAGAAAGAATAGTTTTTTCAACAGATGATGATGGATCAACTGGATTTCCACATGGAAAAGAATGAAGTTGGATCTCTACCTCACATAATGTACAAAAATTAACTAAAAACAGATCAACTACTATATTATAGGAACTCAGTATAAAACTCTTAGAAGAAAACATAAGGGCAAATCTTCATGATCTTGGATTTTATAATGTGTTCTTAGATATGATAGCAAAAGCTTGAGTAACAAACATAAAAATTGGTAAATTGAATTTCTCAAAATTAAAAACTTGTGCATCAAAGGACTTTATCAAGAAAGTGAAAAGATGGAGAGCAGAATGGGAAAAGTATTTGACAATTATATATCTGATAAGGGTTTAATATCTAGGATATATAAAGAACTACAACTGAACAAAAAGACAGTCTGACTTAGAAAAAAAGAGTTGAATAGACATTTCTCCAAAGAATATATTCAAATGGCCAATAGGCACATGAAAAGATGCTTAGTACCAGTAGTCATTAGTGAAAGGCAAATCAAAACCACAATGAAATATAGCTTCACAACTGCCAGGATAGTTAAAACAGTGGAAAATAATAAGTGTTGGTGGGGAAGTGAAGTTTAAACCCTCATACATTGTTGATTTGAATGTAAAATAGTGCACTATGGATTGGTGGTACCTTAAATAGCTAAAAATAGCTAAATATACAATTACCATATATCCCAGCAATTCCACTCTAAAGCATTGAAAACAAGGACTCACACGGACATCTATACATTCATGTTCATAGCAGCATTATTCACAGTGGTCAAAAGGTAGATATAACCCTAGTGTGCAGCCACAGATTAATGGGTAAGCAGAAGGGGCATGCATATTCATTAAATGGAATGTTGTTCAGCCACAAAAAGGAATGAAATTCTGACCTATGCTAGAACACAGATGAACTTTGAAAACATCATGCTGAGTGAAATAAGCCAGACAGAAAAGGACAAGTATATAATTCCGCTTATATCAAATATCTAAAATTGGTGAAGTTTTGGAGAAGGTAGAACAGAGGTTACCAGGAGCTCAGGGGAGGGAGAAGTAGTAAGTTACTGCTTAACAGTTACACAGGCACTCTGTAGGTTGGCGAAGAATTTTGGAAAGAGTGGTGATTATTGCACAATGTTGTGAGTATAATTAATGCCACTGAATTGTACTCATAAAAATGATTAAAGTGAAATTTTCTATTTTACCAACAATAAAACATTTAAAAGGACACATAATTTTGTCTCAGAGTTATTGCTGTAAGTCATGAAATAAAGGAGGATTGCTATTATTTCCTGGAAAAGGGGAAGCTTTAGCTTTAGTTAGCTATATAAGACGCTTCATTAAGCTTATTATCAGTGTGGGCCAATTTTAGACATGAATGACCTGTTCCAGGGGCACCCCAGTTCACATGATCCATGTTATATGATTGGATTCCAGCTTGTCAGGAAAGTCTTTCTATGCCAATATTGGAATTTACTAAATATGTATGTCCTGTAAGTTTGGGTGCTATATAGTTCTTTTAGAAGAACAAAGTAGGAGTGTTGAGATTAAGTTTATTACCCATGTATCCCACTTTCTTGTGAAAGGCCATTTGAAACCTGAATTAAAGTTGTATTTGAGGAAAATTTTTTAAAAAGATTTTATGTATTTATTCATGAGAGACACAGAGAGAGGCAGAGACATAGGCAGAGGGAGAAGCAGGCTCCATGCAGGGAGCCCGATGTGGGATTTGATCCCAGGATCACGCCCTGAGCCGAAGGCAGACTGACACTCAACAGTTGAGCCACCCAAGTGTCCCTGAAGAAAATTTTTAAAGTTTCTCTCTAGAGTAACCTAGTAAACCATTTACAAGCTTAAATTGTTGGACAAAGTTAATATTGTGTTTATTAAATATTAATGTAGCCTTTCAGTACTTTTTCAAGAGCTATACATCTAATTCCGTGACCTTATGACCACTATAATTTATATATTTTGGGTTAGTCAGAAATCCAGGATGACTATTCATTTTGGTCTTCCTATAGAATAAAGCAAATTAACTGATCTATTTGACTTTGAAAACTCACGGATACTATGTTATTATTCAAAGAACAACATATTAAGTGTTTTGTAATTGTTAAATACAGCTACTTGCATATTTCATCCAGTGTTTATAGAAGTTACTGTTGGGTAGAGACATATATTTAATCATAGTCTGCTCAAACATATTACTTTTTCTAATATTTTTCAGCTTCGAGATTCAACAGAACAGTTTCAAGAATATTATAGGCAAAGATTACGCTATCAACAGCATTTAGAACAGAAAGAGCAACAGCGACAGATATACCAACAAATGCTGCTTGAGGGAGGTGTGAATCAGGAAGATGGTCCTGATCAGCAGCAGAATCTTACGGAACAATTCCTTAATAGGTATGTCTTTCAAACACATTTTAAAACATAAGGAATCATTTCTTTTTTTTTTTTAATTTTTTATTTATTTATTTATGATAGTCACAGAGAGAGAGAGAGAGAGAGGCGCAGAGACATAGGCAGAGGGAGAAGCAGGCTCCATGCACCGGGAGCCCGACGTGGGATTTGATCCCGGGTCTCCAGGATCGCGCCCTGGGCCAAAGGCAGGCGCCAAACCGCTGTGCCACCCAGGGATCCCATAAGGAATCATTTCAAAGCTATTGAAAGCATACAATGACTGCTACTTTCTATATATAACTTGAAATTTTAAAGTGTTTTAAGTGTTTCAGGTAACAGAGAAATATCTTCCTTTCACAGCATCCTCAGGGTTATCTAATTTTGTTCTTCTCTTTAAACCTTTTTTCACTTCTAAGCAAGGAGAGCAGAAATACAGTGGTTCGGCTCATAACTGGAAGGACAGCCAGGTGGATTCAGCTGCCCCAAGGTAGCTGAGATCCTAGGAGTCCTAGTTACTTAGTTTCTTTTTGCTTGTTTTCTCATCTACTTCATAGAATAGCGGTGAAGATGAAATGAGTTAATGTATGCAAAGTGCTTAGAATAGTACCGGGCATATAGTAAGCACTATATTAAGCGTTCACTATCGTTTTTATTGTTATATGGGGTTCTTGAACTTTCAGAAGTCAATATTAAAGTTATTCATTCTAATAATTTCTGCCAGGACAATATGCATTTACATTGTTCATAATTATAGGAGGTGTGTGAATGTATAGATAGATAGTAGTGTGTCTTTTTAAAAATCAATAAACTAGAGGGCAGCCCCGGTGGCGCAGCGGTTTAGCGCCGCCTGCAGCCCAGAGCGTGATCCTGGGGACCCTGGATCGAGTCCCACGTCGGGCTCTCTGCATGGAGCCTGCTTCTCCCTCTGCCTGTGTCTCTGCCTCTCATTCTCTCTGTGTGTTTCTATGAATAAATAAATAAAATCTTAAAAAAAATAAACTGGAATATGTATATTTAAATGAGCAAAGGTTGTTGGAAGATTAAATGAGTTAATATATAAAAAATTACTTAGAGTAATTCCTAGCATATAGGAAATGTACCATAAATGTAGGTTATTATTGTGATTATGATTAGGCAATGCAGTAGTGACTGTCAGTTCTTTACTTGGTTCAATAACATTGGAAGTAATCTACTTGATACTCTGAGGGTTGTGCAAGTCATCAAGCCTAAAATTGATTCAGTCTTCAAGCCTTCACACAAGGAATGTTTATAGTGGTAATCTAAAGAATCTGAGTAGGCTTCCAAACCTTGCATTTGGGGATCATTTGCTTACCACCTCTGATAAGTTAGTAGCTTATCAAAATTATCCTATTTTGATGAACTGTCATTTCTGGTTTTTGGATATCTTCTTCATATCCATTAGGTCATGATTGCAGTTGGTTTTCCTCACCATTTTATTTTTCAGATAGCTAGCATTAAATCAGAAGATAAAGTGGCAAGGTTCTGTGATCCTAATAGTGGTAAGGGACGTACCTCCACAGAAAAAAGAGTTAAGCTGTTCAAGATGGTTTATCTTTCCTTTAAAGACAATTATAAATAGAAATCAAGTTACTTTGTGTTATTTAGCTTTTGTAAATTCGTTTCATATAAATTCTCCCTGTTATCTTAACTCTTATCTATTGTTTTCTAACCCTTTAGTATAATGATTTTATTCAGTCCTTTTTTCCTAGGCTCTTGGTTTCATATATTTGAGCCAGTATCAGGACTTCAAAGTACCTAATGCCATGGACAAATTGGATAGAAAAAGAATCTACAAAATAAAATATCCTTTCTCCCTCTAATGTTTTATTTTTTCAAATCATTCTAGCAATTAAGCTAGAATGTTTTGAGATTTAAATTTTGTATCTTTTTCCAAGAGTCATAGAAAGAAGAAAAGTCATATTACATAATCTTATTGAAAAAAATCAACTAAAGTATGATAGAATTTTTGTTAACAGTACTGTATTATTTATACTTCTTGATATTTTGTTTCTGTCAATTCTAGTAATCATCACCACTGATTTGGCACTTAGTATAAGCATATTCTGCTCCATTCTCCCCACTTTTAGAGAATCAAAATGATGTCAGCTTTTAGACTCTTTATACTTAGCATTTTCAAAATTGACTTGACCTCAGAATCATTCTTTATCGGGAGCATTTCACAGGATTCATAGAACACAATTTTGGGAAATGCAGCTTAGTTTAGAATTTTAACATAAATATTTAATAATGGCTTCCATTTCTTTTTAGTAATATTGAACTGCTCTTTTAAAGTCTTTCCTAAGCCCTGAGTATACATGCACGTGCACATACACCTTCTAATGTTTAATGTAGGAAAACTAGAAACTACAATAAACCACAACACTTCTTGGTAATCATACCACTGTGTACTCCTCTCTCATGTTGAATCTAGGCTGTAGAAAGTGATACTGGGCCAGTTCTGGGTCTAAGTTTTAACAGAGCTTGTCAGCTTCCCTTTTGTGCTGTGTGGAGCTCTGAGTCCAACAAAAGAAGTCAGTCTATCCTGATACAGGAAGACTTGTGATGAGGGAAAGACCTTGAGGCTAACTTGTTTTGCTTCCTGTTTTATCTCCTCAGTGCCTAGATCATAGTCTTCGTAGAATGAATGAATGTGTGAGTAATAGGATGCCACTTGACTTTGTCCCATCATGGTCTGCTCTAATCATACATTTCTTAGTTGATATGGTATTACTAGAGAAATGAAACGAAAATGGCATGTTTTGTCTTGGTGAGAAGTTTTGGTAGTGGTGATATTTTTGTTGACTATTTTGAGAAATTAAGTTTTAAATTGAAAATTAAACCAAAGTTATACTGGAGAAGAAATATGTTTTTAAAAATGTTTTTATGGTAAAAGGTGCTTTTATGCCTATATCCTACAGTGACATACTGTAGGAAAATTTGAAATTTTTTTTTCAGTATGATGGTTATATCTTAAGCCAATGATGGTAATTTTTAGTACTGAACTTACCAGTTACATACTGTATGTGCATTAATTTACCTTTTCAAATTTGAAATCTTCTATATATATTTTTAAAGATTTTATTTATTTGAGGTAGCGCATGAGAGAGAGAGAGAGCAAGAACTGAGGGGAGGGGAGGGGCAGAGGAAGAAGCAGAAGAAGCAGGCTCCCCACTGATAGGGAGCCCAAAGAGAGGTGGGGTCAATCCCAGGACCCTGAGATCATGACCTGAGCCAGAGGCAGATGCTTAACCAACTGAGCCACCCAGGCACCCCTTTTCTATGTGTTAAGAATGTGATTAAGTTTTCATTTTAATGTAATTGCATTGTTTTATTTTACAGGTCCATTCAAAAGCTTGGTGAATTAAATATTGGAATGGATAGCCTTGGTAATGAGGTATCAGCACTCAACCAACAATGTAATGGAAGCAAAAACAATGGATCTAATAATAATTCTCTAACAAATTTTGTTACACCACCCCAAGACTCTAGTCAGAGAATAACACATGATGCTTCAAATATTCACACAAGCACCCCTTCTAATCCTGGATCAACAAATCACATACCTTTTCTTGAGGAATCACCTTCTGGAAATCAAATGTAAGTAATTTGTAAAACCTGGAAATATTAACATCCTATTAATGGAAACCTAAAAAGTTGAACTTCTCTTTGGAACCTTGCAAACAAGTTATTGGAGCCCATTACATACCAAATCTTTTTCTAATCTGTCTTTTCTGTCTTTATATTCTTTTCTACTACTTCTAAATTTCTTAGTAGCCTTTGTTCTCCTATTTTTATTTTTTTATCTTTTCTTTTAAAGATTTATTTTATTAATTTTTTAAAAGATTTTATTTATTTATTCATGAGAGACACACCGAGAGAGAGGCAGAGACACAAGCAGAGGGAGAAGCAGGCTCCATGCAGGGAGCCCAACGTGGGACTCGATCCCAGGTCTCCAGAATCAGGCCCTGGGCTGAAGGCTGCACTAAACCGCTGAGCCCCCCGGGCTGCCTAGATTTATTTATTTTAGAGAGAGGGTCCTCCTATTTTTTTTTGTAAGATTTATTTATTTATTCATGAGAGATACAGAGAGAGAGAGGCAGAGACACAGGCAGAGGAGAAGCAGGCTCCATGTAGGAAGCCCAATTCGGGACTCAATCCTGGAACCCTGGGATCATGCCCTGAGCCAAAGGCAGAGGCTCAACTGCTGAGCCAGCCAGGTGTCCCCGAGTTCTCCTATTCTTATTTTTGCTTTCTTACTACCACCAAGACAATTCTATTTTTTTTATAAGTTGTCATAAGAGATCTTACGGTTTTATCTTCTCCCTGATTTTTTTTTTTAGCCATTGATACCTTTCAGCAAATAATATATTTTTTTAAACACTTTATTTATTCATAGAGGCACACAGAGAGAGAAAGGCAGAGACACAGGCAGAGAGAGAAGCAGGCACCACGCAGAGAGCCTGACATGGGACTTGATCCAGAGTTTCCAGGATCACACCCTGGGCTGCAGGCGGCGCTAAACTGCTGTGCCCAGCAAATAATATTTTTAATTCACAGACTTTGAGAGGGCAAGATGTTTTGTAACATTTTGGGATGATTGCAGCAAGAAAGTCTTGGCAACTCTGGCGGTTATAGCAATTGAAGACCTCTTGCATATTTATATTTTCACTAATCAGGGAAGTTTTTTTTTTAAGATTTTATTTATTTATTAGAGAAAGAGCACAAGCAGGGGGAGCAGCAGGCTGAAAGAGAGGGAGAAGCAGTCTCCCTACTGAGCAGAGAGCCCCATCCACATTGGGCTTGATTCCAGGATCCTGGGATCATGCCCTGAGCTAAAGGCAGACACTTAACCAACTGAGCCACCCAGGCACTCCTCTGGGAAGATTTTTTATTTTGCTATGATTAGTAAACGAGTGTTAATATATGCAATAGGCATAGTTAAGGAGCACTTTCTTCATCTATTCTTTTTCTTAAGTTTTTAATCACCCAGTGCTCATTCTCAAGTGTACTCCTTAATCTCCATCACCTATTTCACCCTCCTCTCGACCCATAACCATCAGTTTGTTCTCTATAGGTAAGAGTCTGTTTCTTTGTCTCCCCCCCTTTGTTTGCTTTGTTTCTTAAATTCCACATAAGAGTTTCTTCATCTATTCTTAACATTAAACATCTTTGAGAGTGCATAACTTGCTTCTGGCCTTTGGCTGCTTACAGAAATTAGCTTTATAAATTTTGTATCAAAAATTATAGTTTTATATTTAAGAGCTTAAGTTTATCTAATACTTACTTCCTTATTACAGTTTCTATAACTGTATTTTTGCACTCCCAAAACTAGAACTCAAATTTTAAAATTGATTTTTTAAAAATTAAAGTCACATAAATGAAACAGCACTTAAAAGCTTTCTTACCCATCTTTGTCTATGATTTCTATTTCTGTCATTTTTAATCCACTTAGCTATTTCTTGTGCTTTATATCTCCACATTTCTGAATAACATGCTTCTGTTACTATTTTTATTATGTCCGTTCCCTACCAATTTTAGACTTAGCTACCATACTATTCACCCACAATACATTCACATTGTCTATTCTTTCTTTCCAATATGTATCATTTTGTTAAAATCAGCATTCAGTGTTAACATTACAATGGCCATGTAAATGTTACTTATATCTGAGTTGTGTAATATGATTATGTTTCCTTTTTATACAACTTTTGTTTTTCATGGAGACATTAATTTCCTTAGTTTTAGTGTGCGAACATGCTTAATTTTCTTAGTACCTCTCATTAAACACTCTGTTGATAGTTGTCTCTTTTCCATTTTATCCCCCATGGGAGACATTCTGCAGGATCACTCTTGCTTCACTTTATATTCATTACCTCTAGGCCGTTTTATTCAGACGTGAGTCCTGAGACTTGCCTTCATTCTCCTTCTGGGAATTTCCTTTGTCTCCTCTCTGTATTGGATCTCTTGTTTTCAGGATCTCCTGTAGCTTCCTGAAAATGGGCACATTAGAGGTAAAGTTTCTGAGACTTTCCATGTCTAAATATTTCCCATTTGATTTGTTAGTATAGCTGAGTATAGAGGGCCAGGATGGAAATCATTAGTTAGAGTTTCAAAGGAATTGCTACATGTTTCAGTGTTCTTATTAAGAAATCTGATGCCATTGTGACCAGATCCTCTCTATGAAGACTGCTGCTTTTTCCATCTGGAATTTTTTAGGACTTTCTTTTCCATGATGTTCTAAAAATTTCATGATATACATCAGAATAAGTTTCTTTTCCTTCTATTCTGCTAGGTAACAATGAGACCTTTTAGGCTAGAAACAAGTTCTTTGAACTTAAAAAAATATTTTTTAGTTAGCAATTTCCTCATCTCCATTTTATGTTGGTTGTTTCCTACCATATTGTTATTTTCTAAGTTCCACCCAGTGCTGCTGCTAACCCCGTACTACCCAGGCCTCTGCCTTTGCACCCCCAGACCAGCTATTCCCTAGCCCTGGAAATACACCACATGTGAAAAGTCCCAGCCTGCTGGTAGGGGACAGGAGGGAGTGAGGAGATGGGAACCTTACAAGAACTGAGGCACCTGTAGGTCCTGCTCATCCCCCAGGTTCCCAGGGCAGAACTGGAACTAGGGCCCAGGTACAGCCACCAAGGCTGGGCCTGGGTCTCTCAGCCATTTGTCTTTGTTTCCCTGCCCCTCTGTTTACTTGTAAGTCTGTCAGTCTATTCCTAGAAAGCTCATTACTATGGGCCCTGGTACCTTCCCGGTCTGTCCCATACAGTTAACCATAAACTGATCTCTTACTTTAAAAAAAAAAAAAAAAGTTTTCCTTAAAATAATTTTTTTTGTAGATCTCATTTTTGTTTCTTGGATTTCTTTTTTCCTCTTACATCTCTCAGAATTTAAATTGTTTTTGTAGGTTTTGTTTTCTGAAATACCTCTCTCTTTCCAAATCCCCCCTTTTTAAATATTTATTTATTTTTAAAGATTTTATTTATTTATTTATTCGTGAAAGACACAGAGAGAGGCAGGCAGAGACATAGGCAGAGGGAGAAGCAGGCTCCATGCAGGAAGCCTAACATGGGACTTGATCCCGGGTCTTCAGGATCATGCCCTGAGCCAAAGGCAGATGCTTGACTGCTAAGCCACCCAGGCATCCCTAACTTTTTTATTTAAATTACAGTTAGTTGGGATCCCTGGGTGGCTCAGCGGTTTAGCGCCTGCCTTTGGCCCAGGGCGCGATCCTGGAGTCCCGGGATCGAGTCCCACATCAGGCTCCTGGCATGGAGCCTGCTTCTCCCTCCTCCTGTGTCTCTGCCTCTCTCTCTCTCTTTCTGTCTCTCTCTATGTCTATCATAAATAAATAAATCTTTAAAAAAATTACAGTTAGTTAACATACAGTATAATTTTAGTTTCAGTTGTATAATTTAGTGTTTCAGCACTTACATGCAACACCTGGGACTCATCATAGCAAGTGCCCCCCTTGATTCCCATCACCTATTTCATGCATCCCTCACCCACCTGCCCTCTGGTAACCATCAGTTTGTTCTCTATAGTTAAGAGTCTTTTCCTTGCTTTGCCTCACGCTCTTTTTTTTTCCCTTTGCTTGTTTTGTTTCTTAAATTCCACATATGAGTGAAATCATGTGATATTTGTCCTTCTCTGACTTTTTTCACTTAGCATCATACTCTAACTCCATCCATGCCATTGCAAATGACAAGATCTCATTCTTTTTTATGGTTGAATAACATTCCATTGTGTGTGTATATACCACATTTTCTTTATCCATTCATAAATCAATGGACACCTGGGCTGCTTCCATAATTTGGCTATTGTAAATAATGATGCTGTAAACGTATCATTTTATATACATGTATCCCTTTGAATTAGTGTTTTTGTATTCTTTGGGTAATGCCTATCAGTGCAATTGCTGTATTGTAGGGTAGTTCTATCTTTAACTTTTTGAGGAACCTCTATACTGTTTTCCAGAGTGGCTGCACAGTTTGCATTCCCACCAATAGTGCAAGGGGGTTCTCCTTTCTCTACAGCCTAGTCAACACCTGTTGTTTCTTGAGTTGTTGATTTTAGCCATTCTGACAGGTGTGAGGTGATATCTCAGTGTAGTTTTAATTTGTTGTATTACAAAGCCATAGTGATCAAAACAGCATGGTACCAACAAATAGACACATAGATCAATAGAACAGGATAGAAAACCTAAAAATGAACCCACAACTGTATAGTCAGTTAATTTTTGACAAAGCAGGAAAGATTAACCAATGGGAAAAGGACAGTCTCTTTAACATAGTGTCGGGAAGGTTGGATGGCAACATGCAAAAAAATGAAACTGGACCAGTTTCTTATACTATATGCAAAAATAAAGTAAAAATGGATTAAAGACCTAAATGTGAGACAGGAAACCGTTAGAATCCTAGAGGAGAACACAGGCAGCAACCTCTTTGATATCTCCTGTAGCAACCTCCTACTATATGTGTCTCCTGAGGTAAGAGAGACAAGAGCAAAAATAAACCATTGGGACTTCATCAAAATAAAAAGCTTCTGCACGGTCAAGGAAACAATCAACAAAACTAAAAAGGAACCTTTGGAATGGGAGAAGATCTTTGCAAAAGACATATCTGATAAAGGGTTAGTATCCAAAATATGTAAAGGACTTACAAAACTCAACATCCCAAAAACAAATATCCAGTTAAAAAATGGGCAGAAGATATACATATACATTTTTGCAAAGACATACAGATGGCCAACAAAAACAAATACATGAAAAATTGCTCAACATCACTCATTATCAGAGAAATACAAATCAAATTCCTTTTTCTGTTTTATTATCTTTTTAAGATTTTACTTATTTATTTGAGAGAGAGCACATGCAGAGGGAAGGGCAGAGGGAGAAGCAGACTCCCCACTGAGTGCAGAGTCTGACTCAGGCTTGATCCCAGGCTTGATCCCAAGTCTCTAAGATCATGACCTGATCCAAAGTCAGACACTTAACCAACTGAGCCACCCAGTTGCCCTGCTTTTTCTGTTTGTTTTAGTCTCTGGCTTTTATCTGGGAAGCTTTCTTCAAATATCTGGAAATCCTTACTATCTGTGAAGAGTGAGGTATAAAGGGAAAAAAAAAATTGGAAGGAAGCCTATGTATATATATGGATTTGTCTACATGACAAAAAGTGATTAAGGGGAAACACGGTTTTATTGAAGACTCTCAACTGTCAGTTTCTATTAGTCTTTTCTCTTGGGCCGGATAATTTTCCTAAAGAGCAATCCAAGTTCCTGCCTGGGGTAACATTTAACCATAGCATCCAGGCTTCTAGAACTCAGCAGGTGAAAGCTACTTGACATCTTACTATAAAACTTGTGGACCGGGATCCCTGGGTGGCGCAGCGGTTTGGCGCCTGCCTTTGGCCTAGGGCGCGATCCTAGAGACCCGGGATTGAATCCCATGTCGGGCTCCCAGTGCATGGAGCCTGCTTCTCCCTCTGCCTATGTCTCTGCCTCTCTTTCTCTCTCCGTGTGACTATCATAAATAAATTTAAAAAAAAAAACTTGTGGACCTTAACTTCATCTCCTTTCCAGAATGGCTTCTCCCTTCTTACAACTACGCTTGGCGTCACTGAATCCCAGAGCCTCTTAATAAATGGCATCAGAGAGTTACTTTGACTGGGGTTAGTGTGGGTCATTTGCCAAAAAAAAAAAATCAATATTAGAGATTGAAAGGATAAACTTAGTTTCTGTTTTATATTCAGAGTAAACTTTATTTGAATTTCTGTTCACACAGCTCATCAGAACATTCGGTCAGTAAGCCAGCTCTTGGAGATTCTTCAGGGAATCTGTCAAGATCAAGAGGGGAAGAGGTAATACTTTAAGGAAGGAGGTTTCATCATTATTTTTATTTATACTTGCAGATTTTGCTAAGAATTCTCAATTCATAGAAAGAACCATTTTTAGAAATAATCATTATTTTTAATGATATTATTTGTCTCAAGGTAGTTGAGCTTTCACTGGATAAGCGAAGAAGTCTCAGAAAACATTTGAAAGTATTCATTTTAATGGCCTAGTAGCAATCTTGCCTCATGAGTTGAGCACTAGTCTCTGAACCCTATGGTTAATTTGTTCAGATATTATTGGTTTTTCCTTTGGGCTTCTCATCAGTGCAGCTCTTTTTTTTTTTTTTTTTTCTTTAGAACCAAACATCCTTCCCTAAACTTCAGCTTCATTCTATCTTATTTTCTTTAGTTCAATTTTTACCCTATAAACAAAGCCATTATTTCAGATGGTTATAAAGCCAAATAGGTAACATAAACGAATGAAATTGACTATTGTGATAAGCACATAAAAATATTTGTCCTTTGCACAAAGAAATATACTTATCTAGTGTTTTCAGTTCTTTTGATTTTCAATAAATTGTAGGAGTGTAGATTTTTATGTTGATTTTAAAAATAGCAAGAAGTTTTTAAAAAAATTTAAACACACTGAAGAACAACAAATAAAGTTGATTGGTGACTGCCACATCTGTTCCAAAGCAACCCTTAGTAATTATTATATTATGCTATAGGGCACTTAGTCATTCCTCTCTATTTTTCTTTTATCTACCAATGCTGTTCATTTGGCAGTCACATTTCTTATATGTGGCTTAATGGGAAATGTAGCATTTCTTTCTTTTTTTTTTTTAAAGATTTATTTATTTATGATAGACATAGAGAGAGAGGCAGAGACAAAGGAGGAAGGAGAAGCAGGCTCCATGCCGGGAGCCTGACGTGGGACTCGATCCCGGGACTCCAGGATCGCGCCCTGGGACAAAGGCAGGCGCCAAACCGCTGAGCCACCCAGGGATCCCCCGGAAATGTAGCATTTCTAATCAAATAATTTCAAATGAATAAGAATTCAGTTACATAAATTAGACATAGTATGACCTATCAGATTTCCCCCCAATTCCCCCATGAGGATGTATTTATTGTATGAATACATAAAAGTTTGTGTAGGGACAAGCATAATCTCTTCATTGATGTAGGCACTGTGGGTCCTAGAGCTGAAGTCATTTGCCTTTGTGTGTACTTGACACTTATACTTCCCAAAGGCAGGATTTGGATAGATCTATTGACCACACCGAGTCTCGAGGTCCCTGTTCCAGGTCCAGTCCATTGTCATGGTAGCATAGTAGTTTCCAATAGATTCTAATAGCAAGAGTCACAAAAGCTTTTATATAGAACTTCTTCGACTTGCCTTTTTCAGAATAGGACAGACAGGTTGACAGTTTAAAATAAAAATGAGATTTAAATTAAATGGTCTGATTAAAATCACTTTTACAATTTTAAAAGGGTATTTTACAATTTCAGTTTGAAATATTAAAGTATTCATTGCTGGAGATAATGGTAAACTATCCCCCCACCCAAGTGGGTTGAGTTATAGTCTTTTCTTCCTACTTTTAGAAACACAAATGACATTCTGTTAATTTTATAAGAATTATATATGTGAGCTATTTTTTTCTTGATAGTTAAAGATAAATATGAGAATGCATATTCTTATGTTTTGTCATAGTAAGCAAAGAAAAATGTGAACATTTATGAGTTCTCTGAACTTAGTTTAGCAATGGGCGGCAAAAATAGAAAAGCTGGGTTAACTTGAATTTGCCATTTAAAAGCATATGTGATTGTAGATAGTGAATGTAAAGTGAATAATAGAGTTCAAATGAGTTTAAAATGGGCTAAAGATGAATTTTTTCAAATTCATTTTTTTTCATAGGATGACTTTTATATTTATTCTTTCTACAGGATGACAAATCAAAAAAGCAATTTGTTTGTATTAATACCCTAGAAGACACACAAGCTGTTAGAGCAGTAGCTTTTCATCCAGGTGGTGGCTTATATGCTGTAGGTTCAAATTCAAAAACTCTGAGAGTATGTGCCTATCCAGAAGTAATTGATCCAAGGTAAGGATAGATGGTTTGTACTGTCATTCTTGCTTTAGTTTTTAATTTAGCTATATTGGTTCCTTTTTCAGGATTGCCATTCATTAGTGTTTCATTTTTATTCCTTTTCTTTTTATGAAGCTTTTAAACTTTTATTTTCAGTGCTTAAGAAATATACTTAAGAATCATTGGTTAATGTTGCGCGTGGGGTGGCAATACGATTAGGGTCCTGAGGATAAGGGGATGAGGAAAATAAAAGTAAAGAGATGGGGACAGGCAGGACACAGTGGATGATGTCCAAGTAGTGTCAGCTTTATTCAAGGTTTTACAACATTTTATAGTATGAGTAAAACAAAGCTAAGAAGGTGTCTATTTTTAGCATGTTTGTGAAACCCTCCACAAAGTTTCCCTTTCTCAGCATGCAAGACAGACTCACGGGTGCCAGAAGACCTTGGTAAATAGATAAGCTTGTTGCTCCAGATGTGTATACTTCAAAGGAATATTAGATACGGTAAACAGACCAGCAAGGACAGCACAGACCCTTATTTACATTTATGACCAGGCCAGAATAAGTTGTATCTGTTGTGTTATGTGGGTGACATACAAGCGAGCCCTGAGAACCATTGCTCAAGCCCTTTCTCAATCATCAACCAACTATTTACCCTTTAGGCTCCCGAGCCTTTTGAATGAATGAGGGATGCAAGTCCGGGCCTGGTTTGGTTCAGTTACTCCAGCTAATCTGTGGTCGCCCACAGGTTAATTTTATAAATTTTTGTCATAAAATGTTTTGATTAGGCCATGAACTAAATAGGCAACTGAAAAGGGAATCTTTTGATCTATTTTCTAGATGAATATTAAGCACCTTCTAGGTATTGGCAATTAATCAGTCTTCTTTTTCTGTTTTTAATTATGAAACTTTTTGAACGTGTACAAAAATAGAGATTAGTACGCTGAAATGCAGTAATTGTCAAGATTTTTGTCTTATTTGCTTCATCTTTTTATTTGTTTGCTAAAGTATTTCCTAGATATAAATCCTAGATATATTATTTCACCATTTAGGATGAATCTCCAAAAACATATACATTTTCTTATATAGATCTAGTGTTATCATGATACCTAATAAAATTTTTAGTACCCTAATATTAGTCTGTGTTTTAAGATGCAGATAAGATACTATTACTCTATTAAACCAATATTTGACTCCACTAAAGGCCAAACTCCTGAGGAACATGGCATTCAGGACCTTCTACAGCCATGCCTGGAGCTCTTCACCTACTATGGTGTCCATCTGCTTAGTTTCCATTCTGGAAGCCCTGGGCTTCTTCCTGCTACCCCACAGTCTGTTTCCTGTACTGCACATTCAGCTGGCACTTTCCCTACAATATTTTATCTTCACTAGAACTATTCTTCTGCCATCATCAGAATACTGTAAAAATTATCCCTGTCTGTTAAGCCCTAAGTACTTTGTACTGGACCCAGAACATTTATACCTACCTGCCTTATTGTATGCAGATAGTCAGAATATCAACCCTTGCCAGATTTTAAACTCTAGAAAGAATTCTTGCCTCTTATTTTTTATTCATCTCTTGCCTTCCCTCAGCCCTAATTAGTTGCTCATCTTACGTATTTAGTAAATGTTTTTTTGAACTTTTTGAATTTGGAAGGATTAGAAGCTCTTTCTTCTAGGTTTCTGAGTTAAAATCCAGGAAAAATATGTGAAATGGAGACTTCTTTATTTTTTTTTTATTTATTTATGATAGTCAGAGAGAGAGAGAGAGAGAGAGAGAGAGAGAGAGAGAGAGAGGCAGAGACACAGGCAGAGGGAGAAGCAGGCTCCATGCACCGGGAGCCCGACGTGGGATTCGATCCCGGGTCGCCAGGATCGCACCCTGGGCCAAAAGCAGGCGCCAAACCGCTGCGCCACCCAGGGATCCCTGGAGACTTCTTTAAAAAATAATTTTGAGGTGCCTGGGTGGCTTAGCCAGTTAAGCATCTGCCTTTGGTTCAGGTCATGATCCAGGGTCCTGGGATCAAGCCCTGCATTGGGTTCCCTGCTTCATGGGGACCCTGCTTCTTCCTCTCCTCTCCCTGATGCTCCTCCTGCTTGTGTGCTCATTTTCTCTCTCTGTCAAACAGATAAATAAAATCTTAAAAAAAAAAAAGGTCTTGTTTGCTATGTGATCTGAAATAAGAGGTTAGTCTAATAATAGTTCATAATTTTACTTCTGGATTTTTAAAATTTATTTTTTAAAAGAATTTATTTATATTTATTTATTTATGATTTATTTATTCACTCATGAGGGACACAGAGAGAGAGAGAGAGAGGCAGAGACACAGGCAGAGGGAGAAGCAGGCTCCACGCAGGGAGTCCGATACAGGACTTGATCCCAGGATCATGCCCTGGGCCAAAGGCAGGCACCAAACTGCTGAGCCGCCCGGGGATCCCAGATTTAAAGATTTTAAAGATTTTTATTTATTTATTTGACAGAGACACAAGCAGGGGGAGTGTGAGAGGGAAAAGGAGAAGAAGCAGCAGTCTCAACACAGAGCCTGATGTGAGGCTCAATCCTAGGACCCTGGGATCATGACCTGAGCCGAAGGCAGATGCTTAACTAACTGAGCCACCTATGTGCCCTACTTTTGGGTTTTAAATATGCTTTAAATTCTTTCCATGAATTTTTAATTATTATTGACATGTTGTCTGATACTTTTTTGTTCCCTCCCTCAAGAACAACTATAATACAGAACTTCATTAATTTAAGCATGCAAGAAATTGAAATGTCTTTCTGTAATTTTTCTTTTTAGTGCATGTGACATCCCTAAGCAGCCAGTGGTACGTTTTAAAAGGAATAAGCATCATAAAGGATCCATTTACTGTGTGGCCTGGAGTCCTTGTGGACAGCTATTAGCAACAGGATCAAATGACAAATATGTCAAAGTGCTGCCCTTCAATGCAGAGACTTGTAATGCAACAGGTAGGTCCCAAGTATGTAAGCAGTGGCTAACCAATGTATTCTTAATGTTCTATGTTGTATCTTTGATATGTCTCTGTATTACTTTCAATTTAATCTAAGAGTATAGTCTTAAGAGTTTTTTATATTATAATTGCTTAGTTGCATTCAACTACCAGCAATGCATTAATGAATATGTTCCAGAGAGTACCTGTCTTCTCTTTCATTTTCTTTGGGATAAAAGAGAAGGTAACTCCATAGCTTTGTTTTAGGGATGATGATAACTGAACCAGTATTTTGATTTCTTAAAGTTCTTTGCTCAGGAAAGTGAGATTGATTATAGTATTAATCCCTAAATGAAAATGTAAACCACATCTCTTCCATTATTCTTGCTTAGTTTTGAGACAGTTTGGCAGTCTTAAATTATCACAGTAAGTTGAGCAGCATCTTTTTTTTTTAATTCTTATTGTTGTTTCAGGACCGGATCTGGAATTTAGTATGCATGATGGGACAATTAGAGACTTGGCATTTATGGAAGGCCCAGAAAGTGGTGGAGCCATTTTGATAAGTGCTGGAGCAGGGGATTGTAACATTTATACAACTGATTGTCAAAGAGGACAGGGCCTGCATGCTCTGAGTGGACATACAGGTATACAATAGTCCCAGATGCTACTTATATTTTTGTTCAGCCTGTGCTTCCCCCCCACCACTACATTTTCAGTAATGGGGTATATTTTATCAAAAGGGACTTCTTCAGGCAGCCCGGGTGGCTCAGCGGTTTAGTGCTCCCTTCAGCCCAGGGCCTGATCCTGGAGACCTGGGATCGAGTCCTGCGTTGGGCTCCCTGCATGGAGCCTGCTTCTCCCTCTGCCGCTCTTGCGCACGTGCACTCTCTCTCTCTCTGTCTCTCTCTATCTCTATCTCTGTGTTTCTCATGAATAAATAAATAAAATCTAAAAAAAAAAGGGACTTCTTCAAGACAGGAAATTTTTATTTTAAAAATTTAAATTGGGGGATCCCTGGGTGGCGCAGTGGTTTGGCGCCTGCCTTTGGCCCAGGGCGCGATCCTGGAGACCCGGGATCGAATCCCACGTCAGGCTCCCGGTGCATGGAGCCTGCTTCTCCCTCTGCCTGTGTCTCTGCCTCTCTCTCTCTCTCTCTCTCTCTCTCTGTGGGACTATCATAAATAAATTAAAAAATTAAAATAAATAAATAAATAAAAATTTAAATTGGGACAAACTTGGGTACAACATAGTAATGATAAGTAACATTTCCCTGGTATGCTAAATCCTTTGCTTATACACATAATTCCTTAATTTAATCCTCACTACAACCTTTTAAGGCATGAAGTTTTATCTGTATCTTACACATGAAATGAAATTTGAAAAGGTAAGGCTTGGCCAGTATCTTATAGCTAAACATGGCAGAACTGAGATACAACCTCAGTTCTGTCTCTTGCAAAGCCACTGTTCTAACCCCATGATCCAGTGCTTTGCCATCATTTGCCATGATTTCAAATGATAATATTTTTTTCAGTACTAATTACGATATCCTGAAATACTGAATCACAAAAAAGATTGTTTAGTATGGTTTTCGCATTGTGCATTTTACTGAATTTTAGTTTTTTGAAAATTGCCGATGTATTTGATATATGTGGAAAATCTCTACCAGCTAGTATACTTGATTAACCAGATCATCACATGTAAGGAGTACCTAGCTTTGAATGTGTTTAGGAAGAGCACTGTTCCACAGTAATAACTGAGTATATGATCTTTTATAGGGCATATTTTAGCACTTTATACTTGGAGTGGCTGGATGATTGCATCTGGTTCCCAAGATAAGACTGTTAGATTTTGGGATCTTCGAGTACCAAGCTGTGTTCGTGTTGTTGGGACAACATTCCATGGAACTGGTAGGTTTTTCTGGAATTTAAATGAATTTATGTGAGAAAGAAACTTTATAAAATGCACTTACTTCGTCTCCCCTGCAACACATATGTTAAAAAAAAAAAAAAACAGGAACAAATAGTAAAATAAATGCATGGTATTTTATTGATTATCTTAAATTCTTTCAAAATACTTTTCATCTGTTACTTTCTTTGTAAAAATAAAATTCAGCTTAGGAAACTGAGGCCCAGGGAGATTAAGTATAATGCCCCAATTATTACGTTGGCAGGGCTGTTTTAGAACTTATACCTTTGGGGACACCTGGATGGCTCAGTGGTTGAGTGTCTGCCTTTGGCTCAGGGCATGATCCTGGGATTCGGGATTGAGTCCCACATCGGGCTCCTTGGGGGGGGGGGGGTGCTTCTCCGCCTGCTTCTGTCTCTGCCTCTCTTCCTCTCTGTGTCTCTCATGAATAAATAAATAAAATCTTTAAAAAAAAAAAACCCTCCTACCTTAAAAAAATTTTTTTAAATAAATATGCAGCAGAGAAATTGAAATTGAACAAAGTCAATTTCTTTGAAGTCACTCCTATTCTTTGGTGTCTTTCCCTAAGGGACTAGTTTCTTATTTATTCTTCTATACAAAATCTGTTAGTATAATCAAGAAGTTTGTATATATCATAATCTGTTGTAGCCCCGGTGGCACAGCGGTTTAGCGCCGCCTGCAGCCTGGGGTGTGATCCTGGAGACCCAGGATAGAGTCCCACATCGGGCTTCCTGCGTGGAGCCTGCTTCTCCCTCTGCCTTTGTCTCTGCCTCTCTCTTCGCTCTCTCTGAATGAATAAAAAAATAAATCTTTTTTAAAAAAAAAACAAACAATATTTGTCCTTCCAATCCTTAAGCATGGAATGTCTTTTCATTTCTTTGTGTCCTCTTCAGTTTCTTTTATCAGTGTTTTATAGTTTTCAGAGCACAGATCTTTCACCTCTTTGATAGATTTAATTTCTCTTTCTGCTGCTTCATCATTGGTGTATAGAAATGCAACAGATTTCTGTACATTGATTTTGTTAAATCTGTTTATTAGTTCTAGCAGGTTTTTGGAGTTTTTAAAAAAAATCTATATCTTTTATATAGATATATGTCTTCCTTAATGATTTGGATGTCTTTATTTCTTTCTGTTGTCTGCTATGGATAGGACTTCCAGTACTATGTTGAATAAAAGTGGTAAGTGGTAAGAGTGAACATCCTTGCCTTGTTCCTGACCTTAGAGGAAAACCTCTCAGTTTTTCCCCATTAAGGATGATGTTAGCTGTAGATTTTTCGTAAATGGCCCTTATTATGTTGAAGTATGTTCTTTCTAAACCTACTTTGTTGAGGGTTTTTATCATGAATGGGTGTTGTACTTTGTCAGATGCTTTTTCTGTGTCCATTGAAATGATCATATTATGGTTCTTCTCCTTTCTCCTATTGATACAATGTATCAGATCAAATGGATTTATGAAAATTGAACCACACTTGCAACCCAGGAATAAAACCCCCTTGGTTGTGGTGAATGATTTTTTTAATGTATTGGATTCAGTTTGCTAGTATTTTGTTGAGGACTTTTGCATCTTTGTTCATCAGGGATATTGGCCTGTAGTTCTCTTTTTTAGTGGTGTCTGTCTGGTTTTAGTATCAGGATAATGCTGGCCTCATAGAATGAATTTTTGGAAGTTTTCCCTTCCTTTTTCTGTTTTTTGGAATAGTTTGAGAATAGGTCCTAACTCTTCTTTAAATGTTGCACTGCTAGGTATTTACCCAAAGGATACAAAAATATGGATTCAAAGGGATACATGCACACCAGTGCTTATAGCAGAACTATCAACAATAGTCAAAATATGGAAAGAGCCCAAATGTCCATTGACTGAATGGATAAACAAGATGTACATATATACAATGGCATATTATTCAGCCATTAAAAAATGAAATCTTGCCATTTGCAACAATGTGGATGGAACTAGAAAATATTATGCTAAGTGAAATAAGTAGTCAGAGAAGAATAAATACCATATAAATCCACTCATATAAGAAATTTAAGAATCAAAATAGATGAATATAGATGTAAAAAAAAAAAAAAGAGAGAGAGAGAGAGGCAAACCCAGAAACAGACTCTTAACTATAGAGAACAGACTTAGGGTTATGAGATGGGAGGTGGGTGCGGGGATGGGCTAGAGGGGTGATTGGTACTAAGGAGGGCACTTGTCATGAGCATTGGGTGTTATAGGTAAGTGATGAATCACTAGATTCTGTAGTTGAAACTAATGTACACTGTATGTTAACTAACTGGAATTTAAATAACAATTTGAAGAAGAAAAAAACCCCTAACTTATTCTTTCATTAAGTAAGTAAATAAATAGAGTTCTGTGGAGTCATCTGGTCCTGGACTTTTGTTTGTTGGGAGTTTTTTGATTACTGATTCAGTTTCTTTGCTGGTTATTGGTCTGTTCAAATTTTCTATTTTTTCCTGTTCCTTTTCATGTAAAATGTAGTTTACATTTCTAGAAATTTGTCCATTTCTTCTAGGTTGTCCAATTGTTGGCATATAGTCTTTCATAATATTCTCTTAAAATTGTTTGCATTTCTGTAGTGTTGGTTATTATTTCTCCTTTCTTATTTGTGATTTTATTTATTTGACTCCTTTTTTCTTTTTTTTTTCTTGATAAAGCTGGCTAGAAGTTAATCGGTTTTACTCATTTTTTTTTCAAAGAACTAGCTCCTAGTTTGATCTGTTCTATTGTTTTTTTTTTTAGTTTCTACATGGATCTTTTTCTATACTTTGATTCAAACCAGATATGATTCATTCTAGCAAAGTTGATTCTGGAGTACGCACACATGTATAATTCTGTTTTTATATTTGAGTATATTATCATTGATTGGTTAAAGTTTAGTTTGCATTGTCGCCAAAGTTAATGTATAACATGGTTTAAAGAAGAACACCTGGGTGGCTCAGCAGTTTATTAGCACCTGCCTTCTGCCCGGGGCATGATCCTGGAGTCTCGGGATCGAGTCCTGCATCAAGCTCCCTACATGGAGCCTGCTTCTTCCTCTGCCTATGTCTCTGCCTCTCTGTCTCTCATGAATAAATAAATAAAATCTTTAAAAAAAAAAGTGCAGACTCTTTACCATGCCCAGAGCAGTGCTCTTCAATTTTATTTTCATTATTGCAAACATCCTACCCCCACGCAAAGAGAAAAGCAAAATTAAATTTTTTCCTAACCAGAGAAATTAAATACTAGGAATAGATTTTGTTGGGTGGAGTAGTTCATCTTTGGATTAACTATTGTTAATATTTAAGTTTTTTTTTTTATCTCCTGGGAACCATTTTGCATCCCCTGGGTGGGGGGCATTATTGCCCTCATTGAAAATGTATGGTCTAGATTTAGGGCTGCAGCATGTGGACTCGGCATTTATTTTCATCTGATTTCTACTGGCAGTTATTGGTGTGTTGCCTAAATACATTCCCTACACTGTGTCCTAAAACATATTTTATTATTTTAATTTCTTGTTTCCCTAACTAGACTTTAAGCTGGTTATGGGAGTATTCTGGATACTTACCCAGCAGTGATAGCACTGCCTTAGGAAAAGTAGCTCATCTGTTGCACTATTGTACTATAAGTAACGGTGTTCCAGAGAGTTCCTCAAGTGACCAAAAAACGGACTTTCTCATTTCTCACAGGATCTTGCTTCATACTTTGTCTCTAAAAAAGGATGCAATTGTTATTGGTTGAATGCTAAGTTGGACTTTTCCTTAACAGTTTTGATAAGGTACATTAATTTTTTCCTGTATGGTTCAGTGAACATAATGAACAAAATTAGCTGTTGATTATGTTCACAATCATAGATATATTGATTTTTCCATATGAAACTTGTATTCTTTCTTCTATACAGGTAGTGCAGTGGCCTCTGTAGCTGTCGATCCCAGTGGCCGTCTCTTAGCCACAGGACAAGAAGATTCTAGCTGCATGTTATATGACATAAGAGGAGGAAGAATGGTACAAAGTTATCACCCTCATTCCAGTGATGTTCGCTCTGTTCGATTCTCTCCTGGAGCTCACTACCTGCTGACAGGATCCTATGATATGAAAATAAAGGTGACAGACCTACAAGGTGAGGGAGATTGACCTCTTTCTATGTTTGTGGTCTCTCCTATTTCAGATCTCTCTCTCTCTTTTTTAAATCTACATACAACTTTTTTAAAACTTTATTTTTGAAATTTCAGTATAATGTACAGTGTTGTATTCGTTTGAGGTATACAGTATAATGATTCAAAAATTCTGTGCATTAACTGGTGCTCTTCAAGATAGTTGTACTCTTAATCTCCTTCATCTATTTCACCCATCCCCTCACCTATCTTCCCTCTGATAACCATCAGTTTGTTCTCTACAACTAAGAGTCTGGTTTTTCATTTCTCTTTTTTTTCTTTGTTTTATTTCTTAAATTCCACAATAAGTGAAATCATATGGCATTTGTATTTCCCTGACTGATTTCACTTAGCATTATACCCTCCATCCATGCTGTTGCAAATGGCAAGATTTCATTCTTTTTCCTGGCTGAGTAATATTCCGTTGTGTAAGTGTGTCTATACCATATCTTATGTATCTATTCATCTGTTGATTGGTATTTGGGTTGCTTCCATATCATGGCTATTGTAAATAATGCTACAATAAAAATAAGGGTGCATATATATTTTTTTGAATTACTGTTTTTGTATTCTTTGGGTAAATACCCAATAATGGAATTACTGGATCATATGGTAGTTTTATTTTTAATTTTTGGGGGAACCTCCATACTGTTTTCCATAGTGGCTGTACCAGTTTGTGTTCCCACTAACAGTGCACGATGGTTCCTTTCTTTTTTCTCCAAATCTTCACCAACACTTGTTGTTTCTTGTGTTTTTAATTTACCATTCTGACAGGTATGAGGTAATATCTCATTAAGGTTTTGATTTGTATTTCCCTGATGCCGGGTGATGTTGAGCACCTTTCATGTGTTTGTTGGCTGTCTGAATGTCTTCTTTGGAGGCATGTCAGTTCATGTCATCTGCCCACTTTTAATTGGGTTGTTTTTTTAGTGTTCAGTTGTATAACTTCTTTAGGTATTTTGGATTCTGACCCCTTATCACATATGTCATTTGCAAATATCATCTCCCATTCCATAGGTTGTGTTTTTGTTTTGTTGATTGTTTCTCTTTCTGTGCAGAAGCTTTTTATTTTGTTGTAGTTCCCAATAGTTTGTTTTTGTTTTCATTTGCTTTGCCTTAGAAGACATATCCAGGGATCCCTGGGTGGCGCAGCGGTTTAGCGCCTGCCTTTGGCCTAGGGCGCGATCCTGGAGACCCGGGATCGAATCCCATGTCGGGCTCCCGGTGCATGGAGCCTGCTTCTCCCTCTGCCTGTGTCTCTGCCTCTCTCTCTCTCACTGTGTGCCTATCATAAATAAATAAAAATTAAAAAAAATTTTTTAAATAAAAAAATAAATAAAAAAAAAAAGAAGACATATCCAGAAAAATGTTGCTACTGCTAATGTCAGAGAAATTACTGCCTGTGCTCTCTTCTAGGATTTTTATGGCTATTTGGATCTTTTTGTTGTTGTTAATCTGGTGTAATCAACTTTATAACATTTTCAAATTTTAGTTTTATAGTATTTACTGAACAAATTACTAGTACTGTATTGATGTGAATTATAACAAATAGTTAAATCAAGTGAATAGGTTATTTTGTTAAGTATTTCTAAAATATTTGAAAGAATCAACAGTTAATACACTGAATCATTTTGAGTTCAATGATGATAGATGTTAAAATATGCATTATGTACTATTTGCTTCTACTTTTAAAAACTTAATGTATAATCTGTATAATTATTTCTTAAGCATCTAGTTTTATTTTTAATAAGTTAGTAAGCAAATATTTATTTTGTATCAACTAGTGACAGAGAGATGAATAAGACAGGTAACTTCCTCCTTGACTGAGCTTACATTGTGGAGGTAAATAAAAAGTAAACCAATAAATGGTGTAACTTCAAGTATTGGTAAATGCTATTAAGAAATCAGCAAGGGGGATCCCTGGGTGGCGCAGCGGTTTGGCGCCTGCCTTTGGCCCAGGGCGCGATCCTGGAGACCCGCGATCGAATCCCACATCGGGCTCCCGGTGCATGGAGCCTGCTTCTCCCTCTGCCTATGTCTCTGCCTCTCTCTCTTTCTCTCTCTGTGACTATCATAAATAAATAAAAATTAAAAAAATTAAAAAAAAAAAAGAAATCAGCAAGGTGTGAGAGAGTGACTGTGTGGGTGGTGAAGGCTATTTTAGGCAGGCTTGAGATGGTCTCTCTAGGGAAGTGCCATTTGTGCAGAGACTTGAGTGATGAGAAAGGCACAAGGTAGGTTAGGACCCCAGGAGGAGACCATAGCGAGTGGAAAGGTGCTGAGGCAGGAGTGAATTCAGCATGGTCATGACACTGCAAGAAGCTAATGTGGCTGGGACTTAGAGAACTAAGGAAGGGAAAGACAGAAGAAACTAGCGGCAGGGTTTTGTACACATTTATAAAAAGCATAATGGGAATCCTTTGGAATATTCAAAATAGGGAGTCATCTGATATCTATTGGTATCTGTTTAAAAGATAATTTCGAGTTATGTAGGGAGAATGGATTATAAGTGTAAATATCAGTGAGGAGGCTATTGGAACAGTTCAGGTGAGGAATGATGGTAGCTTGGATTAGAGTGGTAAATGTGGGGTGATAAGTGACTGAAATTGGGATATATTTTTATATGTTTAGTTTAAATTTAGGGAGTGAGGGGAGTGCTGACTCCTAGGTTTTTGGCATGAGGAACCAGATGGTGTCATTAATTAAGATACATAGGAGGAAGAAGAGGAGCAGATTTGGGCAAGCAAGTCAAGAGTTTGGTTTAAACAAATTAGGATGACTATCAGGCAGTCAAGTGAGATGTTGAATAGCTATTTGGACAGTGGTCTGGAGCTCAGGTGAGAAGTCAAGGTTAGGGGTGAAATGTGTGAGTCATAAGTATACAAATGGCCATGATACCATGGTACTAGATGCAATTTCATAGGAAGTGGGTGTAAAGGAAACGGGAACTCTGAAGGCTGCCTCCTGGGAAAGGAACAGCAAACCAGCAAAGGAGACCAGGGTGCAGGGGCACCAAAGTCATGGAGAAGTCAAGCTAAGAGAGTTTCAAGGAGACAGTGGCAGCTATGTCAGTGTTGCTGTGTATATTTTACTGAATACTACTGACATAATTAGGTATTTAATAATTTTTCCCTGTTTAAACCTTTAAATGTATTAATGTAGTTTAGGACTTGGCATACTGTAATGCCTTCAGGTACCAGGAAGTCTGTGAAATCTATGCATATACTTATTTTGTATTGTAAATCAGTGTCTCTCTTTTTAATTTAGGAGATCTCACGAAACAACTTCCTATCATGGTGGTGGGGGAGCACAAGGACAAAGTGATTCAGTGCAGGTGGCACACCCAGGATCTTTCCTTCCTGTCATCCTCTGCAGACAGAACTGTAACCCTCTGGACTTACAATGGATAGAGTATACCCTGTGTCAATCTATGCAGTGAAAGCACAGAGACTTAAGACTACTGAGTTGTGAAAATTAACAATTTTGAAGAACATAGCTGATCGGAAAAGTGGCTTAGCACGAGGAGGCCCCTTCTTAACGTGTATCCCTTTGATAGGAACTGTTGGGTGGTGTTATTCTGCAGTGGTTTCAGTCTTCCATGTGAGCTCGTGCTGCTGTGACCTGCTGTATGTAGTCTTGTTGCCAAAGTCTGCGGAAGAGCTCTTACGTTGTCAGTGTGCACTCCAAGTCAAGGTGGACGATGTGTTTACGGTTTAGTATTAAATGCATTCCTTGGTCTTTGCCTAAATAACAGTTTTATATACACACTGAAATTGAACTATACTTTAAGCATATTATTACATGTAATGCAACCAAGTTCTACACAGATTAAACATAGGTGTTCAGAAATTACTTTTCTCACAGTCCCATGATATTATACCACTTGTCAGCTAGAGGTCAGAATTTTCTATGTCTCTCAAAAATTACATGGTTATTTTCACTAAGGATTATTATGGAATTTAAAGATGGATGGAAAACTGCTTCTTAGTTCATTACGTGGTATTGGCGTTTTCTTTTTTTCTTAAACCCAGGGATAGAATTACTATTTTGTCACATTATTTTGCTTCAGGCTTAAAAGGTAAATAAATATGTTTGCTTCAGAAACTTGTTAATTTCAATGTTTTGAATGCAACGAGATACCTCCCTTCTAAACTGTACTGTAGAAGCAGAGCAGCAGCGTTATGTGATGCAACACTTGATGGTACAGTAAATTTACTGGCTGGCATTTATCCTCTTAAAAATTAAAAACGTTGCCATAGACTATAGCATGGTTTGAAATGCTATGTCTGCATGATAATTTAAAATGGAAAAATTTAAACTTTGCACTCCAAAAGCTTATTTGAATTTGTTCCTTGCACTGTTTTGTGTAATGCAGAATAATGATTTTATTCCTATGGCATTGTAGATCTAACATTTATGTATCTTTATTTTCATATTGTACAGTAATTTTACTTTAAATTATTAAATAGGCTATTTATTTTAAATGCAGTTGAGTTGGTTCTAATTATTGAACTGTCTGTGCACTGTGTGTAGCAAGCATTTTTAATCTATTGTATACAAGTGGAAAGGGTATTAGAAGTGTAACTGTGCTATTATTTCAATAAAGACCTCTTGACACCTGAAAGTATTCCTGTTCCTCAGTGTCTGTGACTTTCAATTTAGAATGTTTTTTGTTCCAGTTTACTTGCAGGTGGTGTGGTCCAGGGGGGAATCCCACAATTAGTTTCTTAAATTTCTTTCTAAAGTTCAACTGGGGCACCTTGCTGGCTCAGTTGGTGGAGTGTGTGACTCTTGAGCTCAGGGTTGTAAGCTCGAGCCCTATGTTGGGTGTGGAGATTACTAAAATAAATAAAGTTGTTCTACTAACTTACTTTTTACTTGGGCAACTGCTTAACTTTTGTGTGTCTCTTGTCTCTTTTATTCAGGACCTGGGGGACTTTCCATTCTGGATATATTGTGAAAGTTGATTAATAAAAAGCCCAGCAAAATATATAAATTGTAAGTTATATTAAAAATATGTTGAACTGAGTGCTTTAGAAAAAAAAAAGAAATCCCATTACTTGTATATATTCAGTAGGTACACAGTTTTCCTACCTTTGCAGAGGGAAATTCTAAATGTATGCCACAGTCTCTTCAGTTTACTTTAATGCTCAATTTCATACAATCTAGACATTACAGCAGGTCATTAGTGTTAAGTTTAAAACTAGGAAAAAGCATTTCTTGATATAGACCAGTGCAACTTCATGGTAAAAAAAAAAAATGTTCATAAAATTATTCCACTTTCAAGGAGAGAACTTTAAGATCCTCCTGTATATGGGGTATGGAATTCATTTTGGAGTACATTAGATAATAATCACTAGAAATATAATCACTATATTACATAATTTAATACATATCTGGTTACATATGTTATTTTTCCCATGCCTCCATACTGTCTTCTCCATGGAGGTTAATAGATTCTTAGAGGTTCATATGAAAAGGTAAGAGAACTGAAGTATCTATGTTCTTTGAACCCTTCTCAGTGGGGGTATAGAGAAGGAGAGTAGGGATAAGGAGTTGCAGAAATTCTTAGCTCCTTTCCACAGAAGTGTCAGAGGTCTGATTGAAAATTAATTTTTTAACAAATTTTAAGAAGATTTTATTTATTCATCAGAGACAGAGAGAGAGGCAGAGACATAGGCAGAGGGAGAAGCAAGCTCACTGCGGGGAGCCTGATGTGGGACTCAGTCCCAGAACCCCGGGATCATGACCTGAGCAAAAGGCAGATGCTCAACCACTGAGCCCACCAGGTGCCTGTATTTTTAAATATTTTTAATTGTAATAAGCCAAAGGATATAATACACAGAAAATGCAACCCACAAAATGGGAGAAAGTATTTGCAAATCATATATCTGATAAAGGATTAATATCCAGAATATATAAGAATTACAGCTCAAAAACAACCCAAAGACCAACCCGATTAAAAGATGGGCAAAGTATTTGAAACATTTCTCTAGGGCACCTGGGTGGCTCAGTCAGTTAAGCGTCCAACTCTCGGTTTTGGCTCAGGTCATGATCTTGCGGTTGTGGGATCGAGCCCCGCATTGGGCTCTGTGTTGAGTACAGAGTCTGCTTCAGATTCTCTCTCTCTCTCCTCATTCTCTCTCTGTCTCTCTCAAATATATAAAGTCTAAAAAAAAAATTCTTCAAAGAAGATAGACAAATGACCAATAAGCACATGAAAAGATGCTTAACACTACTAATCATTAGGGAAATGAAAATAAAAACCACAGTGAGATACCACCTCACACCCACTAGGGTGGCCGTTATCAAAGACACAAGATAATACGTATTGGCAAAGATGTGGAGAAATTGAAACTCTTGTGTATTATTGGTGGCAATATAAAAGGGCGTAGCCACTATGGCAAGAAAGAGGCCGCTACCCTAACTCCATCTAATCCCCAGGCTCTTAGACTTCGCTAATGCCCAAGTTCAAACAAGAAAAAAGCTGAAAGCCAAAGTGAAAAGATTATTAAAAAAAAAAAAAATAAGCCTGTCACTTCAAGCTAGTTACCCCTCCCCCTCCATCACCATCACTAAAAAGAGTGGCTATTCCTTCAACAGATAACACTCCTTAGCAGAAGCTGGCTAAGATCAAACCAGAACTTCAAATTTCCCAATATCAAAGATACAAAAAAACTTAAGACAAAGTGTGATCTATATACAGCTGATGCCAGAACTGCATGGCCCAGAGTTTAGGCATATTGAAAGCATCACCTTCCCATCCCATTATTGCCTCCAAGAACTTCACAGTCTAAAACAGTTTTGCATTTTGGAAAGTGAATTAGGCAAACTCTAGGAGGCATTGAAAACCATCTCAGAAAACTCATGCTGTCCAAGTTGTGGCCAAATGTGTCACATAAGTGGGAAACTTCCAAATGTGCCTGCCTGTGTTCTAAACCATCTCCCATCCTGCCACAGCCAGCCACTCACCTTCCTCCTCAGCCATTACTGCCTCCACTCCTCCCCGCCCCCTCTCTGCCTGTACCTCCATCACCTATAGCATCTTCGCTGCCCAGAAATCCTGATTGTACTAAAGCATTTCAGGTTGGATCATTAAAAAAAGACGGACCCATGCAGACAAGTTAAAGATCTAACTAAAAGAATACACGGGTTTTTTTTTTTTAAAGATTTTATTTATTCATGAGAGAGAGAGAGGCAGAGACACAGACAGAGGGAGAAGCAGGCTCCATGTAGGGAGCCTGATGTGGCACTCGATCCCGGGACTCCAGGATCACACCCTGAGCCAAAGGTAGACGCTCAACCGCTGAGCCACCCAGGGGTCCCAGAACACACGATTTTGAAGAAATTTGTACCATCACCAAAAGCATAGCATCCACTCATTAACTGTCTCTGACCTGCAGTGTGTTATCCTAAAACCCAATTCCAAAGTGTTACCAACTCAACTTAAAAATGTCTTAATTACTCCTGGTAAAAAGCCAGATAGATCTGCAGAAACTACATAGAAAAGTCACTATAGAGAGGAGGACAGGTGGAACCTCAGTTTCCGATAAAGAAAATTTGGAAACAGGAGCTAGGCTGACTCCAGTAATGACCTGGGCCTGGAGGAGAAATTTCAGTATGCTCACCCCAGAAGCCCAACTCAAACCCTGCCACTTTCTACAAGCAGATTTGTTGAACAAAACTGACACCTACCCTATCTTGACTGCATGTGATGGTCTGTAAGATAGATAAAATCACCCCAACTTTTTTTTTAATGTAGTAGGCCTTTATAAATAATTATCCTAATATATAATTCCTTTTTTTAAAAAATATTTTATGTATTTCTTCATGACAGACAGAAAGAGAGAGAGAGAGAGAGAGAGAGAGAGAGAGAGAGAGAGAGAGAGGCAGAGACACGGGCAGAGGGAGAAGCAGGCTCCACTCAGGGAGCCCGATGTGGTACTCGATCGCGGGTATCCAGGATCACACCCCAGGCTGAAGGCAGCGCCAAACCGCTGGGCCATCGGGGCTGCCCCTAATATATAATTCCATTTGAAGAATTAAAGTATGTTTGGAGCCCATTCATACTGTGGTATTAAGTGAGTATTTGGATATTTTTTTAGTTTGCATGATCAAAAAGAGAATAGATGGGAAAAATGCAATCCCCAAAGTGGTGTCTATCCTGGAATTACCCAACTTATGTTGGAGAGGTTGTTCAAATTTAACTAGGTAGATAATTTGTACTCAATAGGTGCAGCTAGGATATTAATGAACTGGTGGGACACGGGGGTGGCTCAGTTGGTTAAGTGTCCGACTCTTGGTTTCGGCTCAGGTCATGATCTCATGGACTGTGGGGTTCAGTTCCGCATCAGACTCCATGCTCAGTGGGGAGTCTGCTTAAAAGATTCTCTCTCTCTGCCCCTCTCCACACTCATTTGCTTGTTCTCAAAATAAACATTTTTTTCATGCAGCTAAATATATTTCATGAGGACTTCACATGAACCCTGTATTTTCCACAATGCCCCAAAGGATTCTCTGAAGTCCATAGCCGATTCACCGTGAGACCTAATTCCCTGTCCTCAACAGCCTGTGGATTCAATAACAGTAATAATACACTCCTCTTTGGATTTTTGTTCTTCCCGACCAGTCCAGGGTTGCCAGGTTTAGCAATTATAAGTACATGACACTCAATCAAATTTGTATTTCAGATAAACAACAAATAACTTTTTTTTAATGATAGTCACACACACACAGAGAGAGAGAGAGAGAGAGAGAGAGAGAGAGAGGAGAGAGGGGCAGAGACACAGGCAGAGGGAGAAGCAGGCTCCATGCACCGGGAGCCTGATGTGGGATTCAATCCCGGTTCTCCAGGATCGTGCCCTGGGCCAAAGGCAGGCGCTAAACCGCTGCGCCACCCAGGGATCCCAACAACAAATAACTTTTAAGTATAGCTATGTCCCATCAAACAATGAATGGTTTCTTTTAGTCTGTCCCAAAGTATCTCCCAAATATTGCATGGGACATAGTCATGCTAAAAAAATATTCAGTATTTATCTGAAATCAAAATTGATTTAACTAGGCATTCTGTATTTTATTTGGCAACTCTCTTAGATCTTTGCAAAATTGCAAAGTGTTTCTGGGCACCCCCAGTCAATCAGATCTATGTATGTAGCAGTGGACCCTCCTATAGCTTCAGCCAGGATCGTCATCACTGACGTGGAAGGGGGACTGTCATTAGGGTGCATGTGACTGAAGGTGCAGGATTCGCTTTGATGCTGATGACCTCCACTGCAGTTCGAGGAAGGATGGCAGAGCCTCATGGATGGGAACCAAGGAGTTTTAGGTCCTCACTGAACTTCTAGCCTGACAGGAAGCAGCTACTTCTATGATATCCTTGAAATATCCCCTGGTTACCATAGGCTAAAAAAGATATTTTAGAAACTTCCCAGAAATATCTGTTTTTCCACAGATAAATACTGTTCGAGAGGCCAAATAGGGTTGTGGGAAGTCACCGGACCGGAAAACAGGCCTGGGGACGATGTTTTGTTTTTATGAGACCCATATTTATGTTCACAACACATTTATGAATGAAAATTAAACAGATAATGAAGAAATATGTCTGATTCTAGTTTTTAAAAACCCAGGAGCTACATTTATATAAGAACAAAGGGAATGAATGATCACTGAGAATAGAACATTTAAGTATTTGTAACAACATTTTATGAGGCACTTATAGCGTTTGAAATATTAATAAACCACATTGTACTGTCTCAATTTAAATGATGTGATGATTTGATGGTTCTTATGGAATAATAGTTCATAAAAATGCTACAGAATAAAAAAGATGCTATAGAAATCCTACAAATACTTGTAAAGCTGTTATTGCCATTGTACCAGTATTAAAAGGTGGTCTACCTTGCATCTTTTACTTTTATGGCAGGTTTTATATTGTTTCCATTTGAGAATCCTGTACATGCTATGGCTTCAATAAACGTTGCCAATCCTATAACAAAAGTTTCAGCCACTGTAGACATAGCATAGTGGTTTTCAAAAAATTAAAAACAGAAGTACCATATGACCTATCAATCCCACTTCTGGATATATACCCCAAAAACCTGCACGCAGGGATTGAAGAGATCCGCACATTCAGGTTCACGGCAGCATCACTCACAAGAGCCACAAGGTGCCAGCAGCCAAGAAGTCCGCCAACACATCAAAGGATAAACCGCGGAACGCAGTACAATGAAGATTGATTTTTTTTTATTTATTTTTTTAAAGATTTTATTTATTTATTAGAGAGAGAGAGAGAGAGAGGCAGAGACATAGGCAGAGGGAGAAGGAGGCCCCACGCAGGGAGCCCGACGCGGGACTCGATCCCGAAGCCCCAGGATCAGGCCCTGGGTTGCAGGCGGGGTTAAACCACTGAGCACACCCCCCCCCCCAGCCCCGGGCTGCCCTGAAATGTTATTTAGCCTATTAAAAGGGAATTTCTATGCCACAGTATGGGCGAGCCGCAGTACCAACGTCATGCTAAGTAAAATCAGCCAGCCACAAAAAGACAAGTACCTTATGCCTCTCCTTAGGTTCCTAGTTTTGTCGAATTCGTGAGACACGAAACAGAACCAGGGAAGAGGGGAGGCGGGTGCTGAACAGGCGTTTAAACGGGCTGGTGGCTCAGTGTCGCCGGGGAAGGAGCTGCGGGGACGGCTGGGGCCACACGCATGCCCTGGACGACCCCGAACTGGCTGCCTGCACGCGGTTACGACGGTGAACTTCACGTCCTCTGTATTTTGACTTAAAGACCGTAACGAGCCACATGTACACGCCAGCGCACGACAGTATACGCCGAATTCTGACAGACTTTTACATTTGTCGCCACTCTAGCGCACGCTTCTCATTTCCTCCTGGTGTGTATGACTTAGCAGTTCCTCCTTGGAGAGTTTCCTGAAATTGCAAGGCCAAAAACAAAACAAAATTTATTATTTCCAGACTACAGCACAATGTGTAGTCCCCCCCCCCCCCATGTAAGACCACCGGAGTCCCTCACTATACCCTGCTTAAGTAATGACTGCACAGGTCACACATTCGGATCACAAAACAAATCAACACTAAGAAAACGTGCTTCGCGCTCGTGAACATTCGGCCTCCTCGTAAGGCTTGCCAGCGGGAGGCTCTGCAGCTCCCAGCGGGACAACCCGGCCGCCGCCCGCCGCCCCGCCCCGCCCCTCGGCGCCCCGCCCCGCCCCTCGGCGCCCCGCCCCGCCCCTCGCGCCCGCCCCGCCCTCGGCCCCGCCCGCCCGCCCCGGCGCCCCGCCCCGCCCGCCCCGGCGCCCCGCCCCGCCCCGCCCCCGGCGCCGCCCGCCCCGCGCCCGCCCGCCGCGCGCCGGGCAGGACGCACAGCCGCCGGCCGAGCGAGTCGATGAGCACGCGCGCGACGCCCCGCGCCCGCCGAAGCGCTCGGCGGCTCCACAGCGACTCGCCATCTTTCCCAGCCGACCGGCCGGGGGAGCGTCTTTCTTCCCGCGACGCGGAAAGGCGGGCGGTGCGGCGGTGAGTCGGCGCGGCCGGGTGTCGGCGCCGCGGGCGGGCGGGGAGGCCGCGGGGGCCGGGGCCTGGGGCGACCCGCCGCCTCACCCGGGGTCGCAGCGCCGCTGCTGTCGCGTCACCCCGTTCCGAGAGCGGCCTGGGGAGCGGGACCGGCCGGCGCGGAGCGAGACCCCGACACGGGCGGACGCCGGATGTTGTGGCCGTTAGTTACCCCTGAAAGCTGCTCCCAGAACTTGAGCAGACAGCGTCAGCGGCGTAGTTCAGACTTGGCCGCAGTTAATTTTTCAAGACTCCAAGCCGGACTTGAATGTAAAAAGCTGGACGGCGAGTGGGCGTGAAGAGCCTCGCGTTCTCCCTCGGTGGCGGCGGCTAGGGAAGCTGGCCCCGGGGGAGCGGCCCCCGCGCGCGAGCCCACCTGCCCGCGGGCGCCCGACCTGCCCGCGCAGCCTCCCGGGGAACACAGATCTGACTCGGCAGTTCGTCTTTCTCAGGCAGTTGTAGTGCATCAGATATTTTTTTGCTGTGCCCATTTCCTCTTCGCAGGGACTTTGCGGGGAGATCTCAGTCCTTTGCTGGCTCTCCACCCAGTTTGTTTTCCTGATAGCCACACTAACGTGAGTTTCTGCGAGAATCCAATGAATGTCTGTGACAGTGTTTGGCACATAGTCCTCAAACACTGCTATTGTAGATATTATAATTTTGAAATTAATGTGAAAGCTTGAAGCAATTGAGAAAGGCGATTTTAGAAAAGGAAGAGCCGGAGGAGAGAGCTTAGTGTTAACTGCCGAGCAGTAGACTCAGGTGCCTCCGTTAACCTGAACCAACACACGATGGTCGTTTTTCCTGAACACTTTGCTTCTTGGACTGAGATCTGCCGTCACCAGGAGCTGTTAGAAGTGCAGAATCTCAGGCCCACATCAGACGGGCTCCGTCGGAAGCGGTCTTTCACAAGATCCCCAGCAGGTTTAGACGCAGTTTTGCTGGGAGGAAGTGTGAGATCGACTGTGGGATTTCTCCCGGAGCTCCGGCCTTCGGTCAGTGACCGCGGGCCTCGCAGGAGGGCTTGCAGCTGGCGCCGCTCTTCCACCTCACCTCCTTGACTTTCTGGGTTTCTTCAGTTCCTGGTCCTGGGTAAAGCTCTGCATCTGCCGAAGGTCATTGGAGAAAGTAGCATGGCCCAGTTACATGACTTTTGCGGGTCACGGTCAAAACTCAGTTTCTTGACAGATGAATCTCCCTTGGTGTAGAGTTCCCGGTAGAGCTGTCTTGCCGGGTGTTCATTCCCGCATTCCAGCTTCCTGACACAGCGACACACTCTTGGCTTCCCAGGGAACCATTCCACCGTCTTCTTGATCATTACACGGATGTGAGCTCGGTCGGCTTCTGTTTTTGCTTTGGTACCTTTCTTTCTGTCCCTCTTTGTTCGTTTCTGTTAATGAAGGACGGTGAAACCTTGTTGCCTTTGAAAAGCCTTTTCCGTAAGCTGCCCATCTTCTCGGAGCTTCTGCTCAGTTCAGAGACTCCCTTTGTCACCTCAGTCCTTCACTACCTAGAAGTACGTTTCTCCTTGGCAACCTGTGGAAGTCATTTCACAGATAACCAACTAATTAAGCAATCCAGTGGCTTCCCCGCCCCCGGATTTTAGTTTTCTCAGCTTCCCTGAAGTATTTAATACAGTTGACTAATGCCCCTTTCACTGTAAGGCCCTATTGGTTTCTGCAAATTGCATTTTTCAGCTTGTGCTCTACTGCTTCATTAGTCTTACCTCCCTTCTCTTGTGTTTGGGTCTTCTGAAGGCTTTACTCCTTAGTTTAACTCTTCCCCCCCCCGCCCTCCATAAAGTGTACAGGCATCCAGTATTTCTGTTTCTAGAGTGCAATGGAGATCCCAGGATACCTTTCCCACTGTTATTATTACTTGGTATTTTGGTTTTTCATTTTTAAACATAAAAAGTTGTGGGTTTTTGTTTGTTTTTACTATTAGTAGTTGGCTTCATTTATCAGTATGCTTGACCAGTTCCTTTGCTCAACATCACGCCTTTTTCCTTTGAGGTTAAACTTCTGTAATATGTCAAGAGTCAATGGGCTGGAGACTTTCTTAGTCTTTTTACATTGGAAGAAATCTGTATTAGTTTGCTGTGGCTGCCATGACAAATTCCACAGACTATTACCTTAAATAACTTATTTTCTTGCAATACTGGAGACTGGAAATCCAAGATCACGGTGGCACCCAGATTGATTTCCTTCTTTCAGCTTGTAGATGGTTACCTTCTTCCTGTGTCTTCACCTCATCTTCCCCCTGTGTCCAGATTTCTTCTTATAAGGACACCAGTCATATTGGATTAGGGCCCATGCTGATGACCTCATTTTAACTTAGTTACCTCTTTAGAGATACTGTCTCCAAGTATAGTCATATTCTGGGGACCTGGGGTTTTAGGACTTCAACATAAGAATTTTGGAGGAATATGGTTCAGACCATACAATCTCTCAATAATCTTTCCCATTTTATTTATTTGACATACACACACACAGGACAAGCAGGGGGAGAGGGAGAAGCAGGCTTGGCAGGGAGCCTGCTGTGGGCTCCATCCCAGGACCTGGAGATCATGGCCTGAGCTGGAGCCAGACGCTTAACCGACTGAGCCACCCAGGCACCCCTACACTTTCCCATTTAAAAAAGCCTTTTGTAAAATATGAAATACAGAAAACTGTGTAAAATATAAATGTTCATCTTTGCAAATTATTAAAAAACATATACCTTTGTGATTACTGTCAATATCCCAGAAACCCTCCAGAGCTTTTTTTAATCATATCATTCTTGATCTTAGAGGGAAGGATTTCAGTACTTACCATCACGTGCAGGGTTTGCCTATAGTACACTTTCTGGCAAAGTTTTCTTTTATTCTTGGTTTGCAAATTGTTTTAGTCATGAATAAGTTTATCCTGTTTCACTCCTGATACTGATTTTGGTGGTCTTCTCTTTTTCTTCTTAATCTTACTATAGGTTTATCACATTTTTTAAGTTCTTTCAAAGAACTAATTTTTGGTTTTATTTATTGCAAGTTTGTGTCCTAATTTGTTTTTCACACGTGTTTATTTTTGTATTGAATCCTTTCTGTGGTTCTTTTTCAGGCCTGAGATGTTTCCTGCTATGTATGCATTGATCAGAGCCTTGCTGAAGACTCAAGGGGGTCTGGTTCCTTTTTTTTTTTTTTTTTTTTGTATATTTTTTTTATTGGAGTTTGATTTGCCAACATATAGTATAACACCCAGTGCTCATCCCATCAAGTGCCAAGGGGGTCTGTTCCCATACCAGTTCTCTGACACAGACTGGATGTCCTGCAATTCAGTTCTGACACAATATATCCAGAGTAGTGCACACCCTCACAAGTTAAGGTCACAGTCCTGTTCAAGGCTGTCTCCATGACAGACACACACCTTGGGGACCACCTGTGTGTCCTCTCTGTGAAATCCAGGCATGTCACTTTCCTGGCACATCTGTGTGTCACCAACCAGCTCCTCTGAGTCTCAGTGTGCAGAGTTTTTATTGTGGTTTCAGTATGTGGGCATGACTGGTTAAATCATTGGCCATGTGATTGAACGTCACCATTTTCCTTCCTTCCCTGAGGTTGGATGGTTGAAAGTTCCAACCCTCTAATCATGTGCCTGGTCTTTCTGATGACCATCCCCCACCCTGAAGCTACCTTGGGGCCCAGCAGAGTCACATCAGTAGCACCTCATCACAAAAGACACTGCTGTCACTCAGGAAATTTCAAGGGTCTTTGGAGGAACCGGGGTCAAAGACCAGATGTCCTTTATTATATTGCAGGGCCCCTGTGCAGATCTCTGGAGCTCTGTCTTTGCAACTTTCTCTTGTCTCGGTCCCCAAGATTCTCAGCTCTGTTTCCACAGGGGCTTTCTGGGCTCTGAGTTCCCCCTTCTGTGCGCATGGCCTGGAAACTGTTAGGAAGGCAGTAACCTGGGGGCAGTGGAAGGGTTGTCTGCGTTTGGTTCCCATTTTCCAAAGACTGTTATACTTGCTTGGTGTCCAGTGTCTTGAAAACTTGTTTCATAGATTTTGTGCAGTGGTTTTGGTTGTTCAGGCAGGAAAGTACACCTGATCCCTGTTACTTCATTTTGGCCAGTAGCCTGCTACTGGGGGTAGTAGCGCTCCAGGAAGCATGGGGTACTGTGGCATTTCAGCCTTCCTGCTAGTCTTTGAATGCTTCAAATTTTCTCCACCCTCTGGTCTTTATGGTTGCTAGATCTATTCTCTGGATGTTCTTTTCCCAAGTCTTCCTAAGGTTAGCTTCTTACCATTTTTTTCTGCTTAAATATTATGGTTATCTTTTTTTTTTTTTTTTTTTTTTTAAAGATCTTATTTTAGGGCAGCCCCGGTGTCTCAGTGGTTTAGCGCCGCCTTCAGTCCGGGATGTGAATTTGGAGACCCGGTATCGAGTCCCACGTCGGGCTCCTTGCATGGAGCCTGCTTCTCCCTCTGCCTCTCTCTCTCTCTCTCTCTCTCTCTCTCTGTGTGTGTCTCTCATAATAAATAAAATATTTAAAAAAGATCTTATTTTATTCATTTGTGAGAGACCCAGACACAGAGAGAGAGGCCAAGACATAGGCAGAGGGAGAAGCAGGCTCCCTGCAAGGAATCCGATGCGGGGCTCGATCCCTGATCCCAGGATTAGGACCTGAGCCGAAGGCAGATGCTCAACCGCTGAGCCATCCGGGCGTCCCAAATGTTGTGGTTATGTACTGCTGTGTGACAAACCACCTCAAAGTTTAGAGGCTTTGAACAGCCATTTTATTTCTCATGATTCTGTGGGATTATGGGCCTTACTGACTCATTTGCATAGTTCTTTATTATTTATTTATTTATTTATTTATTTATTTATTTATTTATTTATTTATTTATTTATTTTTAAGAGTTTATTTATTTACTCACGAGAGACACAGAGAGAGTGAGAGGCAGAGACACAGGCAGAGGGAGAAGCAGGCTCCACGCAGGGAACCTGATGCGGGACTCGATCCCAGATCTCCAGGATCACACCCTAGGCGAAGGCGGCGCTAAACCTCTGGGCCACTGGGGCTGCCCAGTTCTTTTATTTCACATGATTTTGGCTGGGTTACAAGTCTTTTACCGTGAGATTGGACTGGGACCATGAGGATGACTCATTCACATGGCTGGCCATTGATGATGTTTGCCAGCTGGGAGCTTTGCGACCCTACATATGGCCTGTCCATGTGGCTAGGCCTCACAGCATAGCAGCAGAGGTACAGTAGTAGGCGTTCCAAAGTGATAAAGTAGAAACAGCTGAACCACCTATAGGCCAAACCAGGCCCAGAACCAACGCAGCATCACTTCTCCACAATATTTTGGCTAAATATTGTGAAGCTTTATAAAAACCTTTGCTCATAGAAGATTGTGACGGAAACTTCATCCTGCTTTTGAAACAGGAATTGCATTCTACTCTTGAACTGGGCGAAGGCATATGACTGAGTACCTGACTGCTGTTATCTGTATTTTTAACAAAAGTTGGACCCTCTGCAAAAGGGATTTTACTAGCAACTAACATACCTAGAAAACAACTGTAAATTGTAATATCTCCCATTTATAATTCTTGGTAAACCGCTGATGTAAGGCTATCTTATCCTTTTTCTTATAAAAACCCCTAACTTTTCCCCTGCAGTGGGCCACAATTTGGGTTGCTCCCCAAATTGCAATTCTAAACCCTAAATAAATGCTTTTATTTCAGTTTTTCCTCTTTCCGTAGCCGACAGTGGTCACAGTCCAAAGTCAGGGGGAGGGAAAATAAATTGTCTTTCGATGGGGACTTGACAGAGTTCTTGGCTATCTTTAATCTCCTCAGAGACCGTCCCTACATTGCTTAATCCATCTGTGCCATTGTCCTTCATTTTTTTTCCACAGGACATTTCACTGTCTCAAATTGTTTTGTCAACTTATTGTCCCCTCTTGTCCCCTGTTTCTGTGTACCCCTCCCCTCCATGTAGCTTCTTAACAAAACCTGGCCAGGCTAATTTCCTGGTGTCTCCGTCACATAAGACAGTGCCCAATATTCAGTAGGTATTTAATAAATGTTGAACAAACGAATGCTGAGCTTTTCTCCAAAACCATGTTCTCATTCTGAATTTCTTTTGACGTTAATAATACCACCTTTTTGTTGTTGGTCAGCCTTGAAATCTTGGCCATGCTTGCTGTTTTCTTTCCTTACATACATTCAGCAGCTGAGGCTTATAGAACTGAACTTTAGAATGTGATTAAGCATCCTTTTGCTACTTCAGCCTCCTTGTAGGACTCTCTGAATCCAGTACATTCTGTACACTTAGTACTGTGATTTCCCCAAATGTGACTCCCTCGCCGTTCACAGCTACTGTTAGCAGTTGAGGTTGGCCATTGGCACTGTTCCACAGCCGACCTTGTCATACAGCTTTCTCCCAGCCCCACCATGTCCATCCTCGAATTTACAGTTTCGAAGGTTCATGGACTCCTCAGCCACCCTCACCTTGCCCTCTTAGGCACACTTCCCTGTCTCTTGCCGATGCCCATTCTTGTGCCAGTTTCTCCCAGTCAGATGTGGTTGCTTCGTCCTTTGAATCCCTGTATAGCTTTGACCATTTGCATTTGCTGCTTGACATGTATTGAATGTCCCTCATGCGCCACCCACTGGGCCAGGTGTTGGGCTTGGAAAAGTGGAGGGGGCAAGATGGAGAGTCCTCAGCAAGGTGAATTCCGATTGGAGTAAGATAGTACTTTCCCCTGGAAAAGTTCACATCATAGCACAGTGGTTTTCTAACCTCACTGCCAGTTGGAATCATCTGAGATGCTTTAAAAAGCCAACTGCCTGGATCCCACCCTTAGAGATTCTGATTTGATTGATCTGGGATGTGGCCAGGAGATTGGGGGGCGTTTAGAAGCTTGCCAGGTGATTCTAATGCACAGCTAAGATCACCAGCCACTGTGCCAACAGAAGAGACTGACCAGTGCGTGGCTAATTTGATTGTGTGTTGTGCTAGAAGAATAAAGACCATGCTGGGAATAAAGACAAAGGAGGAGTGTTTTATATATGCCTGGAGTTGCTTTTATTTTTACTAACTAGACTGTAAACTCAGGACTTTCTCATCTGGGAAATCCCTTATTTGATTTTTATTCATCGTAAATATGGAACAGGCTGTCCAAAAGAACTTTCTGCAATGATGGAAATGTTCTATGTCTGCCCTGTCTAGTGTGGCAGCCACTAGACCCATGTGGGAGCACTTGAAATGCAGCTAGCATGAATGAGGAACTGAATTTTTAATTTTATTTAATTTTCATTAAATTTAAATAGCCACATGTGTTTAGTGGATACTGTATTGGGGAGTATCGAATAGAGGCAGTATTGAGTATTCAAATGATTTGACAGTGTTTCTGCAGAGACTTAGATGAAGCAGATTATTTTCTCTTAATGGTTTGGGAGTTTAGTCACCTTGTTTGAATCTTCATACCTTTCTATTGTCCATGTGTTAAAAAAAGAATTTTGAGGGAGAGTGGTTAAATACCTCTTCTTTTCTAAAGCAGTTTTACTGAGAAGTGTCTTATATACTATTCGCTCATTCAGAGAGCACAATTCAGTGCTTTTTGTATATTCACAGACATGTGCAGCCATCACCATAGTCAGTTTTAGATCCTTTTTCATCACCTCAAAAAGAAGCCCTGTACCATTTAACTACCAGCTCTTTGTTCTGTCCCCAGCCTGAGCACCTACTAATCTACCGTCCATCTCTAGATTTGCCTGTTCTGGACATTTCGTATAAATGGGATAATTTACCATCTGGTCTTTGGTGCCTGGCATCTTTCATACAGCACAGTGCTCTCGAGGTTCATCCATGTTGTAGCATGTGTCAGTACTTCATTCTTTGTTATGGCCTAATAACCTCCCATTGTATGGGCACACCACATTTTAGTTATCCATAGACATTTGAATTGTTTCTACTTTTTTCGCTCTTGTGAATAATGTGGCTGGAAACATTTGTGTACAAGCTTTTGTGTGGGTATGTGTGTTCATTCCTTGGGTATAAATCTAGGAATGGAATCCTGAATCATACAAAAAGTTCCTATTTTCTTTTTGTCTCAGCAAGAATATGTGAATACCATTTTACTGAGTATTTTTATTTCAGTTATTATTCAGAAAGAAACCATTATCTTAGTGTTAGAGTGAAGTAGATAGTATTTATAACAAAACCATTTTTCTATAAATAATTATATTTCATTATGTCTATTACAAATTTTTTAGCCTTCATGCAGGATGCTGTATTCTCTGCTGCTTTGTGAATGTCTGTGGCTGATAACTGGTTATGCTCATGATGATGACTGGATTGACCCCACAGACATGCTTAACTATGATGCTGCTTCAGGAACAATGAGAAAATCTCAGGTATTAAAAAAAAAAGTGCATGTGCAAGTGGGTAAGACCTTATTGGTCTGTAATGGAAATAGTCTCCTTCTGTTACTGTTTCTCACAGTTTCCAGGATCAAGAGTCATGTATCAATGACTGCAACCATGTAGAATATCTCCGATTCTTAGTCTCAGAAGATTTCAACTCCACCTGTTTATTTCTGTCTTGAATATGAACGTAAAGCCCATTGAGCCACAAACTTACTTGATTTTAGTTCTTGGCTAGTATATAAATGTGAGACTCTTTTTTGGTTGTTCAACACAGATGAAAAATATAACAGTCATAAAATGATGAAGTCACATTTTAGTGTTCTTTAGGTTATTTTCACAACTGAACAATAAAATAAAATCTCTGTTTTGCTCTAGGTAAAATATGGTATATCAGAGAAAAAGGAATTCAGTCCTGACTTGTCACATGCTGACGAATTGTCGGAATGTTATAGCAAACTTGATTCTTTAACTCATAAGGTTAGAATATTTTTAATTCCTGAATTTTATATTACTTATAGTATGTTAAATTGCTGTTTCCCATCTTTGCTAACATTTTATATGTTTCTGTGTATTGTACAATTTGTATATAATTTTTTCTTTAGTTACTCTAGCCTCGTTTTCTCTTTCATTGCTCTGGCTTTTTTTTTTTTTTTAATAGTACTTTTATTTTCCTGTTATAACATTTATCTTGCTATGTTGTAATTATTTCTTTACCAGACTGAACATTTCTTGGAACAAGAAATATGTTTAATTCATTTTTGATTCTCTATCAGCTGTCACAGTGCTGGGTTATGATGGACTCATGACAAAGGTACCCATGAAGAAAGGGGCCTGTGACCACCTGATGAACATAAGAATACTCTTGTAAATAGAAGGGATTATTATAATTTAGTGTGTGGTAGCTATTCCTTCATTTATTCAATCCTTTTATATGTATGGCTGAAATAGAGTTTATGAGAAAGGAAATAAATCAAAATTATTAAGGGGTTTGAATGGATGTTGTGGGTGGGAACCAGCCTCTTGGCTGTGGAGACTCAGCTGGTGGCCCAGTGGAGGGGGCCTCAGAAGGAGACGGGTGGCAGAGCTCTAGCAATGCTGAATGCTCCAGCCGACACAGTGATGGGTGTCACAGTGATGGGTGTCGAGGAGGAAAGTGTTAGGTTTCTCTAAGGTGGAATAGGCAAGTTTGGGGAGCTGAGGGAGGAGGGAAAGGGGTGGAGTGAAGGAGGGAGGTTTCCAGCTTGAGAGGCTTGGGGAGCTTGTGAACAGAGATACTGAGACCTAAATTCCAGATCTGCAAGCGCTGCTGTGGTTCTTACTGGGTGTAAATGGTCTCACCCAAGTGCTTGCCACGAGACGCTTGGATAAAATTTGCCTCAGTTTAACTACGTTTTGTAGTATCATGAGCTTGTTTGGCTGTATACTGGGAAATGCCCCGGGGTGTGATCCTGGAGTCCCAGGATTGAGTCCCGCATCGGGCTCCCTGCATGGAGCCTGCTTCTCCCTCTGCCTGTGTCTCTGCCTCTCTCTCTCTCTCTCTCTCTCTGCATCTCTCATGAATGAATAAATACATTCTTTAAAAAAAAAAAACAAAACATTCTCAGGGCACCTGGGTGGCACAGTTGATTGAGTCCAACATTTGGTTTTGGCTCAGGTCGTGATCTCAGGGTCATGAGATTGACCTCTGCCGCGGGCTCCATGCTCAGTATGGAGTCTGCTTGGGACTCTTCCTCTCCCTCTGCCCACCTTGAAAATAAAGAAATAAATCTTAAAAGCAAAACAAAACACCCCACAGACAACATTTCCATAAAGGGGCCCCTGGGTGGCTCAATCAGCTAAGCATTCAACTCTTGGTTTCAGCTCAGGTAGTGATCTCAGGGTGGTGAGATAGAGCCCCCCATCTGGCTCCACACTAAGAGCAGAGTGTGCTTGAGATTCTCCCTCCCTCTCCCTTTGCCCCTCCTGCTCATATACCCTCTCTCTCTGTCTCAAGTCAGTCAATCTTAAAAGAATTGCTGATAGTCAGCAGAAACACTGCCAGTCAGGGCTAAGTGCTGGACTTGTATTCCTCATTTGTTGCCTACCTGCCCTCTGCAAAAGAGAACCCACAGAAAGTAGTGAGTTCTACATTTTCATATAGCTGATAATTGCAGGCTCCTTACCTTGATCTTGATGGGGCCACTAGGCTAGAAACTTGACCCTTACATGAAACTTTGATGCTATGTAATGTTGGATTTATTTTGTGATTACAGATTGATGAGTGTGAAAAGAGAAAGAAGGAAGACTATGAAAGTCAAAGCAATCCTGTTTTTAGGAGATACTTAAATAAGATTTTGATTGAAGCCAGAAAGCTCGGACTCGTGAGTATTGGTGTGATACTAATCAGTATAGTGGATATTTTCATTATTTATTTCAAATGGGGAGAGGTGCTTTAAATTTGCTATTTGAACTTTACTAAACAGTTGGAAATTTAATGCATTCATAACTTGGCAGGGAAATTCCATGCTGGCCTTTGTTTTCTACTACTTGCACATGTTCTCATTCACACTGATGTAAGATCATTCTATGCTGAGAAAAAGAACGATGTGTTTTAAGTATTTCTTCCCCTACCCCCACCAAAGCTTTTTACTGTGGCAAGGGCTACTTTATAGAATTGTGTATCATGTGCATATTGTTCATAATTAATGTTTTTCACATGTATGATCTCTGGTTTTTATGTGAGACAAATAGGTGGATAGTATTACTCTTATTTTATACATATGAAATGTGAACCACATATATGTTTACTTCCAAATTGGCTTTTCTCTTGAAATATTTCTCTTTTCTATTTTTTTTTTTTTTGGCAAATTTAATTCAGCCTGAAGAAAACAAAGATGATATGCATTATGATGCTGAGATTATTCTAAAAAGACAAACCTTGTTAGAAATACAGAAATTTCTCAGTGGAGAGGATTGGAAACCAGGAGCCTTGGATGATGCACTAAGTGATATTTTAATTAATTTTAAGTTTCATGATTTTGAAACCTGGAAGTGGCGATTTGAAGATTCTTTTGGAGTGGATCCATATAATGTGCTAATGGTAAGAAAGGACAAGGGGGGCATAAGTTAAAGCTCATTTTTAGAAATGCTTTAAAAACTCCACCATAAGTACGTTAAGAACTTGTACGAAGACACTCCTGCTGAATTGACCATGCAGCAGAATGGCAGAGGTGATGTTGCATATCTGAGGCCAGTTCTTTTGTTTTTTGCTGACAGTTATCATTTTGTGGTGGGGAGGATGGCTTGGCAGTAACTCTGCTCTCCACTTCTTCCTGTTTTCCAGGTGCTTCTGTGTCTGCTCTGCATCGTGGGATTAGTAGCTACTGAGCTGTGGACGTATGTGCATTGGTACACCCAGTTGAGGCGTGTTTTATTCATCAGTTTCCTCTTCAGTTTGGGATGGAATTGGATGTATTTATATAAGGTATTAAGTAGGTAGAAGGTTTTCAGATGTTTTAATGTTACTTCATAACAGAAGACTTGGCTCTGATTGGGGCTGAAGGCAGTGACTGGAGATGCCAGGGAGAGGGGAGGACACTGCAGCCGCTCACCTGTATCTGGTGTTTTGGTCCCTGACCAGTTTGGTGCAGGCCTAATTTTCATAACCCAATTTCTGATGGGTGGTATCTGGGCCAGCTAAATCAAAATAGAGCTAAGTAGATACATTTTTTTTTATTTTTTAAGATTTTATTTGAGAGAGAGAATGAGAGAGAACAAGTGGGGGAGGGGCAGAGGGAGAAGCAGATTCCTCGCTGAGCAGGAAGTCTGACATGGGACTCAGTCTCGGGACCCTGAGATTGTGACCTGAGCCGAAGCAGATGCTTTACTGACTGAGCTGCCCTGGCGCTCCAGTAGATACATTTTAAAAATTTTTATGTAGGTAGTTGAGGGTATATGCTTATTCTTTGCCAGAAAAGATATCAAAATATTATTTTTTAAGATTATTTTCTGAATATGATGTTAATAATAAGACAATTTAGAAAAGATAGAAGGTCATAAGGTGAAATTTGATTTTTTTAAAAAAATTACCTATAATTTTGTCACCTAGAGATAATTGCTGTCAATATATTGAGATATTTCTTTCCAGTATTTTTTCTAAATTTTAATCCTTTCAAAATTGGGATCATGCTGAATATAGAAAGTCAAATGAAGCACCTACTGTTCCTGTCAAAATAGCATTGAAGGACAATTTTAGATCTTTCTAGCAGGGTGAGTCAAGTAGAAAAATATTTTCAATGAATTTATCTGATTAAATCATTGTAATACATCCTTAACCTTTTGCTCTAAGTTCTATAGCTTCTAGAACTAATTACTTACAAATTAAAGGAAAAAAGTTTGGTTGAATATTGCTATTTTGGCGATTTCCCCCAGGGTTTGTATATATTAAAAAAAAAAAAAAAAACAACCAACACATTATATAGGCCATTTGTGCTGAAACCAGAGTAAAACACCATTTTATCATGAATTATAAAAGAAAATGAGTAGTCATTTAGTATATATAATTATATTTTTGGATGTGGTATGAATTATATCTGAACTAATTTTTTAAAACAATCTTTTCTAGTCAAAGATTTACCTTTCTCATCAAAATTACCTACAAAGATATAGTTCCTTATCCTTACTCGTTGCATTAATACTGTGCTTTGCCATGAGCAGAGAAGAGCTATTTAAAAAATGTATTTTTTTTCTATTAAAAAACCATCAGCAATCTGTTATCTGGTGAAGAAGACATACTTTGAAGTCAGGTTTTTGGATATGTAGACATAACCTTCATGTTCACAGCCGCTCATAGCTCCCTTTTGGTGTTGGTCAGCTCGCGTTTGCACAGCATCAGGCTGAGGTTGCCAAGATGGAGCCATTAAACAATGTGTGTGCCGAGAAGATGGACTGGATTGGAAGCCTCTGGGGTAAGGTGTTGGTTCATCAGGCCTCATTTTGAATAGAATTTCCAAGAAGGAGAGACCATATATTCGTAAATACAGAGAAATGATAAAATACCAGAAGGACGCTTTTCCTGACTAAGTCTTCAGTATCAGAAGAACATGCAAGAAAGGTCAGGGTTCAGTCCAGGACTCTTATGCTCATGTAATATCACAGGGAGGGAGCAGGAACCGTGTCTTTGCCAGCTCTCGTATTACCCATCTTCTCCATAGACTGTGATGGAGGTGATGCTCATCTTGTCTGTCTAGTGTTAGGAAGAGTGTCCACAATGTTACTAAAGAAGTGAGTCAGAGTTCATATGAATTAATAACCATTTTAGGCTTAATATCCTTATACTGACTTATGAAATCTTATGGTGTAGCTTTACTGTACATTTTTTTTTAAAGATTTTATTTATTCATAGAGTCACAGAGAGAGAGAGAGGCAGACACACAGGCAGGAGAAGCAGGCACCATGCAGAGAGCCCGATGTGGGACTCGATCCAGGGTCTCCAGGATCACGCCCTGGGCTGCAGGCGGCGCTAAACCGCTGCGCCACCGGGGCTGCCCTGTACATTTTTTTTTTTAAGAGGAAAGTTCTTTAACTTTTTTTTCCCTCACAGACTGTATAACATTCTCACTACTGTTGACTGCCTTTGGTTCTGTATATTTAGCAACAGGAATGGTTTAGTGTTCAGAGGCACTTTATAAACCCAAGTCCATAACTGACACAGATAGAATCTCCGCAGATTGTACAAAACAGGGTATCCAAAGTAATGTTTCTTTAAAAATTATGGGAACTAACCCAACCCAGTCTTGCTTCCTGGCTACAGGGGAAAACTGACTGCCTCCTCTAGCTCAGGCTAGTATGTAATGTACATAAGCCTGATTTAGAAAAATTGGGAATAGGGGCAGCCCGGGTGGCTCAGCAGTTTAGCGCCGCCTTCAGCCCAGGACATGATCTTGGAGACCCGGGATCGAGTCCCGCATCAGGCTCCCTGTATGGAGCCTGCTTCTCCTTCTGCCTGTATCTCTGCGCGCCTCTCTCTCTCTCTCTCTCTCTCTCTCTCTCTCTCTCTCTCTCATGAATAAATACTAAAAAACAAAAAAAAAAAAAGAAAAATTGGGAATAATGTTCTTTATTTTGCAAAATAAGAACTGACTTTTTAAATTGAAATTTTATTGAGATGATCCTAGATGCACAGGTAGTTGTAAGAAGTAAAACAGATGGGTGTACCCTTCCCCATTTTCCCCAGTGGAAGTGTCTTACCTGACTATAGCAATCACAGCCAGAATATTGACTTTCGTGTAATTCAGCAATCTCGCTCAGATTTCTGTGGTTTTACTTGGCTTCATTTGTAGGTGATAAGGAATGGTTTTTAAATATTTACCTTTTAGAAATTTTCATAAAATAAAATGTTTTAGCCACATAAGACTTGTCTAATTTGAAGAAATTTTTAAAATATTTTGGACACAAGGTGAAAAATTTTTAAATCAGTGTTACAGGGAAGCTATTTGTACAGCATTTAAATTTGGTTGGTGGCAGGGACAGGGACAAAACCAAAATGTTGTCTTATTTGGGAATGAAATGTGGCTTTTTTTTAATAACTCAGTGTTTTGTCTGTTTCTTTAAATAGAATTGTTTAGAAGTTCATGGACCTATAAGGATGACCCATGCCAAAAATATTATGAGCTCTTACTAGTCAACCCTATTTGGTTGGTCCCACCAACAAAGGTAATAGAATACATTTTGTAAAAGTTGCTTCTACAAAGTCTGTGAAAAATCTATCTATTAAAAGTTGTTAGTGTTTTTTACAATCATTTTGCTAATAATAAACTCTTGTAGAAAATATACTTCTGTTGCACAGTGATTTTCACATTAAAAGCATTTTAATTTATGAACATAATTTTGATCCCAGTGCATGGTGAATTTTGGCTCATTCTGTGTGCTCTCCATCCTTTGAGGGAAAAATTAAGTTGTGATCTTTTGTTTTAGGCACTGGCAGTTACATTCACCAACTTTGTCACGGAGCCATTGAAACACATCGGGAAAGGAGCTGGTGAATTTATTAGAGAGTTCATGAAGGAGCTCCCAGTATTCCTTCACATTCCAGTGCTCATCATCATGGCGTTAGCTGTCCTGGTTAGTATAGAGTACTGTTGACTGTCAACAGGACTTGTAGAAAAAAGGCAATTATAGAACTTAGACTTTTCTGCTGTTGTAAGTCAGGCTAAATTATGCTTATTTGTATGAAAAGATGATTTTTAATGATACAGATTTATTTATACTTACATATATATATTCCTTTAAGCGAGGACATGATTCTCATTTGACTGTAGATGTCATGGCAGTGACTTAGAATAATAACATCTTTTTAAATTTGTTCTTTAACTTGGTGAATTAATATACATGAAGGCAGTTGTTTAGTCCTCTATGAGAAAAGGGGCCTTCTTATCTCAGACTGAGTTTTTGCCTCACCGAGAAGGGAAGAGCATTGGTGTTCCCATGGAATCCGGTCAGGATGTGGAAGAAGGTAGGTTACTGAGAAGCAGTGGGGGGCGGGGGGGGATCCAGGAACAGGCATTTATTAAGAAGAAACATTATTCATCATTCTTCTGTGGTCTCTTCGGCTTTCTTATTGTTGAATTTTGGCCTCTACCTTAAGAGAGCAGTTGTCACATAAAATGAAATGTAAAGAACCCAGATGTGCCTGGGAAAGGCCAGGTTTGTATTTGTAAAGAAATGAACCTATTTAAGGTTTATGACTTTAAATATTTTCAGTGTTTACTTTCTCTGATGGATATGAATAGACCCAACATAAGAGCAATTATCAGACAATTAGTACCTTCCAGTTTAAATTATTAAATTAAAAAGAATTGTGTTTCCTGAGGATACAAAATTTGCTACATCTTACTCACTTTGAAATTGTTCCTGTTTTGGTTTTGTGTTTTGGCTTGTGATTACAGGACTCTGGTTTAGGGGTATGGTTTTGTTAGGTGACATTAATTGTATAGTAGTGCAGATTTTCCTGGACTTCGGATGGGATTATATCCTGATAAACCCACTGTAAGTTGAAAATATCATAAGTCAAAAATAGACTTGCTGCACGTAGCCTTCAGGAATCGCAGCCTGGCCCAGGCCGCCTTAAACATGCACAAGAACACTTCTGTTAGCCTGCACTTGGACAGAATCATCTAACACAAAGCCTGTTTATAACAAGGGCCAGACATCTCACAGTTCATTGAACGTTGTACTGAAAGGGAGCAGCAGAATGGTTGTGTGGGTACGGAGTGGTTTTGAAGGTAGGGGTGCTCCACCCTCGTGTCCGCATGGCCAACCAGGGGCTGCCCCTGCCCAGCATCACCAGAGGGGATCATACCCGAGGTTGTTAGTCCAGGAAAAGATCCAAATCCTAAATTTGAAGTAGTTTCTTCTGAATGCACTGCCACTTTCCTGAGCACTATGAAGCCGAACAGTTCTAGGTCAAACCATCCTCAGTGGGGGACGATGGTTTAGTCTCTGAAACTGAAATTATAAACAAAAACCCATCATCTCTTATTGCTTCATGTGCCTAAAGAAAAGGACTTTTACTACTATTGTCTTCAAATGGTTTCTTCAGCACAGTGATTTTCAAACTTGTTTTGAGGACCCTTTTGCATTTTTTTTTAAAGATTTTATTTATTTATGAGACAGGGAAGGGCAGAGACACAGGCAGAGGGAGAAGCAGGCTCCATGCAGGGAGCCCGACGTGCGACTTGATCCCCAGTCTCCAGGATCCCGCCCTGGGCTGAAGGCAGGCACTAAACCGCTGAGCCACCCAGGGATTCCCGCCCCCCTTTTGCATTCTTAATTACTGCAGACCACAAAAACAAAAAAGCTGAAGACAAAAAGAGCTCTTGTTATGGGGGTTTTATTTATTGAATCTTACCATATTAAGTACACAAGGACACCATCCATGAGCCCGTCAGAGTGTGGAAGTTATTCTAGCCCCAGGAGACCTCCCCAAATGCTCAGAGGGGAAGAGTAAAAAAAGACTAAGGTCTTTGAAATATGAAAAGTTTGACCTCACAGAGTTCCTGAAACGGTCTCTGGGATCACCCCCAAGGACCCCTAGACCACGCTTTGAGAACTGCTGCCTAGTTTTTCTCATGAAATGGGACTCAAAGGCCATTGAACTTAGCTGTCACTAGAGCCAAGTTTGTATTTATTTGTAGAAAAGTTACCCACATGAGAATGTTTATGGAATTGATGTGCAACTCTAACGTTTAGCATTTACCTCAGTTGGGTGTGAAAATAGCTGATGAGCAGTTCACAATTAGTACCTTCTAATTCAAGTTTCTAGGTTTTAGCCAAACTGCCCTTGTTACAATTCAGTCAAAATGTTCAGCTGATTGAAATGTCTACTTAACACTTAATCTAAAAAGAGGTCTCTAATGAATCAATAGTGAAACAGGTTTATGTGTCCAAATGCCATAAGTCAAGTTAGGTAATTTTGTTAGCACCTTGGATAATTTCATTGTGAGTCAGCCATTTAAATACTCAGGACTATGTATTTCTTTTTCTTCTAGAGTTTCTGCTATGGTGCTGGAAAATCAGTTAATATGCTGAGACATTTAGGTGGTCCTGAGAGAGAACCACCCCGGGCACTTGGGCCAGGTGATAGAGGACGGCTGAACGAAGTTGATTATAGACCCCCTGGTGGAGCAGGTGATGCAGATTTCTATTATAGAGGCCAGATCAGCCCCATTGAGCAAGGCCCTTATGACAGAACATATGAGGGTAGAAGAGATGTTTTGAGAGAGAATGATGACTTGAGACCTAAGACTGGCAACAAGAGCCCCGAAGTGCTCCGGCCATGTGATGTACCATACGCAGAGGCGAGGGAGCATCCCAAGATGGTACCCGGTGTAAGTCAGCAACTGTTTATTTTGCTGTCCCTTCATGCTAGGCTAAGTGCTTCCTGAGAGCGTCTGGTTAGGCATTTCTTCTTTTACTTTCCATGGTTAATTATGTCAATATATAATTGTTTACTTTCTCTTTTCTGGTCAAATTTCGGCCCTCTCAGAAGAAATAAAATGAGATTTAATTTTTATGTTACATACTATTTAACAGAACAGGTGGTAATTCATAGAAATTTTATAGGAAACCAAGTGTGACTGAAATTTTTGCCTTTGAAGAGCTCAGAGAAAAGTCCTCACTGAAGGCCTGGAACCCCGAGGAACCTGCAGGAGAGCCCTAAAGGCTCAGCTGGATGGAAGAGGGGTCAGGAGGGGTCATAATACCCCGCTTTCCCAAATCTTTGGTATCATTGGCTAGACGCTTTTTTATTTTTATTTTTTAAGATTTTGAGAGAGTGAATGAGAGAGAGCACGCGAGAGCATGAGCAGGGGGAGGAGCAGAGGGAGAGGGGGAAGCAGACTCCCTGCTGAGCAGGAGCCCAACGTGGGGCTTGATCCCCCACCACTCCAGGATCGTGACAGGAGCCCAAGGCAGACGCTTAACCAACTGAGTCACCCAGGCGCCCTTAGACCCTTACTTTCTACCTGCAGGATTGGCCATTTAAAGGGACATTTACATTTCTGTTTGAGAGAGGAATTTACATTGTCATTTGCAAAGTTTAAGTTGCACCTGTAAACCTTTGAGAAATAGTTATGAGCATAGAATCTAGAAAATCAGAATCCTTCCCATGGAGTTTCTTATAAGAATAAACATAACCACATACATCTAGAAAATTTTCAGGTGTTCCTTTCAGCTTTACTGGTTAACGGTAATGCACCGCTCATCACGGATCCTCCAGGGATTTCCCGGTGCACTTGAAGGGAAAGCTTGTGATCTCGTTGGCCCTCTCAGTGGCCCGGGGCCTGGATTGTCCCACAGTGGCCCTCCGTTAGCACATGGCTCTTCTCCTCCTACGCTCACTCTCCTTTAGCTGCAAGGGCCTCCTCACTGTTCTGTGAACTTAGAACCTTTTTACTTGCTGTGCCTTGTGTATTCGTGTGGTGCGTTTCTTCAGGTCTTTACTGCAGTACCACCTTTCTACCCTAATTTAAGCAGCAGTCCAACCCCAGCTTGGTATTTTGTTAATTTGTTGCTTGGCTCCCCAAGCTAACTGGAAGTTCAAGTGAGGGCAAGGGTTTTTGTCGGTTTTGTTCCTGCTGTATCCCCAGTACCTGGGACTTAATACAGACTCAGTAAATTTTGTCGAATGAATTATTCTCACCAGGCAAGAGGAGTTAGCAGTCCTGGTCACCAGTCCTCTTGGCCTTCCTCAAGCTGGATGACCAGACTACCTGGCATATCCTAGGTGCCCCACTCCTCTGCACACAGCTCTGTGAGGCTTAATAACATTTACATAATTACAGCACCACACCGGAGCTGGGATTTGAGAGTTTGATACAGATTTGCATAGGAACTTGTTAAATGCATTTGATTTGATTATTGAATCTTCATATTAGGTTAAACAACTAAAATGTAATTCTCTGCAGCATAAATTACCTGTTTTGGATACAAAGCCCAAAGGAATGGAGGGAATCCAGGCAGAAAGCACACCCTCAGAAAGCAGTACTGAAAGCAGCCAGTGTGTGAGGCCGGGCTCTAGCGCAGACGCCTCAGAGAAGGTGGAAGGTTCTCTGGCAGAGAAAGAGGCCCAGCTCAGGACTGATGCCAGAGGCAGCCCGGAGGCAGGCAGCGCGTGCAGCCCAGCCAGCTGTGGAAAGGATCCGGATGGCGGCCCACGTGCCTAGAGGAACACGGACTTCGACCGCAGCTTGGAGGTCATCTTTGGGTTTTGTAAAGTATACTCTTCACAGCTACCGCTCTTCTCCAGATGCCCTGACTTTTACTCCACAGGTGCCGACTTACACACCGATATTTTTACTGACCATCAGAACTACCTAATACATACCTCAGTTTGACTTTATCTTTTGTCTAATTTCACTTTCATACTGATACCTCCTGTGAAGTTTGAGGTGTTAATTTTGCAACAGGACCTTATAAATGAACATATGGCAAGCATCTCACTAGTTTCAAATAATTAAAGAGGATAGTTTGGATCAGGGGACATTGAAAACTGAGTTTTATGGTTCACAGGCATATATAGGAACCAACTAGCCAACGTAGGTGTTTCCTAGTGAAAGTCCTGTAATACCTACTTCAGTTAATGATTTGTTGTGCATTGGATTCGCTGTTTCCAAAAGTGGTGGGGAAGGCCACTAGTCGGCTTCACTGTCTTGGTACGCTTCAGCGTCTTGATGCAGTCTTGGAGTCCGCCCCCATCATCGTGGCCTCGGCCTTCCGAATCTGCCTCCATCGCTCAAGTCTTCCAGTGGCGACTGGGCCTGCTTCCTTAAGCCCCCTTTCTTTCTTTTCCCTCAGCTAAGACAGAACTGAAGATTACCAGAATTTAGTTACCACAGCTGGTTAATAAGTAGGTAATCTTGGTTTTCCATAGTCAAACTAAGAATAGCTTTACTCCTTCCCCGCCAAATGCATACTTTACACATTGGTCGAGTACATTATTTTTGCTAAACAGCAGAGTCTCTGTACATCCCTGGTGAAGTTTAAAAAGATGCCATTGTCAATGAAGATTTTAAAAAATCACCCCAGCAAGAGGATGTAAAACTTCACGTTCATATTATTTTCTAGTTTAATACTGCAAACACTTTAGTAACTCGTCAGAAAGGTAGTTTTTTCCAGAAAATGCAATAGGATTTTATATAAAAGTTTACATCACAGTAGATATGTAACAAATGAACTACTGCAAGGCTGCCTGCAGTTGGGAGTGGATTTGTGAACAGCAGTGCTTATTAAGTCCTCCCTGAGGGCCAGACCTGCTCACACCAACCTGATGGGTAAATATGTGCCCAGGGTGGTAGCTGTCCTCTGAGCTGACTGGATTCTGAAGAGCAGTGACTGTCTCAGGTGACAGCCTGGAGCTGTGAGAGTGGAGTTAATGCTATTTGAACTCCTGACTGCTTTTTATCCAAGAATGAATCTGTAAAAAATTAAGTAAAATCTCCTCTTCGTCTTCTTTTATTACAGATAACCGTTGGGGGATGCAGTCCACTTGGAGAGCTAGCAGGGCAACACACTGCTGCTGTTGACAGCAATTTAGGGAAGACACTAAAGCAGACTGAGCAGATCAAGGCCAGTTCAGAACTTGAATAGAATGGTTTATTGTCCAGCCCATATTTATCATTAAAATCAAGGATTTTAGCAGCAGGCTTTTTGGAAAATCACAATGGGTTAGACAGCTTTTTAAAAGCAGTTCTTAAATGGAATAGATAATGTGGAATGTTTACAGGGTCTAAGAACCGTATACACAAAATAAACACTTATTTTTACATTATTATGGTTCGTGTGCTGTCTTTGCTTATTGAATATGCTGCTAAGAAAAAGCCCCCATGAAATGAGAGTTTTTAAAAGGATGCTATCTAGGACGTTATGGCCTATATATAATCCCTAAAGCATCACATGATCCAGGTGTTCACTGAGTACTTTTGACAAAATCTGATCTTAGAACCAAGAATAATCTTTCTTCCTGAGCCTTTAATGTGATTCCAGACAGAGTAACTATTTTTGTGAACCTGGCCATTTGGAGAAGTGGTTCTCACTGCCCACCAAGTCCCTGAAGGATTTTTAGAAAGAACAGAGCCCCAGAGCCCATCCCAGCTGTGCAGTCAGAAGCAACCAATGGTGAATGAGTTGCCAACTTGTTCTGGGGTGTGAGCATCTGCGTTCCCTCAGACTCAGGCCCTGCCTGCTGTGTCTCATCCCTGCTGTCACCTTTTGCTAAGCTTACTTTATGTCACGTCCTAGTTTACGCTTGTAAACTACTTCAGTGCCTAGGAGGAGGGGAAGGCTTAATGATGACTGAGGACAACCTCCATCTTCCATAATTAAATTTTGCGTTTTCATCTGTTTTCTATTTTCATGGCCTAGGTTCTTGATACAACTACATGAGTTTTGAGGTTGTGGTGTTTTTTTGACATTAGGTCTTAAAAAATTTAACAGCAGTATTTTGATATAGTTCTAAGCCACACACCCTTTAAAAATAAAAGGCCCAAAACATGCTAGAAGTTTATTTAAGAGTTGTTATAAATGGCTCTGATCTAGTAACATTGAAAATACGACTTTCTTAGCAGAAAAAAAAAATCTAGATTTTTAATAAGATTTTTTTTTTTTACACATTGGGCAAGTATGTTACTTTTACTAAACAGCATAATTTCTCACTACCTTCATAGTTCAGTATTAAAAACGCCCTTGTCCATTAAGATTTTAAAGAATTAGCATGAGGATTAAACTCTAGATTCATTTACCTTCCTACTTTTCAAGCACTAGGTAAAGGAATCTAACAAGTTGCCAAAGAACACAATCCTGAGCCTTAACCACAAAAGTTGATGAAGCACCTTTGATCAGACCCCTCCACCCCAAAACAAGTCTGTGTCCAGAGGAATGTTAATACACTATTAAAGATTAAATATTTACATCATTCTAGAGCATGTTAAGCTGTATTACAGTGCTATAATTTCTCGATTTAAGGAAACATAAATTGAATTTCTTTGCCGTGTTCTGAAAGGCAGATCGTTTTTAAATAACTAGTGGTTTGCTTATTTTTTCCCCGTATTTTTAAATTCCAACAAAGCTTTACTTTGCAAAAGGTCCTTCAGTCCAAATTCAGTGTCTCTGTTTTGATCTCTTTGTAAAAGAACTCTCTGTTCATCCATTCTTTTCGCCTGAGAACGTAAAATCAAGCTAAAAAAGTCCTCATCTGGTACTGTTGGTCCCTTTGTAGTGGCAGGTGGTGGAGCACATCTTTGATCATCTAATCTGGACCCCTGAAAAGAGATTAAAACACAAATTCTGTGTTTATGTTTGTCAACCCAATAAAAACTTTTTTCACCTCATCTCTGAAATGTAATCTTTAGACCTGAAACCTAATAAATCTTTTCCAGGACTTCTATAATCAGAATATAGCAAGTATTATGGAGAAGTAGAACTTCACGGCTTTGGTAAAAAATACAAACACTTAACAGTGTACAGTCTGGTGGAGTAGCTCCAGAGCGGGAATCCACTAGCTGATCTTCAAGTGTCCACTCCTGCTGGGTGCTGTGCACTGACCGGCCTTGGCATTTAACGCCACAGCCCTGTTACCCTCACAGGCAGCTGCTCACTGGCCTCTGTGTGAGCAACTCCCTGCCGCGCCACACACACACACACACACACACACACACACACACACACCTCCGTGCTTCATTTCTCCTTTCATGGTGAGTTCATTTCATCCTCCAATTTGTCCAACTTGGGCGCTTGCGGCCCTAGACCACTTCCGGTCTTCATTCTTTACCTCTGCCTTCTCTGTAAGTTCCCATGGTTCCAGGCCAAAGTTGGTCATTTTCAATAATTGCACTGCCTTTACAATCATGATTTCAAACATCTCATGGTGACCACCACCTCCAATTTTCCAGATCAGGCTAGAGAGTAATCCCCTAGGAAATTTTTTTTTTAATTGTGGTAAAATAAAGTCTAACACTTTAACCATTTTTAAGTGTACAGTTCAGTGTTAAGAACATTCATCCTGCTGGGCGGTCATCACCATCCATATCCAGAACATGTTCATCTTGTAAAACTACAACCATAAACCTAGTAGCTCCCATTCTCCCCTCTCCAGCCCCTGGCAACCATCATTCCACTTTGTATGACTCCGACTACTCTACCTCCTGTGAGTGGAACTGTACGGTATTTGTCCCCCTGTGACTGCCTACTTCTCAGCATAACATCTTCAGGGTTCACCCGTGTTGTGACTTTTGTCAGAATTCACCTCATTTTTAAGGCTGAAAAATACTCCATTAGGTATGTGGGCCACATTTTGTCCATCTGCCAGTGGGCACCTGGTTGCCTCTACCTTTTGGCTATTTGTGAATAATGCTGCTTGTACATGGGTGTACAAATACCTGTCCATATCCGGGATTTCAACTGTTTTGGGTATATACCCAGACACGAGATTGTTAGATCAGGTGGTATTTCTATTTTTGAGGAACCACATACTGTTTTTCATAGCAACTCCACCATTTTCTGTTCTCACCTACAGTGCAGGACAGTTCCAGTTCCACATCCTCACCGATGTGCTTGTTTTGTCGTTAATGGTAGCTTCCTAATGGGTGTGAGGTAGTATTTCATTGTAGTTTTGATTCCCATTTCTCTAATTTGTGATGTTGTGCATCCCTTCTTGTGATTATTGGTCATTTGTACATCTTCTTTGGAGAAATGTCTGTTTGGATTCTTTGGTGGTGGTGGGGATGGGGGGGAGAGGCACAGAGAGAACCTTAGGCAGGCTCCACACCAGCACAGAGCCCAACACAGGGCTCAATCTCATGATCCTGAGATCATGACCTGATTCGAAATCAAGAACTGACTCTTGATGCCTAACCGACTGGGCCACTCAGGTGCCTCTTGCCCATTTTTGAAATAGGTTTTTTGGTAGTTACATTTTAGAATTCTTTATTCTCGGGGATCCCTGGGTGGCTCAGCAGTTTAGAGCCTGCCTTTGGCTCAGGGAGCCATCCTGGAGTCCCGGGATCGAGTCCTACGTCAGGCTCCTGGCATGGAGTCTGCTTCTCCCTCTGCCTGTGTCTGTCTATCAGAAATAAATAAATCTTAAAAAAAAATTAAAAAGCCCTTTAGAATTCTCTATTCTCAATTAATCCTTTATTGGTTTTATGATGTGCAAATGCTTTCTGTGAGTTGCCTTTTTACTTTTGTAAAAGTGTCATCTGATGTACAAAAGTTTAAAAATTTCAGGGGCATCTGGGTGGCTCAGTTGATTAGTTGTCTGCCTTCGGCTCAGGTCATGATGTCCTGTGATCAAGCCCTGCATCGGGCTCCCTGCTCCAAGGGGAGCCTGCTTCCCTCTCCCTCTGCCTGTCACTCCCCCTGCTTATGCTTTCCTTGTGTCAAAAGTTCTACATTTTCATGACATCCAGGTTTGTCTATTTCTTCTTTTGTTGCCTGTGCCTTTGGTGTCATAACTAAGAAATCACTGCCAAATCAAAAATCTTGAAGCTTCCCTTTATGTTTTCTACAAGTCTTAGCTCTTACATTTGGGTCTTTGATCCATTCTGAATCAGTTTTTATATATGGTGTTAGGTAAGGGTCCAGCCTCAGTCTTTTGCATGTAGATACTTTTCCCAGAATCATTTATTGATGAGACCCCTTTCCCCATTTAATAGTCTTGACACACTTGCTGAAAATCATTCAAGGATTTATTTCTGGGCTCTCCTTCCTATTGGTCTCTCTGTATGTCTATCATTATGCCAGAACCATAACTGTTTGACTACTGTAGCTTTGTAGTAAAATTTGAAATCAGGAAGTGTGAGGCCTCCACCTTTGTTCTGCTTGCTCAAGACTGTTTCAGTTACTTGGGTTCCCCTGAGATTCCACAGAAATTTCAAGATGGAATTTTCTGTTTCTGTAAAAAAAACCTTACTTACATTTGGATAAGGAGTGCATTAAATGTATAGATTATACTCTGGGTGGTTACTGGCATTTTAAGAATAATAAATCTTCTAATTCATGAACATGAGATTCTTTTCCATTTTATTTATGAGGTTTCATTCTTTCAGAAATTGTAGTTTTCATTGTTCAATTCTTTCACCTCCCTGGCTAAGTTCATTCTGGAGTAGCTCATTCTTTTTGATGCTATTTTAAGAATAATTGTTTTCTTAATTTCCTTTTTAGTCTGTTCATTGTTAGTGTATGGAAACACAACTGATTTTTGGATATTAATTTTGTATTCCTGTTATTTTGTTGAATTTCTTGGTTTTACAGGGATTTTGTTTTTGTTTTGTTTTTTTTTTTTGGTGAAATCTTTACGGTTTTCTATATAGAAGACTGTCATTTCTGAATGATTTTACGTTTTCCTTTCCAATCTAGATGCTTTTCTTTTTTTTTTTTTTTTGCCTAATTGCTCTGCTAGAAGTTCCAGTATTACATTGAATAGAGGTAGCAAAAATGAGCTCCTTGTCTTGTTCCTGATCTGAGAGAAAAGCTTTTGCCTTTTACCACTGAGTATGATGGCAGCTGTAATTCATAAATGATTTTAAAACACTTTATTTATTTGAGAGGCAGCATGCACACATAGGGCAAGAGGGAGAGGGACAAGCAGACTGAGCCAAGCACAGAGCTCCACCCACACAGCGCTCAATTTCATAATCCTGAGTTGAATTCAAGAGCTGGACACCCAACCAACTGAGCCATCCAGGTACCCCCCCCCAAAATGACTTTTATAATGGTGTGATAGTTTCTTACTATTCCTAATTTGTTGAGTGTTTTTAACAAGAAAATGTGTTGAATTTTGTCAAATGCTTTTCCACATCAATTTAGATTATTTTTTTTTAATTTTTATTTATTTATGATAGTCACACAGAGAGAGAGAGAGAGAGAGAGAGAGAGAGAGAGAGAGAGAGAGGCAGAGACACAGGCAGAGGGAGAAGCAGGCTCCATGCACCGGGAGCCCGACGTGGGATTCGATCCTGGGTCTCCAGGATCGCGCCCTGGGCCAAAGACCGGCGCTAAACCACTGCGCCACCCAGGGATCCCATCAATTTAGATTATTGAGGTTTTTTTCACTTTCTATTAATGTGATGTATGTAACAGACTGACTGATTTTCCCCTATGTTGAACCATCCTTGCATTTCAGGAACAAATTACACTTGGGCATGGTGTATAATCGTTTTACTGGATTCTGTTTGCTAGTATTTTATTGATGACTTTTGCATCTATATTCAAAATGGATATGGCCACATAGTTTTCTTGTAGTGTTTTGTTTGGCTTTGGCATCATGGCAATAATGACCTCATAGAAGGATTTCAGAATAGGAAGCATTCCTAATTCCTCTCTTCAGTTATCTGGAAAAGTATGAGGACTGGTGTTACCTCTTTAAATGTTTGGTAGAATTCACCAGTGAAGCCATCAGAACCAGGGCTTTTCTCTGTCAGGAGGTTTTTTATTACCGATATAATCTTGCAGATTATGGGTCTATTTTCTATTCATGATTTAGTGTTGGTTGATTTTGTGTTTCTAGTTATTTAAGTCCATTTCATATGGGTTATCCAACTTGTTGGCACGTAATCATTCATAGTATTATCCTAAAATTCTTTTTATTTCTGTAGAATAAGAGTAATGTCCCCTCTTTTGTTCTAATTTTAGTAATTTGAGCTTGCCCTTTTCCTTCCTCTAGTTAAATGTTTACCAGTTGTATTCAATGTTTACCAGTTGTTAAACTTTTCAAATAACCAGGTTTAAGGTTTTATTTTTTTTCTATTTTTCTGTTCTCTGTTTCCTTCCTTGTGCTAACTTTAGATTTAGTTCGTTCTTTTTCTAGCCCCTTAAGGTCTAAAGCTTTAGGCTGTTGATTTGAGATCTTTCTTATTGTAAACATTTACAGCTATAAAATTCCTAAGTACTACCTTCACTGCATCCCAGAGTTTTGGAATATTGTGTTTTCATTTTCATCAGTCTCTAGGTATTTTTTTAATTCCCCTTGTGATTTTTCTCTGCCCATTGGTTAATTCCCACAAATTTGTGAATTCTCCATTTTTTCTTCTGTTATTGCTTCTAACTTCATCCTGTTATGGTCAGAGAAGATACTCTATATTATATCTATCTTTTAAAATTTTGAGACTTCTTTTGTGGCCTAACATCTGAGCTATCCTGGAGAATATTCCATATGCACTTGAGAAGAATGTATGTTCTGGGGATGCCTGAGTGGCTCAGTGGTTGAGCATCTGCCTTTGGCTCAGGGTGTGATCCTAGGGTCCTGGTCTCAAGTCCCACATTGAGCTCTCCTGGAGGGAGTCTGCTTCTCCCTCTGCCTGTGTCTCTGCCTGCTCTCTGTGTCTCTCATGAATAACTAAAATCTTAAAAAAAAAAAAAAGAGAGAGAAAAAAAAGTATGTTCTATAAGAACTAGCTGGTTTATTGTGTTGTTCATTTTATCATCTGCCTGGCTGTCCTACTTATTATTGAGAGAGGGTGCTCCAACTATTTTTGTAGAAATGTTCACTTCTCCCTTTAACGCTGTCAGTTTTTGCTTCATTTATATCTATCTGATGGTCTGTAATTAGTTATGGGTCTTTAGAATTTTTTAAAAACCCATGGGATCACTGTCACTTTTCACTTCTAAACCTTTCATTTCCTTACTTCCCTTCTTAGATGCAGCCTAGATTTCAAGTCCCTTATTAAAATCATTCCCTGGCATGTGTTTCTCTCTCCCTCCATCCTATTCTGTCAAAATCCTGACCTTGATTAAATCTCTGTATCCTTAAGTAACTGGTTATGCCTCGAGAAAATACACCACTGTACTGACCTGTCTTACTTCAGTGACAGTGAATTTCAAATGAGTCCTCAGGGTAGCTCAATAATCCTATTACTTTTCCCTGGTCAATATGCTTTCAGTTTCTCAAAGTAACTTCTTCAAAATCACAATGCTTCAACCCCAATCTCCAATTATGTCCCTACTTCTTACTTTGCTAAGAAAATAAAAACAACCAGAGAGAAGTCCTATCTACACCTACCTCTAAATTTGTAAATATATATATTCTGCTTTCCTTCTCACCTGCACAAAAACTTCAATTATCCCATACTCTGCTGCATCACTGGTTCTTCCCTCTACTTGATCATTTACATCAAGAGACATGCAGTATTAACTCCCAAAATAAGGAAAAAAAAAAAAAACCCACCTCTATCCTATGTTTACTATTTCCCCCTTTACACTTTCCATATTTTCAACCTCCTCAATCCTGTGTCCCCATCATGTCCCTAAAACAGTGTCTTTCAAAATGACTAATAATCTGCATGTTGCCAAATCTAGAAGATCAGCCATCATCTTAGTTGGCTTCTTAGCAGTGTTTGACAGAGGTGAACATTCCTTAAAACACTTTGCCATATAAAGGAGTAGGGTATCTAGGGGTGTTGGTGGTTAAGGAAGATGTTCCAGGACTGGCATGTGAACAGAGATATGAATGAGGTGAAACAGCCATGTGAATATTTAGTGAAAGCATTCCTCCAGGCTGATGGCTGCTTTGCTGGCTTATCTTCCTCTATTCCGTTCAATTTTGTAATGCCCAGAGCTTAGTCTTCGTGTTTCCTTATCTATTCTTTAGATACTATCTTCCCAAAGTTTTAATACCAGCTATATACCAAAATATATCCCTATTTCAACTGCTATTTATCATCTCTCCTAACACCATTACACTAGTCAAAGTCACCAGTATCTTTTCCCTGAATTACCCATGTTGGTTTTCTTTCTTTTCTTTTTTTTTCTTTTTTCAAGATTTTATTTATTTATGAAAGACACAGAGAGAGAAGCACAGACACAGGCAGAAGCAGAGACACAGAGAAGCAGGCTCCACACAGGAAGCCCAATGTGGGACCCGATCCCAGAACTCCAGGATCATGCCTCAAGCCAAAGGCAGATGCTCAACCACTGAGCCACCCAGGTATCCCCCCATACTGGTTTTCTAGCTGGTTTTCCTACTAACTCTTTGGCACTTCACATACTTTCAGCAGTAGCTGGAATGATCTTCCAGACCCTCCAATGTCTTACTATCACATTTGGGATACAAGACCTCATCATAGCCTGTAAGATCTAGGCTGGTTCTTTCTCCATCCTCATCTCCTACTGCTCTCCCTTACCCTTTATTCACTCCACACCAGTCATACTGGCAACCTTGCCACTCCTTGAACCTGCTAAGCTTTTATAGCCAAGAAGAGACTTGCTGTGTCTGCATGGAATGCTTCCACTAAATATTCACATGGCTGTTTTGCCTCATTCAGATCTCTGTTCACATGGAACATCTTCCCTAACCACCACCACCACTAGATACCTTACTCCTTTATGTGGCTTTAATTTTCTTTATAGCAAGTATCAGTGTCTGACATATAATATCTATACATATGTACAGACTTATTTACTGTCTCTCCTAAAGGATCGTAAAATGTAGGCTCCTTTAAAGGCCAAGTATGTGTCTCAAATGTCTAGACTAGTGCCAAGAACACAGTGTACACTCAATAATTTTCTGTTGAATGAATGAGAGGTAGGTAGTATGTATGTGTCATTATGTCATTACCTCATCTTTTTATGAATGAGAAAACACACAGAATCAGGGTCAGACAGAGGAAATGTCTCTTTAGTGAAAATAAGGATTATTTTTCTGGTTCTATTCAAGCCATTTGAGATATTCCTTAACCATTTTGGCAAATAATTATTAAAATAACTAAAAATGAAAGCTATCTTGGTATGTGCATTTCTCCTAAAGCAGTCTAGAAAGGGCTCCCGCTAGACTCTCACCATTAATCACTGGCTCTTCCTGATACTCTCTCCTACCATTTATAAAAGAGGGTGTCTTTTCTAGGTCTCCTTCCCTACCTTTCCTAGTTTCCTCTCCACCACAGCTCAGAGAGTCATCAGCAACATCTCATCTTGCCTCACCACCCAAAATGATACAAAGAAACTACCATAGGAATCTAAAGAGTCTGAATGGTAAGTGTGTCCCTAATACAAAATAAGCCCTTCCCAGATTAGAATTATAATACTGCCAAAACTCTCAACAGTATCTGAGCCATACACAGAATGACAAAAATATGCATACATACTTGACATTTTACAAGGATGTCAAAGAAATCTTCATCAGGCTCTTTGTTGTCATTAGTCATCAGGTGGCCAAGTACAGACTTATTGTTGTTTTGTGTCAGACGAAGCCCTGGCAAATTACTGAAACTGGCCCTTTGGTCATCAAGACGGCGGCTCTGTGAGCTGGCAAGAAGGTCTAAAAACTCATCCGTGTTGGGGGACACCATGGAAACAGATGGTGCTATGAATAGGAAAAAAATCCGTAACATCACAAAAATATTTAAGCATATTTTTAATATACATATAGTTCCTTTCAGCCTTGTTCAGTCCCAACATCCACTCTGTCCCCCTGCTTTAGCTTTGTCACTGAGAGTCACTGATACACTGGGGCCTGATGATATGGGCAGGTAGGGAAGAACAAATCCCAGAGTACTTCAGATGATTCACTTAAAGGTTATTCAGATTAGACTACATTTCTTTTTATCTATGTCCACTCAAAATATAACTTTACAAGGGGTGCCTGGGTGGCTCAGTCAGTTAGGTGTTCAACTCTTGATCGCAGCTCAGGTCTTGATCTTCTGGTCGTGAGTTTGAGCCCTGTGTTGGGCTCCATGCTGGGCATGGAGCCTACTGCCCCCAAAAAAGATAACTTTACAAGATCTGGGGCTAGATTTCAGAAGGTAATACATTGTCTTATATCATTTCTCCCGTGAGGATGAATGAGACAGTCTTTATTCTATGTCCTGGATAGGAACCATTTAGCTAACTAAGAGTTAAGTCCTGGTCTATGGCAGAGGAAGTCTTTTGGTAGCTGAAGTAGAAAATTTTAAGTAACCCTTCTAAGGCTCAGGCAGGCCTTAGCTTCCACCTTAGTCATAGGTTTCTCCTCAGTCTGTCTTGGCTTTTTAAAAATCCAGATAGGAAGCATTTGTGATTTACACAGAATTATAAGATATGTATAACTTAAATTTTTCCCTTTACTATTTTTACTTTTAAAGTTAGATTTTTTTCCCAGTCCCAAAGACTCTAAGGAGACAGTATGTTAGTTGGTAGAAAGTGCACTGAACTAAAATACAGATAAACCTAGGGGAACTGAAACAAAACTTTGTTCTGAACTGAAGAAATACCAGCATTTCAGATACACCTGAGTTCAGGTTCATTTACTGTACTTGCACTGAAGAAAACTGAACTCTCAGAAAGAAATCACACGAATATCAAAGGAAACTATTAAAATTGGGGGAGAAGCACAATTACTCACTTTTAAGCATCACTCTAGGGGGAGTGGAAGATGCTGCATTTGAAGCTGGCCCACAGCTCTGTTCTTGTAAGCAGCACCTCTGATCATCCATCCGATTGCTCTGAAATCGGCTTACCAGGTCAAAGAACCCTTCATCTCCAATAGTATCTGTACTGACTTTCTGAAATATTGAGAGAAAAATCTTAATATTCCAGCATTATCATCACATCATCAATGGAGCAAAATCATGATACATATGCAAAAGGTAAAGGATGAAGATTAAAAATAAAAATTGACATTTTCATTATAAAGATTTCAAGATGGCAACCTTGATAATAAAGTTATTTCAATCCAACTAATAAAAAGCATTTCTCGTTATATTTTATTTATTCTAGTTATGTATTTTAGTTTTTAATCCTTGTAATTTCTAAGGCTAAAGAAATGTACCTCAGACTCTGGGGAACTACTTCAGATACTAAAAGATTTATATAAATATTAGTGATCCTAGGCTCAAAGTTCAGTTCTAAGATTCTACAAAAGAATTTAAAAGTAAATTAATCTAAGAACTTAAAACTAACAAAGCATAGCGATTTTCCAAGGTCCTTTATTATATTTAAAGATTTGAAGCTCTTTAAAAAACATAAACCTCATATAAATAAATATTTAGGGCAGAAGGAAACCAGTCATACTTTACTTGGAAGCTTCAAAGCTTAAAATGACAGATGCAATGTTTAATAAAAAATATTTTGCTTTTCATAATGATATAAGTATTATGGTAGAAGTACATTTATATAAAAAATTATAGGCTTCAGGAGATGGGCAAAACTAATCCTTTAGGGAAACTGTGATATTTGAATTGGCTCCTGAAGAATGAATTCACATTTACAGGTATATGCTTCATACTGATTAATATGCGATGCTAAAAGTTTGTAGTGTTCAGGGGATAATGAACTGAAGGGGGTAGGAGAGGTGAAGAGGTGGGAAGAGACCACCAAACAAGAGCCTCTGTATGACATACTAACAAGTTATCCTATATGAAGTAAGAGGAGCATTGGTAATAATAATTTTAAGCAGCTTTGAACAGAAACAGAATTGGCCCCTCCAAATGGCTGCAGAGGTTAATGCAGGGAAAGCAATCAGCTCGGTTGCCTATTCCAAACATCTGGGTAAGAGATGTAGTAATGCACTAAGGACTATGACATACATAGCAGCAGAGGTTTATTTTCAGAAAGAAGGGGCCGGAGGCAGATCTGAGGGATGCAGGGATTGACTGGATGTGGTTAGTGAAAGAGGGAGTCTAGAATGACACCTGGGTTCCTAACCTGGGGGACAGAGAACATGGCATACATAAGGGAAACAGGAGGGGTTCAGAGTACAGTTCTTAACATGTTTAGTTTGAGGACTGGGATTAAGTATGTACATAAGCTGTAGTCAGATGCACTTGTAATCACTCACAAGACTTTCCTAGGGGCAAAAAAGGCTTGAATTCAAAATTCTGAACATCAAAACACAGGGAGGCCTCAGAAGTATGGACATTTTCAGTTGGGCTAAGTGGGCTTAGTTAAGACCTCAAACCTTGAACAAAGGTATGCCCCTGAGATCTGCTGTAGGTCTAAAAAAATATTCGTGGTCCATTATATACCCCATAATATTTCCTTTTGTTAGTCATATACTTGGAAAAAACTACTGATAAAAATCAAGACAAAGGACACCACCAGGGTACAGACATAGGTGGAATGCTGATAAGAGAACCAAAAGAAAGCTGTCAAAAAAAAAGAAAGAAAGAAAGAAAGAAAGAAAGAAAGAAAGAAAGAAAGAAAGAAAGAAAGAAAGAAAGAAAAGACTACCATAAGTTTTCCAAAAGCTCTCATTGAAAAATGGACTTGATAATTTGAAGTATCATCTTTGTGATTTATTTTGATTCTTTTATCAGAGTGCAGGTTAGCTTAATTAAAGATACTTCTGATTATTTAGAAATAAAATATTATATACTTATATTTAGTAATCTGAGTCCTGTGATCACTTTTCATCAAAATAGTTTTTAATTCTATTATAATTTCAGTATAAATAGAAATTGATGCTAGCAGATACTATCTTAAATTAGTATTTTAAAATCCTTCAACCTCTAAGTTTAATTTGTTCTAACTTCTAAACTGAAAGAAGGACAGTTTTACTGGGAGACACTGCAGTAAAAAAATAAATAAATAAATAAAATAGTATTTTTGCAAACAATGACAAACAATTACTATCCAAAGTAGTAAAGCAACATATCCATGAATGGAGTAATTATAGTTTCTAGCTTGAAAAAGAAAAGATAGGGAAATATGCAAGACTTCTTTGAATAAAAACAGTATTTTGTATTAAATGTCTAATACAAATTACGGAATATTCAGTCTGAATACAAGAAAACTAAAATGTAGATACTTGAAGCACAACACTCAAAAACTTATTATTATACGTACCCTCTGAGAATTTGGAATTCGGCGATCAATGGAATTACTGGCATCCTGGAGAATGTTAGTGGAGGAATTAGTTTTGCATTTTTTTCCCTTTAATCTGTTGACAAAGAGCAACTTTGCAGAAGGTTTGGCAATAAGAGGCTTTTGTTTAGCAAGAATTTCACTGTTCCAGTTCTGTACCTATAAAATTATAAACACAAATGGAAAGCAGGGCATGAAAAAACAAAGCTATCTTTGGTTTTCTATAATATGAACCTGTCTTCACCGCCCATTTAGTGTGTGAGGCAGCTTAGATCTCTTAATAAATTCCTTTTTGCCAGTATTTCTATTTCAACAGATTATACCAAACATATACTGTGGACTTCTCATTATCAAAACATTAAAATGGTGACTTTTAAGAACTTAAGAGTAATAAAACAGAGTTTGCCAAAATCCCATAAAAATAAAATTTGAGGGGATCCCTGGGTGGCTCAGCGGTTTGGCGCTTGCCTTTGGCCCAGGGCATGATCCTGGAGACCTGGGATCGAGTCCCAAATCGGGCTCCCTGCGTGGAGCTTGCTTCTCCCTCTGCCTGTGTCTCTGCCTCTCTCTCTCTCTCTCTGTCTCTCATAAATGAATAAATAAAATCTTAAAAATAAAATAAAATTAAATTAAATTAAATTTGGTCAGGGAAAGAGCAACTTTTATTCTGGATAAGAGTTAATTAAAAATGTTACAACTGGAAATTTTGGACATATGCAGAATTTTAAACTGTAGAAATTAATATCTAAAACTTACATAGCTGTAGCAATTTTTTGGTGATACTTTTTGTTTTCACTAACTACTAAATTCTCAATAGGCAAAAACCATCAAATCAGCAATTTATATAGGCCTAGATCTGGTTTAAATATACTTAACCTCTAAAAAACAGACTCAATATAAAAAATATTTACTGAGTAGAAAGGAAAACATACAGTATGTACAGTAGCTACGTGACATTTGCAACTTTAACATTTCAGTCTTGTTTGCAAGTAAATCCAAAGGTCTATGTTATGTAATAACTGATAATTTGATAAAACATGCTTTTTTTGTAGTTACCTCATGAGGCATAAATTAGTTAGGTCCTGCCCTCAGGCTACCATACCTCAGAGAGACAGGCAGCTAGTGAGGAAACCAAGCTATCTGCATCAAATGAAGCTTTTTCCTCTCCCTCTGTTCCTTTTCTTATACAGGTTATAAGGGGAAGGTGATACTACTGCTAGAGTGGACTTCAAGGTCTCCTGATTTTAGAGACAGTAAATGGCCCCAGATGTTAGAACACCTAAATCCCAAGTAGAAATGTGAAAAACTTTAAATGTTTCCTATATACTTATTTGGACTTCTCTCTCTCTCTCTTTTAAAGATTTTATTTATTTATTCATGAGATACAGAGAGAGGCAGAGACACAGGCAGAGGGAGAAGCAGGCTCCTTGCAAGGGAGCCTGATGAGGGACTTAATCCTCAGACTAGGGTCATGCCCAGCTAAGGCTGATGCTCAACTGCTGAGCCACCCAGGTGTCCCGGAAATAATTTTCCTTCATAATTCTGAGGACATTGTTCCAGTCTGTATTCTTTAGTGTTTCTGTGAGAAGTCCAAATAAGGGATGCCCAAGTAGCTCAGCGGTTGAGCGTCTGTGTTAGGCTCAGGGCATGACCCCAGTCTGGGGACTAAGTCCCACATTGGGCTCCCTGCGAGGAGCCTGCTTCTCCCTCTGCCTACATCTCTGCCTATGTTTCGTGAATAAAATCTTTAAAAAAAAAAAAAGAAGAAAGAAAGAAAATTATTTCTAACCAATAATTCCACAGTAAGCAGAATGACCAATCAAATGTGAGAGTAGCAAAAAGGCATTTTCCAACATCTGCGGTCTGCAAGAGTTCCCTGCAACTATGCTTTCTTAAGAAGCATCTCTAACACAGATGTTTCTTTTTCTTTATAAATGGTTTTTTACTTTGTTGACAGTAATGAAATAACTCGATGCAACTTTATGATGAGGAAAAGAAAACACAGAACTAATCCCAAACATATTTAAAGATAGAATTTTGTCATTATTTGGCTCTTGGAAAAGCCAACTTTGAGTTGAATCTGGTCACCTTTTTTTTTTATTTTAAAGATTTATTCATTTATTTATTCATGATAGATATATATATATAGAGAGAAAGGCAGAGACACAGGAGGAGGGAGAAGCAGGCTCCATGCCAGGAGCCAGATGCAGGACTCGATCCCGGGACTCCAGGATCGTGCCCTGGGCCAAACCCCTGAGCCACCTAGGAATCCCCTGAATCTGGTCACCTTCTTAATGGAATCTACAGTTAGTACCCTACAGAGCTCGGCACAAGAGTAAATTAATCAGTACATTCCTATAAGAATAAGAAAAGAGGGATCCCTGGGTGGCGCAGCGGTTTGGCGCCTGCCTTTGGCCCAGGGCGCGATCCTGGAGACCCGGGATCGAATTCCACGTCAGGCTCCCGGTGCATGGAGCCTGCTTCTCCCTCTGCCTGTGTCTCTGCCTCTCTCTCTCGCTCTCTCTCTATCATAAGTAAAAAAAAAAAAAAAAAAAAAAAAGAATAAGAATAAGAAAAGAGACCTAAATTGACTTAAAAGTTTTTTTAAAAAATAATTTGCAGATTAGATAGCTTTGGAACTGACAAGATAAGAGGTAGATACTTGCGGGAAATCACAAAGTCCTTCAGAGTTTTTGAACAACTTTAATTGTTTGGAATAAAATATATTGGCTATAAATTCAAGTTAATTAGATGTTAGTCTTAAGAAAACTATTTCCACAGAAATGTCAATATTAAAAAAATCATATGCCTATTATAATACAGCAGAAAAATGTTTAATGGCATGAAAATGATGTATTAACTATGTATTATAAGATCTGTAAATATAATATTCATATAAAAATGCAAGATGAATAAAAATCAAAATATTAATAACTGTAGTTACCACTAGGGGGTGAGATTACTCATAATTTTAATTTCCTTGCTGAAATTTTCTGAAGTTATTATAATGAGCCAATTTTATAAAGAATATTTTATAAAATATACCACAGAAGAACAGCCTACCTTAACAATGTAAAATTAAGTTAAGCAAAAGTGGAAGCAAGCAGCCTTCATTTTTTTCTTCAAAAACCTTTTTACAGGGTGAGGGGATGGGTGAAACAGGTGATGGGGATTAAAGAGTATACTTGGCATGATGAGCACTGAGTAGTGTACAGAAGTATTGAATCACTATATTATACATCTGAAACTCGTAACACTGTATGTTAACTAAACCAGAATTTAAAAACTTAATAAAAAATAATAAAGAAAAATAACCTTTTTAAAATTATGTTATGTTAAAAGAGAAAAAGCCCAGACAAGATCTTGAATAAAAGTTGTTAGCTAAGAGAATGCTTTTAAGAAATGTAGCTAGAAAATATAGCTTGTTCATAAATATCATTAACCTTGCAATAATGTTGCTGTTAACGCAGTGGGGGGGGGGACCTCTTAACCTTTTTAAGTTTTTCTGATCTTCTTTTAGTTAAAAAAAAAAAAAGGAATACATGTACATGTTAAAATATTCAAACAGTTCAAGCTATATATGAAGTAAATATCTCTCCTAATTCAGACACCCAGTCCTTTTCCCAGAAGCAGTTGTTAGCAAGTTTCTTACATATTCTTCCAGAAAGGCTGTATGTATCTACAAAGAATATATATGCATAATACTTTTCTTATACAGATGGCAACATGTTATACACATTCTTTTTGGACTGTACTTTTTCTGATTCTTTTTATTTTTATTTATTTTTTCTCTGATTCTTTTTAAAGGAAAATTTTAAAGTGATACCTATACAAGACAAGGTTTATTTATACTATTCATTTAAGTTAAAAGTTATTTAAATATTTGATTTTAACAGTTCAAGAAATGTAAAACATAAAAGCTGCCAACCTTTTCTGGTGTTAACTTCATAAGTTCCATGTTTTCCATACTGTGTCGGCGTCCAAACTTGGGGCGTGCACCTTTGTAAAAAAAAAATAATAATTCAAATAAACTGGGGACCCCTTAAGACTACAAGTTCAGCATCTCTAGGTTATTCAATTTTAAAGTGTGTAAAACAAGCCCATATGGAAGCAAGAAACGTACAAACATGTATTCTTTTAAGAATAATAATTTTCCATACCAACTACATAAAAATAGAATATCCACTCCCTCTAAAATGCTTTGATGTAAGGAAGTTACATTTTGGTTGGAAACTGACTTTGGTTACTAACATTACCCCTTAATTTAGAAAAGGTGTTTTATAATAACTGGTTTTATACTATCCACATAGACTTAAAAAAAATAAGAAGGAAAAATCCTGTATGATCTCACTTATAGTGGAAATCAAAAATAAAAAAAGAAGAAGAAAAAGAAAATACCTGAACTAGAAAAAAGATCTCAAACTTGTAGTTTACCAGAAACAGAGGGGGTTAGGGAAGGGAGTAGGGGAGGGGAAGGTGGTCAAAAGATACAAACTTCCAGTTATAAGGTAAGTAAGTATTAGTGTTATAGTTAACACTGCTATATGATACTTAGGAAAGTTGCTCGGAGGGTTTATCCTAAGAGTGCTCATTGCAAGAATAATTTTTTTTTCTTTTTTTCCCTTCTTTTCTATCTGTATGAGAATATGGATGTTAGCTGAACCTACTGTGGTGATCATTACATATGTTAATGAGGCAATCATGCTGAGTACCTTACACTTAGTCATGTATATCAAATATTTCTCAGTAAAACTGGAAAAAAACCCAAATCAAATGAAAATAACATCCTGAGTACTATATTGTTACTTTCTTTTCTTTCCTTTTTTTAAGTAGGCTCCATGCCCAATATAGGGCTTGAACTCATGACCCTGAGATTGAGTTGCATGATCTACCAACTGAGCCAGGCAGGTGTGCCCCTGTTGTTACTCTTCTCTAAGTTACTCATTTCTATTTTAAGAATGAATTAGATAATAAAGTTAAAAAAATTCTCAATTTTTTTCAATAATCACTAAATATAGAGGATTTTCATATCCAGTCTTTTAAAGATCAATATTTTAAAGACATGATATAAGGAATATATGATACCTAATACCCAGCTTAAGAAATAAACCATTTTCAACACATTAACTCCTCCTCTGTGGGCAGCCCTGGTGGCACAGCGGTTTAGCGCCGCCTGCAGCCCGGGGTGTGATTCTGGCGACCCGGGGTCGAGTCCCACGTTGGGCTCCCTGCATGGAGCCTGCTTCTCCCTCTGCCTGTGTCTCTACCTCTCTCTCGCTCTCTCTGAATAAATAAATAAATAAATCTTTAAAAAAAATATATCTAACTCCTCCTCTGTGACTCTCTCTATAACTTTCCTCTTTCTCTGTAATTTTAATATTTTTATTACATATGAATAGATCTCTAAGCAATATAGCTTATAATAAATAAATGCTTCCATACTGTATATATCATCTAACTTGATTTCTTCAAGCAACGTTATGTTTTTGAGATTCAGCCAAGTTGCTATGTGTAGTTTAATTTTTTTTTTAAGATTTTATTTATTTATTCATGAGAGATAGAGAGGCAGAGACACAGGAAGAGGGAGAAGCAGGCTCCATATGGAGAGCCCGATGTGGGACTCGATCCTGGGACTCCAGGATCATGCCCTGGGCCAAAGGCAGACGCTCAACCACTGAGCCACCCAGGCATCCCCAGTTTAATTTTCATTACCATTTTAGGACTAGGAAATTCTTTATCTGTTCTACTGGGGACAGAGATTTATAGACTGGTTCCAATTTTTTTTTTTTAAATCAGATAAGCAGCACTCCCAAAGAAATTCTTGGAAATGTATCTTAGTGACATGAGCAACAGTTTCTTCTAGTTTGGGTATTGGTGGTATGTAACTGTGAGTAGAATTGTTGCTCATATGCTTAGTACATCCTCCACTTTACCAGAATGTCAGACTGTTCTTGAGAGTAGACATATTTCTATCATTATCAATACTGAGTAAGAGTTTCCATTACCCACATTTCAATACTGGTGTTCTCAGACCTTTCAACTATTTATTATTTTTTTTAAAGATTTAAAAAATATTTTTTAAAGAATGTAAAGAATTTAATTATTTGACAGAACAAGAGCACTAGCAGGGGGAATAGCAGGCAGAGGAAGAGGGGAGAAGCAGGCTCCCTGCCCAGGAGGGAGCCCTATGTGGGGCTGGATCCCAGGACCCGGAGATCATGACCTGAGCCGAAGACAGATGCTTAACCGACTGAGCCGCCCAACGTCCCTCTAGGAGCATTTCTAACCCCTTTGCACTTGAGTGGACTGGGGTTTCTTACACCATGCAGGCAGAATAAATCAAATTCCAAACCAGTACATAGGCAGGCTTAGGAATTCAGATTCTTTTTTTTTTTAATTTTTATTTATTTATTTATGAGAGTAACACACAGAGAGAGGCAGAGACATAGGCAGAGAGAGAAGCAGGCTCCATGCACCGGGAGCCCGATGTGGGATTCGATCCCGGGTCTCCAGGATCGTGCCCCGGGCCAAAGGCAGGCGCCAAACCGCTGCGCCACCCAGGGATCCCAGGAACTCAGATTCTTAAGGAACACTCCCTTTCTCTACCTTGAGCCAACACCAGAAACTGGTGTTTCCTTGAAGTTCCTTTAGCCAGCAGATTTTTCCTGGCACTGGAGATACAGCAATGAATAAAAGAAACCAAAAAATACCTGTCTTCATACAGCCACAAAGAGCAAAGAGGGGAGTGGTAGGAAGTGATGCTGAAGTAGGCTGAGATTCCATAAGGCCTTAACCATGGTGACAAGTGAGGATTTGGTTCTAGGTGTGATGGGAAATCATCGGAGGATTTTGAACTGACAAATAACATGATTTACATTTTATTTATTTATTTTTTAAGATTTTATTTATTTATTCATGAGAGACACAGAGAGAGAGAAAGAGGCAGAGACACAGGCAGAGGGAGAAGCAGGCTCCATGCAGGGAGTCCCATACAGGACTCGATCCTGGGACTCCATGATCACACCCTGGGCCCAAGGTAGGCGCTAAACCGCTGAGCCACCCAGGGACTTACATTTTAAAAGAGCACTCTGGCTGCTGTGTGAAAAAGTCAGTGTGAGGGATTATGAATGGAAGAGAAATAGTTGATAGGCTAGTACCCTAATGGGAAACGTTGGCAGTTTGTACTAAGATTGCTGCAGTGAACATTGTAATAGAGATTAGGCATATATTTGGAAGGTAAGGTTTCTGATAGGCTGGATGTAGGAAGTGAGTGGAAGAAAAGGAACAAGGATGACTCATAGGTATTTGGCCTGAAGACTTAGATGAATGGTAGTACCATTTCCTGAGATAGGGCAGACTGGAGGAAGAACATGTGTGGGAAGAAAAAACAAGAGCTCTGTTCTGGACAGGTTAAGTTTTAGATGCCAATTAGATATTCAAATGGAAATGTTACATATGTGAATCTCAAACATAAGGGGAAAAATTATGACTGGAAACATCAATTTGAAAATCATCACTATATAGAAGATATAAAAGCCAACCAACGGAATGAAATTATCTAGAGTTGTGCTGTTTGATACAGTAGCCACTAGTCCCATGTGGCTTTTAAATTTTTAATTAATTACAATTAATAATATTAAGAATTAATTTTCTCTTTTGCAATAACCAAGTGCTAAAGTGCTCAAGAACCACATATGGCTAGAGGCCATTATAGCGAACAGACAGGATATATAATATTTCCATCTTCACAGAAAGTTCTACTAGATGGTAGGGGAAGGAAGAAGAGGTTCAAGAACTGATCTCTGAGCACTACAAATTTCAAGGGTAAAGGATGATGAGGAGAGAATAATGAAGGCTGAGAGTGGCCAGTGAGGTGAGAGCAAACCAAAAAAAAGGAGGATAATCCTGGAAGCCGAATGACCAAAATATTTTGCGAGGGGAATGATCAGCAGTAGGAAACATTGCTGAGAAATCAAGTAATCTGACATTTGAAAACTGAGCAGTGATTTGGTAAAATGGAGATCTCTGGTAACCTTGAAAAGGTTTCAGTGTCATGATGGAACCAAAGCCTGAGTGAAATGAGTTGAGCAGAGAATGGGTAGTGAATGGGAACTGAAGAAGTAAAGAAATGAACTACTATTTTCAAGTTTTGTTTTAAGTGGGAACAAAGTAATGAGTCTACAGTTAGAATGGTCCAGGAGAACAAGTGATAGTCTGCTAACATATAAGAAGTAGGGATCCCTGGGTGGCGCAGTGGTTTGGCGCCTGCCTTTGGCCCAGGGCGCGATCCTGGAGACCCGGGATCGAATCCCACGTCGGGCTCCCAGTGCATGGAGCCTGCTTCTCCCTCTGCCTATGTCTCTGCCTCTCTCTCTCTCTCTCTGTGTGTGTGACTATCATAAATAAATAAAAAAAATTTTAAAAATATAAGAACTATTACAATACAGCCTCCTTGAAAATTAAACCTAGGGAACCCCTTAGTCCATTACTATGCTGCAGAGCACACAGTCCATACACTGCTCATACTTCAGTATCTTTCATTGAATGTTCTTTCAGTCTTAACAGGACGACTAGTTACTGATTTCTTTTCCTTCTTCCTTTCTTTATATGGGTTTAGAGAAATTAGAAAGATGAAAGCTCAATTTGTCACCAACTTTCAAGTCCCAATACTGATGTGAATTGGTGACTTTTCTCAGACTGAGAATTTTTAGAGCCTCCACCAGATCTGTATAATGGGGTCTCACACAATCACAGAGCGCTCGAAATGTAATCTGATGTCCTTATTTCTTTAATCAGAAGCAGAATTTTGGGGGGCACTTGGCTGGCTCAATCAGTAGAGCATGCGATTCATGAGTTCAAGCCTCACATGCGATTTAAGACTTACTTAAAAAAAAAAAAGTACAATCTTTTTCATGTAGAAACAGAGACATTCAAGCATGTTTTCCCTGTAACAATGTCAAATCTTCCTTTAGGCACTGACCTAAAGAATATTTCCCAGTTTTCTGGATTAAAAAAAAAAATAGTAATAATACTAAGAGATCACTTTAGAAAGTAAATGGGAGGGGCACCTGGATATCTCTGTCGGTTAAGTGAATGACTCTTGATTTCAGCTCAGCTCATGATCTCAGGGTCATGAGATCAAGCCCTGAGTCAGGCTCCACATTCAGTGTAGTCTGCTTGTCCCTCTCCCTCTCTCTGCTTGCTTTCACTCACTCACTCTCTCAAATAAATAAAATCTTAAAAAAAAAAAGAAAAGAAATTAAATGGGAAGAAAAGAGCTATACAAAAATCAAATATGTAAAAAACACTTGAATTTTAAAAAATGTTTTGATTTTGTCATCTTCACATTTATAAATTTTTCAGTGAGCCTATAGATAATTTAAATGTATTAAAAAATACCTTTACCATTCCTAACTTCCTGATAACAGCTGTAAAATACTGTATTCTTTATTGATAAATTAATAGGACTGGGGTAAAGCAAAAAAGTATTATAAAAAGTTGAGCTTCCTCTGTAATATTCTCTCTGGATATGATAAACATGTGATACGTAATATAAATGTAATTGAGGATAAAGAAATTGGGTGTGAAGACCTATTACTCACCATGCAAGCTGTTATCAATTTCAATATTTTCAGACATTATTGAATTATTTGTGCTGTAGCTTAGACCAAGAACCATTTGAAGATCTGAGAGATTCAGTCGTGCTGTTAGTTCACCACTTCTATCCCCAACCTACAACCACAAACATTTTTTTTTCAACCACAACATTTAGAGTAGTATTAATGACAAAGAATTATGAAGATTAGCTGAAAATGTTGTGAGCCTAAAACTCGAATAAAATACAAAGAAATGAAATAGTTATATTAGAATTAAGAGACTGAACAAAATGGTTTTTTTCAATAGTAATTGTTTTAAAGAAAAGGGAAATTTCAAAAATACGGCAATAGGAAAACTAATTACATTGTGTTAATTCATTCTCTAAATATTAGTTAAATTTCTACAATCACTTAGTAATAATGTAGTTTATTCTGTGATAACATTAACTTGTCACCACAGGATTAAAATTTCCTTAGAATATTTTGTTTCAAAAAAAAAAGAATATTTTGTTTCCATTCCATAGTAATAGTATGTATTAAGCCAGCACTAAACATTACACTAGGCACTTACAGACGCTATCTCTAATACCTGCAAGTTAGGTATTGTTCTTCCCATTTTACAAATGAGAGAAACGAGCTCAGAAAAGGTTTCCAAGCTCAAATAGCCAGAAAGTGGCAGAACTGCAATAGGAACCAATCCTTGATTATAAAAACCATGTTTACAAAACAAAACAAAACAAGTTTTTCTTTCTATACCATCTACTTTTCCATGTAGAAACAGGGGGCATATTTTAGCAACCTTTCCATTTCCTCATGCCTGGCCTTACCTTCCTGTCTTCCTACATCAAGGCCAGTGCAAACAGACCTCTGATCTGTATCTCAAAATGCTTTGTGCAGTTCTTATGCCAAGGGAATAACATACTTAAATTTATTACTAGGTCATATAGGAGCGATCTAGAAAAATAATAGGACTTCCTCCTCCTCTGCAAATTGGTGAATCATAATAGCAGAAAGGTTTTTAGTTTCATACCTCTCTTGAAATTTCCAAGTGCTTTTCAGCAAAATGCATTGCTTGATCATGATTCCCTAGAGCAGTGTACGCATTTCCTAAGCTCCAACATGCTCTTCCTTCACCAATTCTACAAAACAATTCAAAGCTAACATTCAGTTATCTGAAAGAGCTGTGTATAGAATAAAAGTTATCTAGCAGTAATTAAAGGTATAAATAATGCTCTGGATTTATTTGGTCTTTCATATAAAGAACATAAATATATTCATACTAGAGACATTAGAATACCCAGATAATACTGAACTCAAAATTAGATATTAAAATGGGAAACATTTAGGGATCCCTGGGTGGCGCAGCGGTTTGGCGCCTGCCTTTGGCCCAGGGCGCGATCCTGGAGACCGGGATCAGGTCCCGCGTTGGGCTCCCTGCATGGAGCCTGCTTCTCCCTCTGGCTGTGTCTCTGCCTCTCTCTCTCTCTCTGTGTGATTATTATGAATAAATAAATAAAATATTTTTTAAATTTTTATTTATTTATGATAGTCACACACACAGAGAGAGAGAGGCAGAGACACAGGCAGAGGGAGAAGCAGGCTCCATGCACCGGGAGCCCGACATGGGACTCGATCCCGGGTCTCCAGGATCGCGCCCTGGGCCAAAGGCAGGCGCCAAACCGCTGCGCCACCCAGGGATCCCCTAAATAAAATATTAAAAAATAAAATGGGAAACATTTAATAATAAATAAATAAATAAATAAATAAATAAATAAAATAAATAGGAAACATTCTTTTAAAACATACCATATATTATAAAATAAAATCTCAGGGATACTAGTTAAACGACTCCATTTTCTTTCCATGATAGCCCTACCAGGTAACCATTCAGTCCACATTTGAATACCACTGGGGAGAGAGAACTCACTCTCTCTTGAAGTGGTATACTTCATTTTGAACAACTAGAGAAGCTTTTCTTCATACTGAAGTAAAAATCTGTCTTCTTAAAGCAAATATCACGGATTAAATGACTGTAGAGATACACTGCTTTTTCATACAGTTTTTTTTTCATACAGTTTTTTTAAAAAAATAGCCATCAAAATTTAAAAATCAGAAGATTTCATATAAAACTCAGGACTTCCAGCTTCTCTTTAAAAAAGAGGAATATCTGGACATAACACATCTTCAGTCCTGCCTGGCAAGAATGAGCTGGAGCTGAGGAGCAGATGTTCCCTTTACATTGGGCCTTACCTGTAAGTTTACCATAATTCCCACACTGATCTAGTCAAGACGACCTTTGTAGGCAACTGAGTTTGTGACCTATTTATTGATCTTGGTTCAAGGCTCTATGGACCAGTCTAATCTTCTAAGACATGCTAGCCCTTCAAAAACAATAATATAGAGAGGAGGAGACTAAAACAAGAAATTCCTTAAAAAAGAATTAAAAGGAAAACAAAGGAAACAAAAACAAAGGAAAAATTCTAGAGATTCAATGATGCATCTATATTTTACTATAATTATAGTAAAAAGGTGTATAACTTACCTATCATTTAGCTCTTGAGCAATTGCTAAGTGCTTCAGATGATAATCAATGGCTTTTTCATAGTCTTGAAGCAAAGTATACGTGTTTCCAAGACTATAACAAGACTGTGCTTCCACAGCTCTGTCTTTAAGCTGTCGAGCCAATAGTAGTGTCTTTCTAAAAAAAGAAGTTAATTCTTTCACAATGATCATTTTTATTTTTGGCTATAATAATCATAAAACTCACACTTTTCCTCCTGCCTTTAAAGTAAATCTATTTTATAACTTCTCTATACTTCCAGACAAAATGAAAAGATGTCTTAGAAACACAAAAACCAAATCTAGACTCTAAGAATAAATTGGAGAGTCCTATTAATTCTTCAGAGAAAAGGAATACTGACATGAGGTCAAATGCCTCTAAAGATTATATAATATAGTATTTTTAACATTTAAAAAAAACTGTCCCAGTTGTAATGGCCATAACTTAAAGAGAATTTTGTCTACATAACTTGTCTTTGCAATCACATGGTTGTCTTTGCATTTTGACAAAATTTAAAATATATAGTTAAAATTCTAATGCGTAGAACATTAGTCATTGATTCATGAAAAATACTGAAGACCATATTTAAACATTAACCAAATTCTACCTAAGACTCATTGAATTGTCAATGAGAAGCTAGTGTAGCAGTTAAGATTGTGAATCCTAGAGTTTCAACTGGGTTCAAATCCCAACTTTGCCAACTATTAGCTCTGTAATGGGCCAAGTCACTCAACTTCTGTTTCTTCATATGTAAAATGGGGAAAATATCCACAGGGTTTTGTGAGGATTAAATGAATTAATATATATGAAATGCTTAGATCTCGTTCACAGTAGATGCTAATAAATGTTAATACTTAAATGACTTCTATAATCTCTGCTCAATAGTGAAAATATTTCATAGGATTTATAATTATATGAAAATAAGTATATGATAAAATATGATGGTTTTAAGCAAACAAACCTGAAATTATATATTTAATGGTGATACCTTCAAAGCTGTTACCTTGGGAGGTTACACACTTATTCTAACATTGTCCCCTCTCAAACATTTTTGGAAGACTTTTGGGTTTGCTTTCAGATCCTGGGGTATCTTTCTAGCACACCATTACTCTTTGAGGGTATAGTTGATTTATAAATGTTCAGAAGTCCTTCTGCAACCAAATTCAATTGCTAATGTAGGCTTACCCAACTACTGCTTTCTATCCTGAAGGATATAGATTTAAAATGTTAAGACAGTCTTCTTGTGTGATCCTGAAAACAGCTCTAAAGCAGGTTCCTCCCTCAGTTCTAGCCTACTTATGAAGAGGGCAGGAGGAGGAAGTTTTATTACCTAACACTCATATTTTTTAGTCAAATAGCCATCATCTGCTTTATTACAGAACTTTCAGTATTTAACACAAGTAGTTCATTTATTAAGACATTTCTATGTCTTTTGCTTTAAAATATAAGAAATTTTAATATTTAAAATCAAAATATATACTCTATATGTAGTAATATATTTTATTTGGGAAGATATTTCATATCTAACTAACCAACAAATACTAACCATTGGTCAATGTTTATAGTAGGTTGGAATGACATTCTATTTTTTTGATGGACCTAAAGCAATTTTACCTTTGTTTGTAGATGGCAAACTGCCCCAAACTCTCTCACACTGGATTCTTTAACAATAAAATATAAATCAATCACTGTATCCATGTTTTAAACTGGCTCTGCCTAACATCTGTATGGGCCTTCAATCCCCACTAATTAGAAAAAACTCCAAACTAAGAAGCATAGACTGGACAATGTCAAAGAGTCTATACCTTGCTATTATCTATGTTTCAAGTGTATTGATAGATCAGAATGACTGTCCAGAAGAAGCTGGGTTTGCCAACTTCTCAGGTAAGTGAATGGGGCCTCAGCTTATGGTGAGGATCAAAGATGGACAGAGGAGAATGAGCAAACTGTTCAACAAGGGGGTGAGATGGTGGGCAAAAGAATTCAGAGATGCCTGGCGAAAACTAGGGCATATTTTTGTTACTAGGCTTTCTCATGGTTTTTCTGAAAACACATAACTGGGTGAGAAAAAGCATATAAGCATATACACCACACATGCTGAACAGGCTAAGAAGACTTTAAAAGTTTAGAATTTCATTTAAAAACAATTAAAGATAAAAAAATATAAAGGAATCATAATACTACCATTAAATCTAAGGTACAATAATACCAGGTCCTATGCAAAGTAAATGGTTAATATAGTCTTTCATTCAATCCTCACAATACCAAAAGCAAGGAATTGGCATGATCTGTTACAGATGAAGAAATTGAGGATTAGAAGCACAAGATCCTGCTGCTAGTATGTACAAAATGCAAGTTTTAAACCCAAAGCCTATTATTTAATAGGTTTGTATAACTACTCATTTTACATTTATCTACAGAAATATTACACTAACTTGTAGTATTCAGAGGCAGTTTCAAATTCACCAAGAAATATATATGCATTTCCAAGGTTGCTATATGCTCTTCTTTCAGCTGCTTTATCTCCAAATTCTTTTGCAATAAGGAGACGCTGAAACAGAAAATTCTAATTAGATACAGCTATAATAAAACTAAAGAATAATCACTGTTCAAAACCTGATGGAAAAAATGATCTGGATCCAAAGCCTTGCACTGTACCTGCTCATGAGCTATAACTGCATCCCTGAAGTTGCCAAGGAGGTAATGTGTGTTTCCAAGATTTCCAAAGGCACGTCCTTGGGCTGCTCGATCACCCAAAGCAGTCACTAGTGATAGATTTTCCCTAAATGATAACAAAGTTGTGAAAAAATAAATTTGAGAAAAAAATGTATTGGTTTGATTTACAAATCAAATTCTTTTTATCAAAAAAAATTTAGGGATCCCTGGGTGGCGCAGCGGTTTGGCACCTGCCTTTGGCCCAGGGCGCGATCCTGGAGACCCGGGATCGAATCCCACGTCAGGCTCCCAGCGCATGGAGCCTGCTTCTCCCTCTGCCTGTGTCTCTGCCCCCACCCCCCCCTCTCTGTATGACTATCGTAAATAAAAAATCAAAAAAAAATTAAAAAAAAATTTAAACAAGCTTACAGCCATAATGTGCCACTTTTTAAAAAAGATTTATTTATTTATTTATTCATGATAGACGTAGAGAGAGAGAGAGAGAGGCAGAGACACAGGAGGAGGGAGAAGCAGGCTCCATGCCAGGAGCCCGATGTGGGACTCGATCCCGGGACTCCAGGATCACACCCTGGGCCAAAGGCAGGCACTAAACCGCTGGGCCACCCAGGGATCCCCACATTTTAAAGATATATCTATGAAAGGGGTGGCTGCAGGGCTCAGCTGGTTGAGCATCTGACTTTTGATTTCAGCTCAGGTCATGATCTCAGGGTTCTGAGATCAAGTTCCATGGCTGGCTCCACACTCAGCAGGGAGTCTGCTTGAGATTCTCTTGCCCTCTCCCTGCCCCTCCTGCCGACTGCATGCACACAAGTGCTCTAAATAAATAAATAAAATCTTAAAAATAAAAAGATATATCTATGATGGAGGGTGATTATAGTAAATAACTGGGAATACTTCACTGAACAATTAAGGCAGGCTTCTGTTCAAAGTCAAGAACAGAGTCAGTCTTGGAACCCTTACATGTAAGAAGTTCTATGAAATCCTGGTAAGAGACTAAATTTACTTCACATAACTTAGGCTAATGATTGATATTTCTTGTTTCTGCCACTAAGTGGCACTAGTTAACAGTTTAAAGGAAAGCTTTTCAGGGGAGATTACTACTAACCTAACACTATAACATTTAGCAGCTATTTGATGGTTTATTTTTATTTGCTAGTCCATAATTCTTTTCTTTTTTTAAAAAGATTTTATTTATTCATGAGAGATACAGAGATAGAGGCAGAGACACAGGCAGAGAGAGAAGCAGGCTCCATGCAGGGAGCCTGATGTGGGACTCAATCCTGGGACTCCAGGATCACACCCTGGGCCGAAGGCAGGCTCTCAACTGCTGAGCCACCCAGGCCATCCCTAGTCCATAATTCTAAAACCTTTGCCAAACTTAAAAATGTATTATTGGATAAAGAATGTAGGATAGATCCAAGGCATAGGTGGGCCACGTGAATGCATCAGTGCTACTTACTCATAATAATCCACAGCTGCCTGCAGGGCATTTCTCACTTCTTCTGGAAATTCTCCTATGTCCTGAGGACCAGGGCAACCAAAACTTTTCCCTTTGGCATGATACACATTTCCAAGATTGTAAAGTGCTCTTGCTTCTCCCACCTAGATGAAGATATCAGCAGAATTTACATTTTGAAATCAGAAGCCAGGCATTCTAATGCTGATCATGTATTTATTTATAATATCCTTGATGATTAAGAGAAAGAAACATTTACATTGGCCATCCACACAGAACCAAATGATTACTTATGAAAGAAGAATGTGTTATTATTTTTTTCTCTGGTATTTTAAATTTTTTATTTTTTTTCTTTTATTTTTCTATGAAATTTTTTGGTATTAACTTTTAGTAAACTACAGATTAAATAGAATTAAAACACAAAGCAAGTTCAATGAAAACATTTGGCCTGCCATCCAATGTTCCTTATTACCTTGTCATTAAGCTCTCTAGAAATATCTAGATGTCGCTGACAACAAACTACAGCTTCATCAAAATTCCCAAGAACTTTTAAAGTGTTTCCCAGATTACCACTAGCTTTGGCTTCCCCCAGCTGGTCTCCAATAGTCCTGGGGGGGGAAAAAAAAAAGCAAGTGGTGTTAAAAATAAAGCATCCAGAGTACAGTTTTTCCCAGAAGACAACTGACATGCTTTAGGAAAGAAGGACCCATTAGCTACTTTAAATAAAAATTTAAAACTGACATTTCTATATTTAAATTTAATTAATTTTCATTCATTTAATTAAACTCTAAGGTCATTTCACTACCATTAATTCATTTAATTAAACAGTGATCAGCCTAAAGATTAGTTTTAAAATGCAATGCTATGAATGAGAGCTCACTAAAATGTATTAAGTTCGTTTTTTTTAATTGAATGAAAATATTTTTAAGGGATATTTAGGGAGAAGGAATTAAAATTCTTTAATTCTTAAATTAATTACCTTGCAAGAGTTAAATCATGATGATGGTATTCCAATGCTTTGGCATAATCATGCAGATAGAAATAAGCATTGCCCAGCTGGCTGTAAATAGCACTAAGTGTTTTTAGGTCTTCAGTTCCAACTTGAACTGCAGCTTCAAAGAAAGACACACCAGCACGGCAGTCTCCTGATTTACACAGACGTTCCCCTTCCAAGGCCAGTTCTAGGCAAGAAGCTTCCATTCTATAAAATTATATAGGACAGACATTTACAACATTACATTATAACTATACCACAGTATTTTTTTTAAAATTTTTTTTTTAATTTTTATTTATTTATGATAGTCACAGAGAGAGAAAGAGAGAGAGGCAGAGACATAGGCAGAGAGAGAAGCAGGCTCCATGCACCGGGAGCCCGATGTGGGATTCGATCCCGGGTCTCCAGGATCGCGCCCTGGGCCAAAGGCAGGCGCCAAACCACTGCGCCACCCAGGGATCCCTATACCACAGTATTTTTAACTTCAGGTAATATAATTTTAATGCTGACTGTGGCTACTTGCTCAGAAAAGCTGCCTCTATATTTGAAGTAGATATACATTATTGATAAAACAGTAAACTATTATTTATAGTATGGGCTAATTTGCCTAATCAAATATCTGAGCCTCTGAGGTCTTTCATAAAGGGTAGCTAAATCTCTCTATATGGAGCCCATTTTAAATGGCCCATCCAGAGCAACCCAGTTTACCAATGAGAGAACCTAAAGTATGTTTCCTAAAGTACTCTGAGTCTTATGAACTTCCTGAGAGTCTGGGGAGAAAATGGGTAGCTGGAGAAGGTGAAGTCCTATAATACATACCCTTCTCTATCCACATATCTAAGTGATCTACTCATCTGTCCATCAACCCCTCCTACTAACATCCACACCTCTTACTCTCTCATACACCCATACACACATTCCTGTTCTCACCACCACACGATCATCTATACCTCAGAAAAAAGGAGGAGCAAAATATTTTCATCTATAAGGTATACTTCCATAAGAGAACTAGGTGTCAAGAAACTTCAGGTTAGAAAGGAATAATTTCAAGATTTACAGAAATTTGGGGCAGCCTGGATGGCTCAGCGGTTTAGCCCCTGCCTTTGGCATGATCCTGGGGTCTTGGGATCAAGTTTCACATTGGGCTCCCTGCATGGAGCCTCCCTCTACCTGTGTCTCTACCTCTCTCTCTCTGTTTCTCATGAATAAATAAATAAAATCTTTTTTAAAAAAAAAAAGATTTACAGAAAGTCTAATCCTGTAAGTCTGTCACTGGATTTTTAAACACCAGAAGAATTAGGTACTGTAAATCTAGGTAGGAAAAAAAACCACTGATACTTCAGGTTTTAATACTAGACTTTAGTGGGGGCCTTTTGCCAAACTTACCACTGTGTTTCTTCAACATTTTTATGATTTCTGCAATGTCTATGTATTACCTAATCATTCACTTAAATGTTTCTATAATTTGTACAATTTCTTTGAAATTGGCACATGTCCTTACAAAAAAAAAAAAAGAAAAATCTAGCTTCATCCAAAGCAGTATCATGAAACTGTTTGATGTAATACTTATGTTTATTTTTTAATGCACATTAAAACAATATGTAGTATTAGAATAAAAAAGTTAAATTACCATATTACCCTTTAGAAAACCCTGGTTGAGCTCATCAAGCATTTTGTGAGCAGCATGAATTTACTCCTTAGTAGAATTAGCTTTGAGCATCTCTAACAGAGCAGTGATTCTTTTCTTTTCTTTTTAAGATTTTATTTAACAGAGAAAGTGGCTGCCAGAGAGCACAAGCAGGAGGAATAGCAAAGGGAAAGGGAAAAAGCAGGCCCCCCACTGAGCAGGGAGTCTGATCCCAGGACTCTGAGATCAGGGCCTGAGCTGAAGGGAGATGCCCAACTGAGCCACCGAGACACCCAACTGACTGAGCCACCGAGACACCCCTGGAGAGTGATTCTTCATCCTGGTTATACAACAGCAGAGCTTATGTGGAGTGTTTTTTAAAACTCTCAGTGTGGGGGACCTGAGTGGTGTGGTCAACTTGGGTTCGGTTGGTTTTGGCTCAGGTGGTGATCTCAGGGTTGTGAGATCAAACTCCGTGTCAGGCTCCATGCTCAGCATGGAATCTGCCTGAGACTTCCTCTCCCTCTCCCTCTGCCCTTCCCCCACCACTCTCTCTCTATATAATAAATAAATAAATAAATAAATAAATAAATAAATAAATAAATAAATACAAACAAACAAATTAATAAATCTCTCGATGCTGGGACCTATTCTCTGGGTAGGTCTGGCTCGCAGTATATTTTTTTTTTTAAATACCTCCAGGTAATTCCAACATTGTATGCCAGAATTGAGAATCACTGCTTTAACAGAAAATGTGATTTAAACCACCACTCACCCTAAATTCATTCAAATATGATTATACTTTTGTATTTATGGTAGCAGGTCAAGTAACATGTTTCTTCTTCAGATGCTTTCTTTTGGCTTATAAAATGTCAAGGCGCCTTAAAGCCATAAATTAAAATGGAATTGCAAAAGTGGAAAAGAAATCTGATAAACCTAAAAGAGAAGTCTGGACTAAGATTAACAGAGCTAACTGCAAAGGTTCAAAGTAGATTCAGTTCGAAATAAACAGGTTTATTTAGTCATTTCTGATAGGTAATTTTCAAGTTTTACATGTAGGTATTTTTTTTTTATAATTCAAGTAATGCTGCCAAAGGATACTGTCCGTTCACAGTCAGACTAGTGATTTTACCCTCACTTTATTAATCTAGGCAAAATGATGCAAGTAATCCTTTAACATTTTGCTTAAACAGTAGACCAAGTCAATTAGATACAAAGAACAACTTAAGTACATGGAAAAATTAATTGGTTAAATCAGAAAGAGGAAATTGCTATATTTATATTTCTTTATGTCATTTCAAATTAATAAAACCAATTTTTGTCTTTCACAAGTGAAAACTGCCATTTAGGACTGTATTTTTTAAAATTAGAGACTTCATAAAGAAAAAGACTATTTTTGTTTAAGGTTTTATGAGGTTACTGGTACATTCTGTGTGTGAAGAGAAACAAGGCAGCAAAAGACTATTTTGTAAAAATGTGATTTTATTGAAGAGTTCTTCTACTACATAAGCTACTGAAACTAGCTGTCTTTATTTGTCTGAATACCAAAACCACTGGACTTTCAAAATTACCATAGGAAAAAAATTGGAAAAGGTATTTTTACATATAAAATATATTACCTTTTTTATTAAAAAAATTTTTAATTTAAGCATGATTCCAATTATGGAAGTTATATACTGAGCAATTTCACTGCTAGTTATTAAAGCTGTATGTACACAAATTCATAAAGATATGTGAAAGGATGTTCACAGCAGCAAAAAAAAAAAAAACCCACACAATTTAAATGTCCATCAATAGAGTATTAAAGAAAATTGCATGCCACTGTACAATGGAATACTAATGATAATAAACATTGAGTATTCACTGAGGGAGAGGGAAAGAAATAGTTACACACAGCAGCACCATCTGTTCAGGACAGGCAGCTGGATGACCAGGAAGTCAGAGATAAGCCAGAACAGGCTATTAAGATATAAGTCATGTAAAAATTGGAAATATACAACATGTTTGCTATATCCATATAATCCAGAGAAATGTTTTCTTCAAAAAAATATCTTCACCACAAATATTTGACTTTCTGAATTAAACTTATATCAAACCAAATGCTGTATATAATATTAATTCAGCTACAGATTGAATGGTGTCATAACAGCTACTAATTTATAAAAAGTCATTTTAGATAATTTTCATTAGAAAGAGTGACAGCAAATTGGAACCCTACTGGCTACTGAGCTGTCTCTGAAGTCCATGAAGTAAGAACGCCCTGTAAGGGAAACTACCTTAGAAAAGATATTTCAGTAACTAATTCCCAAAAGAAAGTCCCAAATTCTCTAGTTTATGATTAATTCTGAGAAATACTGTGGCTCTGGTATAGTTTCATTAGAAAAGAAGCCAATATTCTGACAAAATCTCCCAACACCTCAATCAAATATATCTAATTGCAAAATAGTCAAGGCAGGTTGGCTTATAAATTTTTTAGAAGATCATTAAATAGTAAGAGAGAAAGTAATTTCATAGCCTCTTTGTCTCTATGAGAGAATAGAATTACTTCATTTGTTTACCAGCTGGGTTGGAAACAAAGAACATAACCAGAGTAGAAGATAAACTGGGAAAATATCAACATATAACCCACATACCTGGTTTCTTTTATTCTCCCTAATGGCCTATCTAGTTATATAATCAAAGAAGTACACTCCTAATAACTATAAATAAACACAGTACTACCATCCTTAACTGAAATGCTGTTTTTGCTAATAGACCATTATAGCTAGAATTTCTCATTTTTTTTTGCACAAACCCATGTCATTTCAATTTGATTTTTGTATTTTATTATTTACTTTTCTTCCACACTAGATTTTTTTCCCTTTACCTCCTTAATTTTGGTTTCTTGTGTTCACTGTATACCAATGAAAGCAAAAAAGGATTAAAACCTCAATGCTAACATCATTTTAAAAGATTTACTACAGATTATGTTCAAATTTGATCCTCCCCTCAAAGGGTTTACATAATATTCAAGAATAAACAATGGAATTGAAAACTCCGGATTCAAAACAAGAGTGCTCTGCATTTTCTCCATTTTGCTGTCTTCTGTGGCTGTCAAATCTCTTTTTACAGACCTTAGCTCCCTCCACTTTCAGTGGGTTCTAATCTGGCATGGGTCTTTCCCATTATTAATCCTATCCCCCACAAACAATTTTCATCCACCCAATTTACCACATACATCTAGTTATTCTAGTTTACTTTGTGAGAGGGAAAGCCGTGTGAATTTATTTTTATTTAGATTTGAATTTTGATTGGTAACTTTTTTTTTAAGATTTCATTTATTTATTCATGAGAGACACAGAGAGAGGCAGAGACATAGGCAGAGGGAGAAGCAGGCTCCATGCAGGGAGCCTGATGTGGGACTTGATCCCAGAACCCCAGGATCATACCCTGAACTTAAGGCAGATGCTCAACCGCTGAGCCACCCAGGCATCTCCTGGTAACTTAGTTTTAAAAGTGATTTTAGGGATCCCTGAGTGGCGCAGCGGTTTGGCACCTACCTTTGGCCCAGGGCGCGATCCTGGAGACCCGGGATCGAATCCCACGTCGGGCTCCCGGTGCATGGAGCCTGCTTCTCCCTCTGCCTGTATCTCTGCCTCTCTCTCTCTCTCTCTCTCTCTCTCTCTCTCTCTGTGACTATCATAAATAAATAAAAATTTAAAAAAATAAAAAATAAAAAAAATAAAAGTGATTTTACTACATATTACATCAAACTGAACACTCAATATAACCCTCTGAGATAGGAATTATTATAGAAGAGGAAAATGATGCTCAGATAGGTTGAATGACCTATTAAAATCATATGATTACAAAGATGAGAAAATGAAATCCTATCTTTGTCACCAAATCCAATGCTATTTCCACCATTCTGCATTACCTCAAATTATTCCTCAGGAAAGAATATTAACAACTACATTTACCTAGCAAAATGGAAGAATTCAACATCAAAATTGTATTCCACATACAACTTATGTGCAATAGTCTAATTTTTACAATATGAAAGTACTGAAGTGTTTATTATTCATAGTAACAAGTATGAACAAAGACTTTTTAAAAGAAATACAAAACTAGAGGAACTAGTTTGATAATGAACCTGATATATCCATCTTTCAACATCAACAGTACCAATATATACTATTACCAGTGTATTTTAGCTCTACTTCCATCCTCACTCTCCAACCCCAGATTTTTTTGAAGTACATTTCAGAAAGCATATTTCACTTGTAAATATTTTAGCATGTATCTCTAAAAGAGAGCAGTTTCAAAAAAATTTAATATTATGCCTAAAAAATAATTGTAAAATGAACCATATGCCATTTTAAAGTTTAGAAACTAATTTCACTTTACTATCAGTCTCCATTTCTCTCTACCTCCACAAATAGATCACAAAATATAGCATTCTGGTATCCATCAGGAGCTTCCTTAATGTCTGAAGGATTATTCCATTTCAAAATTACAAACTCAGTGTGCCACAGAAACTCCTCCAGGGATGACTGTTTGCCACAGTCATCATATGGAAAAGACCATATGGATACCACATTACATGCTACCTGTTTGCCACAATCAAAGAATCATATGGATACCACATAACATGCTACCTGTTTACCAGAGGAGAAGAATAATTTATACTAGGCCAGGACTCCTAACATAAAAGATAGAAAATATTACCCGCAATTATATAACAATCCAGTCATTATTCAGAATGCTGATTTGAGAGCACTGATGTAGTCAGAGTTTGGCATATTCTTTTTTTTTTTTTTGTCTTAAGACTTTTTTTTTTAATTTTTATTTATTTTATGATAGTCACAGAGAGAGAGAGAGAGAGGCAGAGACACACAGGCAGAGGGAGAAGCAGGCTCTATGCACCAGGAGCCCGACGTGGGATTCGATCCGGGGTCTCCAGAATCGCGCCCTGGGCCAAAGGCAGGCGCCAAACAGCTGCGCCACCCAGGGATCCCGAGTTTGGCATATTCTTACTAAAAATAGTTACAGAGTTTAAAGTTCCTTTTGGTGAAGTCCTATACCAATATATAAACTATGTTTTATATAGTTTTGACCTATCAGGTTAAAAGGACAAATCTAAGACCCTCCTACAGGCAGAGGTATAATCCACTCCTCCTTTCCTGCTGCTCTTACAGTATTAAGAAGTATATCACTCTTAAAAATGTTTAGTAAGACAGATAAAATGTTACTAGACTTATCTGATAGTTCTGTCCAATGGAATTACATGGACATTCCATCAAACATGCACTATGAGTCAGACAACATGCTAGGCATCGTGGCTGCCCTAAGGAAATTAATAGTCAAGGAAGGGAGTAGTCAAGAAGGAGACAAACATATAAAGAAATACAATGAATTTTAATATAGTTGATGCAAAGGAAGAAATATGCAAAGGATGTTACGTGAGCACAGGGAGGGCACACAGTCAAACAATCACATTTAGAAATGGTTTCCAGGAGTAGATAATACAAGTCCTAGGGTACAACATGAGCAAAAGCACAGAGACATTGAACAGTAAGACATGTACAGGGAAGAAGAACTCAAAGTACAACGTGAAGACTGGAGAAAGTAAGGACAAAGGAATATATAGAGGCTAGAAAATGGAAGATCTTGTATATATGATAAGCCTGGCTCTGCCCTACCGATGACAATGAGCCACCATAGCGATAAAGCAGAATTTGCACAGTTGGCTCTGTGTTTTTAGACTAAGCCCTCTAGCGGCAAATTAAAAAAATGGATTCTAAAAGACAAGAATGGAGAATGGAGGGAGTCTACAGGGAAGATGATGGGGGCCTAAACTATACCAGTGATAGGGAGGATCCAGATGGATAGGTCAATCTGAGCAACATTTAGGAGGTAAAACTGGCAAGGCTTCACACTGGATACAGAGAGTAAGTGGGAAAAAAAAGCACATAAGATAACTTCCAGGTTTCTGGAACTATGCCCAAGAGAGTAGAGAGAGGGCCTTTAAAAGCTCATTTTAATTATGTTGAATATCTTCCATTTCTTCTATTCAAAACTTTTTTAAGATTTTTATTTATTTATTTATTTATTTAGTCATGAGAGACACAGAGAGAGCTAGGCAGAAAAAGGCAGAGGGAGAAGCAGGCTCCATGCAGGGAGCCCGATGCAGAACTTGATCCCAGGACCCCAGGATCATGACCTGAGCCAAAGGCAGACGCTCAACCACTGAGCCACCCAGGTGCCCCCTCCTTTTTTTAATAGAAATACCCTCATCTTACCTATATAGACTTCTGTGGTGGCACCTTGCCCTAACATGAATCATGTGCTCCAACAAATCTACTTCCTAAACATGTGTTAAGATATCTAAGATTTGGCAACCAACACCTTCAACTTATTAGAGATGCTGAGTACTACTCGTTGCTGCAAGTTCTGATGTTTATTTAATATTAATTTATAACAGTTTTGATAAAGAATCTATTAGTATCAATTAGTATTCTAATCACCTTAGTAACAATCACATGCCTTTCATCCCAATATTTAGGTTTATGTTCATTTTACAGTTTAGTGCAATGACCAGAACTTCTAGAATAAATGTTAAATAATGATGCTGAGGGCAGCCCCGGTGGCGCAGCGGTTTAGCGCCGCCTGCAGCCCAAGGCGTGATCCTGGAGACCCTGGATCGAGTCCCTCGTCAGGCTCTCTGCATGGAGTCTGCTTCTTCTGCCTGTGTCTCTGCCTCTCTCTCTCTCTCTCTGAATCTCTATGAATAAATAAATAAAAAATCTTTAAAAAACATTTAAAAAAGATAATGATGCTGATATCAATGCTTTGTTCCTTTTTTTTTTTTTTTTAAAGATTTTATTTGGGGGATCCCTGGGTGGCTCAGTGGTTTAGCGCCTGCCTTTGGCCCAGGGCGCGATCCTGGAGTCCCAGGATCAAGTCCCGCATCGGGCTCCCTGCATGGAGCCTGCTTCTCCCTCTGCCTGTGTCTCTGCCTCTCTCACTCTCTATGTCTATCATGAATAAATAAATAAAATCTTAAAAAAAATAAAGATTTTATTTATTTATTCATGAGAGACACACAGAGAGACAGAGACACAGGCAGAGGAAAAATCGATCCTAGGATCCTGGGATCACGACCTGAGCCAAAGGCAGATGCTCAATCAATGAGCAAACCAGGCGCCCCAATGCTTTGTTCCTAAATGTATCCAAAAGGCCATTAACATTTTATCACTAAATATTAAACTGGCTATTAGTTTATGTTTAGAAAGTATCCACCCATTTCAATGTTACTCACTTTTTAAAAAGTTTATTTATAAAAGATCACCATTAAAAACTGAAACACAAAAATTAGGTCATTCATCTGACATATTACAGTCCGTCTTTTACCCCAAACATTTAGAAATATATTTTTTATATTTGCATTACAACAGTTACAAAATATAAATTATCCATAAACTTTTCCATAAAACATTAATAAACTATAACATATGATTAGTTTTTACCACCATTTTCCTATAGAAAGGATATAAGACCTTACAACTACCACAACAAAAAGAAAATATCGTATACAGGAGATATTAAGGCTAGTTTATTTTGAATATATTCAAATTTAAATTTGAAATGATCAGAGCTACATACATGTTTATATAAGGATTAAAAGCCACCAAGAAAGCAGTAGTCTTACCTGTAACGAACATGAAAAGAATGGTCTTCCCTCATGCTTATCAAATTTTCCTCCATCGAGTCATATTATAAGTTGAGTAAAATTGAAATTATTTTATTTTGTGCCAATCCAATTCTTTACAATGTAGAATTGTTGCAGAACATTGTCCGGTTAGTATATTAATGAGTTGGTGTTAATACATGCTAAGCTCCTGCTTCTTCTTTATTAATAATGAAAGAAGGTCAATGTCAGACAGCTTAAAGGTTCAAAATGTGTCCCAAATCCTTGCATCTCTGGCCCTTTCAGCAGCACTTCAGCAAAATTTCTGCAAAAGGAATACAAGATGCCTTGCTTGAAGTCCTATTTTCAAATAATAACCTAAAGTAATTCCAAGCTGTAGTACATAATCACACAGCTAACTCCACTGTCATATCAATCACAGAAGAAAAACAGCAGAGGGCTTAACTGTCACCACAAAGCTTCTAAATAAGGATGTGAATACATTACGTTTATTTGGGACCTGTACCTTATTTTTAAAATCATTTTAAAATACAATAATTTATGTAATGTTTTCTATTATAAACCAATATAGAAGAATGTGTTACGGTATCTAAAGAGAAAATTATGATTCTTTAAGCTTTTAAAAATTGCTATTATAAGAGGTAAAATGAGAATTCAGTAATGATTTGAACAAGCCAATTCCAAACTTTAAACTTATTCCTTCAAAGGTATCTGTGCTGATAATTAGGTTATACTTTGTACTCATTTGCTCTCAGAGTATATACTATTCTTACTTTTTTTAAAAAAAGATTTTATTTATTTATTCATGACAGACACAGAAAGAGAGAGAGAGAGAGAGAGAGAGAGAGAGAGAGGCAGAGACATAGGCAGAGGGAGAAGCAGGCTCCATGCAGGGAGCCCGACATGGGACTCGATCCTGGGACTCCAGGATCACGCCCCGGGCTGAAGGCAGGCGCTAAACCGCTGAGCCACCAGGGCTGCCCTTATTCTTACTTTTGAAAGTCTTTAAAATGTTTTTATTAATATTGAGTAGGTACAAAAGAAATTTAGAAAATATGTGTATAGTAGAATGACACAACAAATATTTATATAACACCACCCAGTGTAAGATAAAAAACATTATCACTGCCTCTGAAGTGTCCTGGGTGCCTCAACCTAATCAATCACACCTTCCTTTCCCCTCTAAGGTAGTCTCTAAACTGAATTTTGTTCATTATTCCATTGCTAATTATGGTACAATCCATCAGCCTAAAAACTATATGATTTAGTGTTGTATGGCTTTGCTTAACATGATGTTTTCGAGATTCATCTCACTTGTTGCACATAGCTACAGTTTGCATATTTTCACTATTATGTCATATCCCATTAAATACCAAATTTTTTTTTATTCTGTTGATGGGCATTTGGATTGTAGTTTTTTGGATTTTTTTACTACTATTAAAAAAGTGATGGTATGAACATTGGTATTAATAACCTGCTAAAGAGAGCATGCGTGAATTAGAAGAATATCTGAAGAAATTATCCAGACCTTCACAAAGAGATAAGAGATGAAAAATACTAGAGCAGTTCAGAGAAAAGGAAGACAAAATGAGAGGCTCTGACAGAGGTCTGATTACAGTACTTGAAGGAAAACAGAAAAGTAAAAATATCTTCAGTGATAAAGAGAATTTTTCAGAAGTGAAGATGGACTTAAATTGGCAGACTGAAGCAGCACACACTAAGTCCTAAAAAGGAAAAATGAAAATGAATCCCATACCCAGAAATATTACAGAGAAACTATAGGCTATCAGATATAAACTGTAACTTCTAAGGTAACAGTTGAGAGAAACAAATAAGGTAAAATATATGTATGTGTGTATATAAATAAATACAGTTTATACATACACACACACACACACACACACACACACACACAATTATTAAGTCCTAGAATCTCAGTGTTATAAACAACCCTATAGGTCAGTTAGTCTAACATTTTACCACAGCATTCCCAGAAAGGTCCCAAACTGGCTAATCCTAATTTTGAATAGTCCTTTTAGAAATCTGTTCCATGCTTTGAGCAATCTTTCCATTTCTCCCATTTTTCCCTTCTGCTGCCATCCAATAAGCCTAATTCCTTTGTCATATAACCATCCTTTTAAATACTTCAGCTAAAACATAAACTAGACTCTAAATCACACACACCCACTACTTTGTTAATCAAGTACAGTTAGAGAGAGGTTAGTAAGGAACAGAGCATAAAGGACCTGTGAGGAGGAGGAAGGTGGAAAGGACCAGCCTCGGGAATATCGACAAGCTTCCCAGGGCAAATGAGATTTTCATATTAATAACCAGTTTGACACATAAAAAACAGAAAACATCCCTTTATCTCTTCCCTTGTCCAACAAAGGAAGTAGTGTCTTAAGAAAGGCTGAAAAGATAGGGTAGCAGCTATTAATCCAACAAATCTTTTTCTATTACTCAGAATTCTATTGTGCCTCCTTCATAAATACAACACTATAAGGAGAATTAGTGTAGATATTAATAGCAGTACCTTCAAAGAACATCTAGATTATACAACAGCTAAACTGTCAACCGAAGGTCTTCCCCTACCCATGCTGAGGTTTAGGCTGTTATTTATAAAAGGGGTAGACGGTGAAATATTAAAATCAATTTAACTTTGAATTAAATTAAGTTACAATTTAACTGAAATATTTTTTCATCCAGGTCATAATAAAATTCTAAATTTTACCAATCAATAAAAAATATGCTAACTCCATACTGATTAAAATGTAAATATGGAGTAAAATTAACAAATGTCTATCACTGGAGTTGTGAAATAACCTTACCTAAAACTGCGTAGAGAAACATTTTAAAAATAATTAAAACGAGCAAGAAGATATATTACTATCCACCATTACAATAAGGGCAATTTGTAATATGGTTTTACAGTTCTCAGAAGAAGTGTATCCCAAACAAGTCACTCTTACATTACAATCTCCATAACAAAGTAGCATTTCTTATAATTATTCACTGAACTAACAAGCGATTCTTGATCCAATGATTAATTCTGCAAGAATTCTCTAAACAATTCAGTAACCACTGTTCATTCATGTTCCACATCACAGAGTTAACAAACCCACTTCATATTTAACATATAGTTTATATATTACCAGTGTAACACTAATAAAATCTGCAATAAATATTAAATTATGTTTGCTAGGATAAGAAAATTTAACAAGACCAGGAAATGGAAGTTATAGGTTTGAAAGAACGTTAAGAGGTCATCAAATTAAAAAAAAAAAAAAGAGGTCATCAGATTTAATCTCCAATCTCCATTAAGATTTAATTTACAAGGAAATATATGTCCTTAATAACACCTTCCAAGTTTTAAAAAACAGTGCTCCCAAAACCTCACTGCTAACAAAAACTCTCAGCATCTTTCAGTCTGATCACAGAGAAATAAAGAGAAAGAAGTAATTTTTTTTCAAAATGCTAGAAACTGATAAAAGCATATAGAAAAATAAAGTGGTATATCACTAATTGCCTCACATTTAATTACCTGATTAGGAAGTCAAAATAGGTGGACTAGGCACTGTCCAAGGTATGGAATCAGAGTAAATAAATCCTAGCCTTGCTTTACTCCACTGGCAGTAAAATATTTGCAAACTAAGTGATGGGGGATACACATTTACATGTAAATCTTTTGTCTTTTCAATTTATCCAAACTATCCAAATTAAGTGCCAATAATCTCTGGTCTTATTCTTTAAGTATCTCCATAAACTGGCAACACTCATCACACAATAAATATAACTTACTTTTCTTGCGTATAGATTAGATGATCTAAATTCTTTAAGCTTTTCTTATCTTAATAATTCCCTTTAAGGTACAACAAATTCCCCAAATCCCTTTCAGTTGTAGTGTTTCAAGTCAGATACAATAGCCCTTTATCAATGTGAGCAGGGATAAATATGGAGGAAGAATCAAGAACATATTTTAAATGAAGATCTTTTATATTAGACTTAGAGTAGAGGTTATAACAACAAATACACATTGTAGTAATAATGGGAGTCATAAAGAAGGATGCCAAAACAAAGTCCAACAGGGAGAAAAGTTCGGAGCTTGGTTTTAGTGTGGCAGGTGTTAAGGAGCCAACTAAAAGCAAGAAAAATTATTTTGAAATCAGAGTATATGACTGATGTTGGAAATTAGTGCTTGAAGCAAGGGAAATCAGACTCAAAAATGGCAGGGTCCTTAAGTAATCTAGCTAGGAGTTTCTAAAGAAAAATGAAAAACAACACCCACTCACTAGATGTGAGAGGCAAAGGTCAAGCAGTTAACAGAGAACTTAAAAATTTCCAATTTTCAAGATAGATGGAACAGCAGTAGTACACAGTGACCGACAAACTGGATTGCAAGAGGGATAATTCCAAGAGGAGAAAATAAGCTATTCCTTCAAATGGGAAAAAGCAGAATCCTTCTATTAAACTTGTACTTGGTAAAGTGCTATATTCACAAATAATAGCTGAAAAAAATAAAGATATCAAACTTGAGATCATTTGAAATCATATAAAATTTGATAAGTGGGAAAGAATCTGAGGGGTAAAAAAAAAAATGAGTGACTGACATTTCTGAATTTTTGTGCATCTTTAAATTAAAATTTTCTTATAGTACCAATAAGTCAGTGGCAAAATTAAGAAATAAGTACAATGAAAGAAAAAATTAAAGCAATGCATGATAGTTTTGATCATTTTTTCAACATAGTCAATCTCTAAACCAGTAATATAACCAAATTTTTACATAATACTCTGAACTAAAGATAGATCAAGCCTATGTATGTGTATATCCATGAATACCCACGTATAATGCTGAACATGAAGTTAGTATCCTCTAACAACTGTCATACATAGCAAATGTAAATTACTTTCCATAATCCCAAAATAATAAAATAAACAATCAGTGCTTAGTTAAGCAGATTATTCTATTCTCTATCATTCTGGAGAAATGCAAATTTACCAAGTTATGCTATAAAAACTGTATGAATAGGCAGCCCGGGTGGCTCAGCGGTTTAGCGCTGCCTTGGGCCCAAGGCCTGATCCTGGAGACCTGGGATCCAGTCCCATGTCAGGCTCCCTGCATGGAGCCTGCTTCTCCCTCTGCCTGTGTCTCTGCCTCTCTCTCTGTGTGTCTCTCATGAATAAATAATTTAAAAAAACTGTATAAATAAAGTTTTCCTTAAGCAAATATATAATCCTAAATTACGTACTCCAATTAAGGTTAAGTCTTAATTTATTGCTAATCTTTATGTGTGCAACAATCAAAGGTTAGTCTGTGAGATGTTAGGCCAGGTATGTTTAGAAAAGAAGCATAACTGTGAAACTGCTAACTAAAACACGAATTTTATTATAGAAACTTTCTAATAAGCTGTCTGTGACTATTAGCTAAATAAACAGAATAAAATTCAAAGAATAGATTAATGGTTCTAGATTCCAATAAATCTATATCTTAAAAGTACACCACCAGTCAGAAGGGTTTCCAAGTGTATTTGAAATTAATTCTCAAAGGCCAATATGAAAGATATCAAATACATGCAAACTAAAGATACTATTAATTTCAAACTCTCATTTTTATTCTTGGCAGATTAAAAAAAATTCAGATCTAGAGCCATGGCCTTTAGAAATATCAAAACAACAAATGCAACCACTTCAGAGTAGTATGATCCAAACAATTTTAGCAATATACAAGAAAAATTCCTTTTCATGTTTTCAAAGTTTATACATAAAAGCTTACCACTCTAAACAACTAAATATGCATGAACTTTTTTTGTTTTGTTTTGTTTTTAAGATTTATTTATTTTATTTATGATGGGGGGGGCAGAGACACAGGCAGAGGGAAAAAGCAGGCTCCGATGCGGGACTCGATCCCGGGACTCCAGGATCGCGCCCTGGGCCAAAGGCAGGCACCAAACCACTGAGCCACTCAGGGATCCCCGAACCTTTTTTGACGAGAAACATTTATATTTAAGGACTCCAATGAACTATGCTTCCTGAATAACCAGATACAAATAAACCATATATGAAAATTCAAATTAGATAAATACTAAAACAAAATGTAATCTAGAAGAAGAAAAAGATTTGAATATTTCAAGCTTTCACTGTTGTTTGTTATACAGTGAGAAAGGATCAATATGAGTCTACTTATATGAGAAATGCTGAATGTAGGTCACCAGGAGTTTCCAAAAGTCTCTACACAAAGTACTATGGATATAATAATTACTGCATGAACAAACTCTTAGTGTCTTTGGTTTGGCAGCCCATGATAAAGAAGATTTTTCATAGGGGGAGGTGTGTGTTATAAACTAGAGAGGGGCTCTATTTTTAGGTTATACATGGAGTGAATTTGAATTATGCCAGTGACTACACTAATCACCAAAACTTTTGTTTTGTAATTATAATCCTCCATGATTATAATTCAAGAGGATGAAGCAGTTGCTTAAAAATTTCAAGGAGAAAAGGGAGATTGCTCTTATGTAACATCCCTAATCTTGGTTTCCTTTTTCCCTACAAAGCAGTTATCAAATCAAAAGTCCTGCTCCAACAAATTACTATTTTTTTTCAGTAGGCGCTACACCCAATGTGGGACTCAAACTCACAACCCCGAAATCAAATCACATGCTCTACCGACTGAGCCAGCCATGCACCCCAAGATTACTTATGTATATTTACAAATATGAATGTAAACATAAATATATTTACAAATATAAATAAGTAATCAGTGACTCAGTTGGTTAAGCATCCGACTCTTGGTCTCAGCTCAAGTCTTAATCTCAGGGTCATAATTCAAACCCTGCACTGGGCTCCATACTGGGCATGGAGAGAGTGAGTGAGTGAATGTGTGTGTGTGTGTGTGTGTGTGTGTGTGTTCAACTAAATGAGTATGTTTATTAGAATAAAATTAGTACTTTTCTCCATTAGTTTTATTTCTCATCAAACCGAAGCCTAGAGTTTAAAAATAATGTTAATTTTCTTCCCTATAAAATGTTAATAAATACGTGTTTTTTTTTTAAAGGATTATTTATTTATTTATTCATGAGAGACACAGAGAGAGAAAGAGACAGAGAGACAGACAGAGGAAGAAGCAGGCTCCATGCAGGGAGCCCAACATGGGACTCCATCCCAGGGCTCCAGGATCACACCCTGGCCTGAAGGCGGCGCTAAACCACTGAGGCACTCAGGCTGCCCTAGATAGTTTTTCAATCCATTAGTAAAATTAATAACCTTTTGAAAGAGTTTCAGTTACACTTGTGTAAGAAATATGATTTGTAGTTGATTGTTATAAACACATAAAAACGGATACTTAGAAGTATTACAATACCAAAGTTATAAGAGACCTATTAATGTTTTTTTTTTTAAAAAAAGACATTCTACATTTTCATCAATCCCAATTACATTTTCAGTGCTTTCCAAAGGACTATTCAGGTTACAAAACCAGGAGACCACAAGAGTATGTCTGCAATCCAAAAAGACTGAGGATTCAAACCAAGCCCAATTTCTATCAAAAACACCCCAACCTCTTAATGTATATATATTAGTACTTGCCCCTTCTGATCTATAATCTTTTTGTTAATAAATATGTAGAAGTTTATGGTTTGTTTTTCTTTTTAGGGCCTATGTACATTATTGGACAAACATGATGCAATTAATAGGGGCTCAAAGAAACAAATTCAAAATAAATATAGATTTATGAAGACATTACTATGTCAAAAAGAAAAAAAAAAAGAAAAACCATAGGGAACACACAAGTTTGACAAAAACTGGTTACCAATCAAGAGAGAATATTGGCCTATATAGCCATTTAGTACCACCAATGTTAGTCAGCCATCAGCTTAAACCAATATATATATGAAAAACTCAGTAGTGAATAGAAGTAGTCCTTTCTATTGGGCATTATTCTTGAGTTAAATGACAATAAACCAGTTCTCCCAATTAGAGGCAAAACTGATTTCAAAATTTTAAGCAGAAATAAATCCCAAATGCAAAAAGGTTAAAAATGTCTACAAGAGTCACTGAGAGTTTGAATTCAGAATTCCGTATAGGAAAATATAACTTTGTCTTCTTCCAAAAATTATCACTATCCTGTGGAAAATGTTTTTATTCAGTTCAGTAATGTTATGAGAGGATATGGGAAGAATGATTCTAAATAAAAAGGACCAGGGAAAGCTTTTTAGAAGCAAGGATATCTGTACTGCACCTTGAAGGATGGGTAGACCTTATTAGGCAAATGAAGGAAAGGCATTCCAGTCACAGGGAAATGTCTCCAGCAGAAGTAAGGAGGTAGGAATGCACAGAATGTATGCTCAAGACAAGCACACTGGGTTAGGAGGAGGAAAAGAGAAGTCTAAGAAGGTACTAAAGTGTTAGGGATTGTGAATATGTATGTGGCCTTGTATTTAATATTGTAATTTTTTCAACAAAGGAATAGCAAAGTTGGATCTGTGTTAGTAAAATAAACTGGCAGCAACATGTAGGGGAGAGGAGGGAGACAGAAGAAAGATACTTCAAAAACTCCAGGAGCAACTGCTGAAGAGGAAGTTTTCTTTTGTCATCTCAAAACACCAAGCAAATTGCCTTGGACATAATCGATGTGCAACATACTTTTTTATTTTTTTGCCTGGGAAGAAGAACTATGAACCAGCAAAGAATCCTATAATAGTGAGAACACTGGGCTTTAAGACATATCTTATAGACTATACTTATATATTTGTATTAAAATATTGGGCAGCCCGGGTGGCTCAGCGGTTTGGCACCTGCCTTCAGCCCAGGGCCTGATTCTGAAGACCCAGGATCGAGTCCCACCGTCGGGCTCCCCGCATGGAGCCTGCTTCTCTCTGCCCCCGCCCCTCTCCTGAATAAATAAAATATCCTTAAAAATAAAATATAATATAATATTTGGCGGTGCCTGGGTGGCTCAGTGGTTGAGTGACTGCCTTCAGCTCAGGGTGTGATCCCAGGGTCCTGGGATCCAGTCCCACATCACGCCTCCCCTCCCCCGCAGGGAGCCTGCTTCTCCCTCTGCCTATGTCTCTGCCTCTCTTTCTCTTATGAACAAATAAAATCTTTTTAAAAATATATATTTGTAACACTACATGTCTGATTTAATAACACTGGAAAACACACCTAAACTGCTGCTCTAGCCAAAGCTGATTTTGTGGGCAAAGCCTCTGCAACACTTCCTTACAACTTTTTACTTTGTATCTGCTCCACCCCTCCTAGTGCACATGCCCGCCCACGAAGGAGCCTGCCAGTTCACCGTCGACGTAGAGCGCGGTAGTCTGGCACTGCCCTCCCGCCCCCCGCCCCCGCCCCCCAGTCCTCCCTCTCCTCACACACACCCAGGTCAATCAACAGCGATCGTCCCTTTGTTCACAAGTGAGCAACAGAAGAACCAACCCAAGCTGCTTCTCGAATAAGGGGCAACCCAAGCAGCAGTGGTCTTTATCAGAGGTAATCACAGTGGCGGCTATCACACCGGAAATCTCCGGGCACCCTCCTAGAGTGGCGGCTTGAAAATTCAGCTCGGGTGGCATGCTGAGCCCACACACGCTACCCAGACTCCAACCCAAGTCGACAGAAAGGAAAGCCAAGAAGCGACTTCGTGCCGCTCTGCGCTGCGCAGAGTTGAATTATGCATCAAGGCAAATAAAATTTCCAACCTTACCCGTTTTCTTTAACGGAGTCCAAGTGACACCAGTTAAAAGGATACGACTGGCAACCATGAAAACAAAGAACTGACAGATTTCCCACTTTTTTTTTTTTAACTCTTCAAGGATAGTCTATAGATTATGCAAATTTTCAGACAAGGGCCTTAACGTCCTCTGCTCACCGGGGCGTCTTGCAGCCGCCTACCAGCCCCGTCGGGCGCGGATTCACGAACCGCGACGCGATGGACGCAGGTGCGCGCCGGCCCGCCAGCTCCGGGGGCAAGCGCGCGGGAACGCCGCCCGCCGCGGCGCGACTCGGCGCGACTCGGCCGGCGCTCGGGGTCTTCGCCCACCGCCGCCGCCCTCAGAAGGCGTGAGGAGTCGCGGTGCCCTATCGGACTTTTTATTTCTGAAAAGTTGGAGAACAGAGCTCTTACGCGGGACCCTCCTGCAAAGCCTCGCCACAGGAAAACAGCTCGCGCCCTCCAGCCGCGGCTCCTCTCCCCGCTTCTGGTTTCCTCAGCCTCCCGGCCGACCCCCGGGACGCCGCCCGCGCACCGGCCCCGCGCGCACACACGCCCCCCGGCCGGCTCCCCGCGCGGGGCGCCCTCGGACGCCTCCGCACTCACCTCCCGCGGGCCGGCGAGTCCCGGAGCGCGGCGGACGCCACGGGGCTGCAGCGGCGGCCGCCTCGGGCGCCGGACGGTGGCCGCGGCCCCTCCCCCAGGCGGGCCCGCGCGGGGGGCGCGTCTCCGGGCTGGGGCACCAGGGAGGCAGGCGCGCCCCCCCGCCGCTCGCCCTGGGTCACGTGGGCCAGAGCTCGCTGGGCCGTCCTCGCCGCCCGGGGCCCCTCGGCGCCGCCCGCCCCGCCGGTCCCCCTCTGCGCCTGCGCCCCAGCTGCCGTCGCTCCCTTTCAAACCGACAACGCCCCGCGTCTTTCGGACCCGCCAATGGCCGGCGCGGGGGGCGGGGCCGGGGCGCGGGGGGCGGGGCGGGGGCGGGGCTGCGCGTCCAGCTGCCCGGGATCCGGCGGGGAGGCCGGACCGCGACCTGATATCAAGTGGGGACCGAGGGGGGACGGCTTTCCTGGCGTCTTTCCGCAGACACCGAGGGGTGCAGCGGTAAATGTCGCGCAGCGTGCGCAGAGGGGCTCTGGCCCAGACCCCGTTAAAAGCTGGTGCTCAGAGCAGATGTGTCCTGCACTTACGGCTCCGTTCCGCCTGGAGAACGAGTTTCCCAAGCGGCATCGGCGGGATGTTTAAGAAAAAAAGAGGGACCCGTGTCAAAGTCTGAACGAGGCAGCCTCCGTTCTTGCGGCCCTGTCCCAATTCTGGCATTTCCAGCTGTGAAGACGGCAAACTTGGGTCGAAAGCGGAGTTGCCGGTCCCCGGGAAAATGGGTGGCGCTTAGCTCGGCTTCAGGCCAGTGTCCCAGCCAGACACAGCGGGGCAGGTGCGGGTGGCATCCGTGCACCTCCTCTCTGTATCAAGTTCAACAAAAACGTGGATTTGATTAGATTATTTCTCCACTGAAATGAAAGTTAAATGTTCCTGCAGGCTTAAGGATGTGTCAGGGAAAACCCCAGATTCAGTATGTCTCTGAATGGTGGCCAAAACCAGCAATCCCAGCAGCATTTCTCTTACTGGGGGAACGTGTTTTGGCAAATTGGTCAGAATAACAGCTTTGGCATCAAACTTGACCTGGATTTGACTCGCATCTTTGCCTCTTGTGGGCTGATTGACCTTGAAGGAGTTACTTATCCTCTTTAGCCTCCCTTTCCTCAGCTGCAAAACACAGGTAATGAAGGTGGTGGTTATGCTTCCGTGAAGTAAGTTTTGCTAAGCGGCTAACATAGTGGCTGGCTGCTTAATAAATGGTAGCTCTTACTATTATCAACAACTACCTTTAATATCAGGTACTTATAAACATCAACTGAATTAGATGCCTGTACTATTTCAGAGGTAGGTATTATAATTCCTTCTCACCCATAAATTCTTTTTTGGGTGTTGATAGGAAAACCACAAAGGAAGTGTAGTGTATCAAAATCAGCATGTCCAAAATGAATCATTATTTCTAACCTGGCAATCTTCTCGTACACAAGGGATTTTCTTTCACGGGTGTTAGTTACCTCCATCTTACTCAAGGTGACTTAGTTTTTTAATTCTCCTTTTAAAAGGCATAAATCAGATTATGTCACTCTCCTGTTTGAAAACCTTTAGCGGTTTATCATTTGATTTAAAATAAAATCTAAATTCCCTACCACTGCCCACCAAGCCCTAAGTCATCTTGCCCTACCCACCTCTCTACTCTCCTGTATTTTCCTCTCCTAGCTTACTTCCCTTCCAGTACACAGAACATTCCTCCATCCCTAGAATACACCAAGCCTCAGGGGTCCCTCAAGGCCTTCTCCCTGGCAGTTCTCACTGCCAAGATTTTTTTCCCTCAGGTCCTTTAAATGGCTGGCTCCTTTTCAGCCCTCAGCTTTCAGCTTATTCATTACAGTATTTAGCAAGTATTTATTAGGTTTATACTATGTGTCAGGAACTGTTCTAGGTGGTGGGAATATAGTAAGGAGCAAGACAGAGCACAGCCCCTGCTTTCATGGAGTTCAATAAAAATAAATACTAAGAAAAGTATCAGGTTGTGACAAGTACCGTGCAGAGAATTCAAAGGAGGGTGATGTGAGAGTGAGTGATTGAAAGATACTTTACATTGAGGGTCAAGGTAAGAAAGTCCACTTTGAGAAGGTGGTATTCAAACCAAGACTTTAATTATAAGGAGCCAACTTTAAACTTGAGAACAAGCTTTGTGGGTTTGAGAAACTGGAAAAAGACCACTATGGCTTAAGTGAGGTGAGGTAGAGAAGAACTTACAGGGTCAAGTCACACCAGATTATGTAGACGTTTGTAAGCCAGGATAATGAATGTGGGCTTTATTTTCTAAATGTTAGAATAGCCAGAGGAGATTTTAAACATGGGAATAACTTCATTTGTTTGTATTTTTAAAGGAACACTCTGAAACAAAACCAAAATTTCAGATATTCTCTAAGACAATTAACTCAGACTCTTCATGAACATCATTGTCACGAAAAACAACCAAAGGAGGTACATGAGTCTTGATAGACTCCTAAATCAGAGAGAGATGATGAGAGACTTTAAAAAACATTTAAGAAACAATTGGGGAAATTTGAATATAGAGAATATATTAGATATTAAGGAATTACTGTTAATTTTCCTAGAGATAACATGGAATTATGGTTATATGGAATTTTTTTTTATTACTTTTAGGAGATGCAAGCCTGAGGTACTTAAGGATAAAAAAAACCATGACTTCCGCAACTTACATTCAAATGGTTCACCAAAAGACAGAGAGAGAAATACAAACTAAATGCGAACAATTAGACCTGGGTAAAGATATATTTCTTATTCTTGTACTGCACTATTTACATATTATTCTTTTACTTTTTCTAGAAATTTGGAGTTTTTCAGAATAAAAAGTAAGGAAGAAAATCACTCTGTAAACTTCGATGTCTAAGAGTAATAACCCAGATACGCTGTTCAACACTCCCACTGAAAACAACCTAAAATGCTTTCAAATATTTAAAAAAATAAAAAGAAAATTTATTAATGACCTAGCATTCAAGTAAACATTATTTGGAAGCTAGGAACTAGTAAAAATCGATAAGCAGATGAACTTGAATTTTAGTTATCATGGTCTCATGAGGCATAGAAAAAAGAGACAAAGGCCAGGTCCTACCATGATGGGAATCTAATAAGAGACTTCACACATAAGCCAGGATTCTCAAAGTTCCCTCCTACCTTTTCCCAGAAGACAGCAGAAGAAAATTGCCTATGATCATCCTTAATATAGAATAGAGGAGGAAATCTCTTCTGATGTTTTTTTGTTTGTTTGTTTGTTTGTTTGTTTTTTTACTAAAGACAAAATCTGCTCTACCTGGCTCGTCTGAAACTCAAACACGTAATTTACTTTAAAGTGGTTTCAGGTTAATGGTACCCCCAGGCAACTGGCAAAGCTAAACCAAATCACCTCTAGAGACTGAATGTTTGTGTCTCCCCAAAATTTATATGTTTAAATTTAATTCCCATTGTGATAGTATTTGTGGATAGGGCTTTTGTAATCAAAAGGTCAAGAGGGTGGAGCACTCATGAATGAGATTAGTGTCCTTATAAAAAAAGACCTGAAGGGCAGCCTCACACACAAAGACACAGTGAGGTGACAGCCCTCTAAGAACCAAAAAATGGGCCCTCGCCAGACACAATCTGCTGGCACCCTGATTTTGGACTTCCCAGATTCCAGAACTGTCAGGAATAAATGTTTCATTTAAGCAACCCAGTTTATGATATTTTGTCTGCTCAAGTTGACTAAGACACCAACTTAATCCAAACCCCTAAAATTTACACAGAAGAAATTCCAAGAAATGCAAACTCTTGGTCAAACTGTAAATCATACAAAGAAACAAGGCATCTTATATAAGAATTAGTGAGGGGAAAAAAGCAAAATCAAACTCATAAAGACATTGAAATTGGAATTACCAATCATAGAGTCATAGAGTATAAATATGTTTAATAGATTTAAAGCAATTAAATAGAAGATTGAAAATATAAATAATGAGCAAAGTTCTGCCAAAAATGAACAGCCAGGTTTTAAAAAGAATTCAAAAAACTTTCTAGACTTAAAAAAAAAAAGATATATAGGGGCAACTGAGTGGCTCAGTGGTTGAGCATCTGCCTTTAGCTCAGGTCGTGATCCTGGGATTCTGGGATCGAGTCCCACATCAGGCTCCCCGTGGGGAGCCTGCTTCTCCCTCTGCCTGTGTCTCTGCCTGTCTCTGTGTGTCTCTCATGAATAAATAAGTAAAATCTTAAAAAAAAAAAAGACATATAATAATTAGAATTTAAAAGTCAATAGGCAGGGGGCGCCTGGGTGGCTCAGTCAGTTAAGCATCCAACTCTTGATTTCCACTCAGGTCATGGTCTCAGGGTTGTGAGACTGAGCCCCACTTCAGGCTCTGCACTGGGGATGGAATCTGGAACCTGCTTCAGATTCTCTCTCTCCCTCTGTCCCACCCCCCACTTGCTCTCATGCTTTCTCTCTTAAAAAAAAAAAAGAAAGAAAGAAAGAAAGAAAGAAAGAAAGAAAGAAAGAAAGGCCAGTGGGCAGGTTTATCAGCAGATTAGATATGGTGAAGAGAAAATCAGTAAACTGAAAGATAGAATCAAATTAATTTTTTCATATAAAAGTGAAACAGAGGATAGAAGATCTAACATGTGTCTAATCAAAATTCTAAAATGAGAAGAAAAATAGACAATAATTTACACAAGATTTTAAAAAGAGAAAAAGAAAAAAGATATTTACACATAAGATAATGAAAATGCAGAGCACCAAAAACAAAGAAGTAGCTTTGTAACAAGTACAAGAGAAAGAGCTGACTACCTCCAATGAAACAACACTTAGCTGGTGACTTTGCAACTGTAAAAATATAAGCCAAAAGAATGTACTGAGAGAAAAATGATTGTCAACCTAGAATTATTTAACCAATGCAGATATCTTCTAAAAATGAGATTGAAATAAAGGCATTTTTAGGT